CAGGAATTGGGAGTGTAGCTGGAAGGCGCCTGGGCGCTCACTTGCCGTTAACGCGTGGCCCGTCTTCAACTCGTCGGTGGGTGGAGCGTGACCAGGTTTTTTATTTTATATGCTAATATTCCTCTAGAGAATTCTATTGCAAACCCGTTGATACCAAAATGAAAGACCTAGGACGAAAATTGAGGTGACCAGAGTGAAAAGAGTGAACACATTTTATCGCTTTTGCGCGCTCCTGGGTAACTCGTTTGCACTTTCTCTGTTTGCTGCGGGTAATTAGCCGGGCTTTTGCAGTTTATATGCATTTAGTGCTGTAGAGAATTCTATTGCAAACACAATGATACCAAATTTAATCTCGTAGGACGAGAATTGAGGTGACAAAGTTGAAGAGAGTATACACTTTTCAGAATTAACGCGCGCTCCTGTGAAACACTGGGACCCAAATCGCACAGTTGAGGGGTGGCGCGCGGGGTACGCCAAAGTGTTAAAAGCAATTCTGAGGTTAGAAAGTGTAGCATAGGCTCCTCGCACAATGTTCTTAATGTGGTCCTCAGGTGACGGTTTTCTATCTAGAACCACCCCTAGATCCCTTTCTTTGACAGAATTCTTTAAAGATTTCTCACATAATTTATAGGTTGTGTGGGGTCTATGTTCTTCAATTCCACATTCCATAACATGGCATTTATTCACATTAAATTCCATTTGCCAAGTATTGCTCCATATACTTATTTTGTCCTGATCTTCTTGAAGGGCATGACAGTCATCTAGGTTTCTTCAGAGCCCTGAAGAAGTTGAAGTTAACCCTGTGTAGCCACGGGCCGTTTAAATCTTGCGGGAGACTCCAAAAGGTCATATGAAGGGGTGCGCACTTTTGCATCTGTTACTCAACACGTCATATGAAGTGTTGCGCAGTTTAAGGGTTAAAGATGGGAATTTAGAGAACCTCATACCTAAGCAAAGAGTATGAATATGCTGAATTCAGACTCATGGGGCCCTGCAGTAATTCAATACTTAACTATGTAAGTATCAAATCAACAGAATGTGTACTGGTAATAAACAAGTAATGAGAAGACAGGAGAAGTGTAATAACAAGTTCCCGTGGCGCAGTGGCAAAGCACTCGCCCGGTGCTTCGCGAGCGCTTTAGCCTGGGTTCGTATTCTGGCCAGGGAGGATTGACTGGGTGCCAATCCTTTACTGTAGACTCTGTTCACTCAGCAGTGAATAGGTACCTAGTTGTTAAATGATTTGGCGGATCGTATTCCAGGGGAAAATTGGTATTAAGGACCTGCCCGAAATGCAATGTGTGCTAGTGGCTTTAAAAGAATGTAAGAACTCTTGTATGTATAACTATATATAAAATGTTCAGGTACAGTACAATAGTTGAAATATTGAACTGTACTGATAAAGGTTTAACACTTAGGCTGCTAACAGCAATTGTAGGCATTTTCTTGGTAGTAGAACATACTGTACTTGGTTAACCTTGTTTATAAACTGTGAGGCTATGGCAGCAAGTAAATTTAGTTCTGCTTATTAAATCTTGAATTAAACAGGAGCAGATGTCTGCAGTTGTTATATACCTTAAAAAAAGTGCATATGGAAAGACACGTTTAATTCGGTAGTTTTTGTAATAATACAAAACTACTCAATTAAATGTGAGTGTCTTTTCATATGCACTTCTTTTATGGTAATAATAGCTGAAGACATCTGCCCTTGTTTAATTCAAGATACTGTATAATAAGCAGAATTAAATTTGACTCGCTGCCATATTATTTTATTTATGCAGTATTCAATACATTGAACATGTTAAAGTGTTTTCTAGAAGGTAAAGTAATTGTTTATTATATAAAACCACTAGTTATGCACAATTTTGGATAATTTAAAGTATAATTTTAATAATAATCAGAGGGTTAACATTCCAAGTGTCGGGACTTCATAAATGCAGCATAAATGCCACAGCACTGAATTTGAACCATATGACATAAAATATACGCTACATCCTGTATACTGTATGTAGCAGAAACACTGAAAATTTGTTTACTTTTGTACAATATTTTCAGGCTATATATTGTAACTGGGAAAAAAAGAACAGCGTTGAATGTAATGAAACGCCATTTTCTGGGTGAGACCCGGAGGCTCCCTGGAGCTATACCGGGCTGATGTGTATATATTAGACCATGGCAACAGTCAATCAAAGGAGTTCTAAGCCTACCGGAGACCAGAGCCAGAACCTGCCCCCCTCAAGAGAGGCACGAGGAGCAATGGCCTAAAAACACCCCCATGTAATTGGAAGCAGTCATTGTCTGCCATCTACCAGGTCAGGCACCCAGAAAGGCAGGAATTTCAAGACAAACTACTGCTGGTCAAAATTTACAAACCGAAAGCCGAACTAACAAGCAGAATTCCCCAATCAAAAACAAGGAAACAAACATGACATCACCACAACCGCCGCGCATCCGTCTGCGCAACCTCCTCCCCCCCTCCCCAGGAGGGAGACAGGGGGATCCCAGACCTCCACACCTGCTACTCGGTTCAGGGGCCGAGTTTCAAAAAACGCAAAAAAACGTCGACCGGAGGGAGGGAGGGAGGCCGGGGAGCCTCCGGGTCTTGCCCAGAAAATAGCATTTCATTACATTCAATGCTAGTTGTCTGTGGAGAGCCCGTTCAGCTCCCTGGAGCTACCTAACCTAAGATAAGAAGAATAGGGACTCGCCCAGGTGGTGGTCATCACTCACTCCTCAACTCAAAGTCAAGACAACAGGCCGCAACCTGCGACCCAAGGCTATACACGCCCGAGAAGGACTAGGAACATTAACAAGGGAACGTGCAGCCAGGACCCTGTTCGACCTCCAATAACCCCATGCCCAAAAGATAGGCCAGGACATTATCAAAACAGCAGTCGAATGCCGAACTTACGAATGGAGTGGGCACAGGGAAAGACCGCAGGCTGGCTGGACCGAATAATCCTGCGAACAACCTGGGATACCCGCGCCCTGGAATAGGGAAGAAGGGAAACTGGGTCAACCCAAAGCATGTCCTCTGCCACAGAGGCCATAACGCGCAAATAACGGCGAAGAGCCACAGAACAAAACATGATGCACCCCCGGCCGAACCAACCAAGCATCAACAACCCACGGGCCCCTTCGAAATGCAGCAGACTCATTTTTCGCTAGAAAAGGAAACGGCTGCAAACTAAGTAAAGACCAGCAAGACCGAAAGAGCAGAAACCCTTGCGTTGGAGGAGAGTATGAAACTCTCCGACCCGACTCCCAGAGGCCAATGCCAACAAGAAAAGAGCCGTAGAAAAACAGTCCTGAACCGAGGGGGGCCACCCCAAACCAAAGAGAAGGGAGAAGAGAGCACCCGGTGCAACGACAAGGACAGCTCAGGCGGCGCATGAGCAGGCCGGAGGTGAAAACAACGCCCGAGAAAGCTTGCAGAACAGAGCAGAAATGACATCCACCCCAAATGCAAGCTGCAGCGGCTCCGCCAGCGCCACCCGAAACGAGGCGACAGTATTTGGCATAAGAAGACGGTCCTGAAACAACCAAGAGAGAAAGGACAAAACAACCCGACCAGAAATCGAAGACAAACTACGAAGAGACAAGTGCCAAAGAGACCACCAGGAAATTTCATACTGCCGTTGAGACGAAACTTGCAGGTGGGACACCAACTAAGCCACCTGATCACCTGTCCTACCGCCACACCAGGCAGACCCCCGTCAGGCAAAACAAAACAAAAAAACAAAAGAAAAACACCGCAAAAGCACAACGTCTCCAGGTGAACAGAACCCCGGTTGCTATCCGTATATCAGACAGGTGCACAGTACCTCGCGCCTCAGCAAACAGGAGTAAGAACCTCCCCAGCTGAACCCCCAAGGGCGGGCAATCACCGAGCAGCGACAAAACCACACGGAGGTAGCTGCTTCTGAATGGCTCATGGAAGATAACCCTGAAGCCACAAAGGCAGTACTGTACTTATGGGGCACCTATGGAAGGTAGCCCTAGGTGCATGCAACCCCAGTACTCTTGTGTTACGTCTGGCCCCCACACCCCCAAAGCAGAGCAGCAACACCACACTGCAGCACTGCGCAAAGAATGGAGCCAGAGCGATCGACCATCTCCAACACAACAGCCTTTTGAACTGAGGAGAGTTGCCGGCGTGGAGGTCTGGGATTCCCCCGTCCCCCTCCCGGGGAGGGGGGGTTGCGCAGACGGATGCGCGGTGGTTGTGGTGACGTCGTGTTTGTTTCCTTGTTTTTGATTGGGGAGTTTTGTTTGTTAGTTCGGCTTTTGGTTTGCAAATTTTGACCAGCAGTAGTTTGTTTTGAAATTCCTACCTTTCTGGGTGCCTGACCTAGTACTTGGCAGACAAAGACTGCTTCCAATGACATGGGGGTGTCTTTAGGCCATTGCTCCCTGTGCCTCTCTTGAGGGGGCCAAGTTCTGGCTCTGGTCTCCGGTAGGCTTAGAACTCCTTTGATTAACTGTTGCGACAGTCTAATATATAAACATCAGCTCGGTATAGCTCTGGGGAATCGAAAGGGTTCTCCACAGAAAATATGTCTTTAAGGCATTATTGCAATTGTTGTTATTGTATCAACATGTACAGTATCTTCATTGTGTTTGTAATGATTTTAGTTATTCGGGTGTGAATGGGCAGCAAGCAGTCTAAAATGGGAAGTGGCTATGTAGTTGCTTGTTTTTTCACTACAGTTAGACACAGGAACTTTCATGGTTAAATTTTAGAAGCTGGATCACTTAGTTTTGGAAACTCAGAGTTATTCTGTTCCTACTGGCATTGTTAATTACATGGAAATGATTATTTATAACTTTTTGTCATGGTTATTTTAATAATAAAAATAGTAATGTCTGCTGTGGTGATTTCTGATCATTTTATTTTTCGTACCATCTGTGTATCAAGGAGGTTTTAATTAATTACTAGATAAGTCAAAATGACTTTTGTTAATCAAACCTGAGGATACAAGGTGTGCATATCTTTACAGCAGTTGTCCTTTGGTAAAGTGGAACACTGGTTACCAACATTAACCATGGAATCTTCCGAGCCTAATATCCGTATGCCCGCCGTGCTCATGCCCTCATATCTCAGGTTGATCAGTAAGTAAATAAATGAGGCTCCTACAGTATGTCGTCAGTGCAATAAGTATTCTCTTGACCACTATAAGAAACAACACCTTTACCTTCTTGTCTTACAAAAGCTAATGTGAAGACTTATTGAATTTTTCTATCATTTAAAAATTAATTTGTAACGAGGGTTACATTCAGTAATCATATTCAGCAGATTCTATTTAAAAATAGTATGTACTGTACTTCCATGCAGTGGTAAAAAGTATTTGATCATGATCCATAAAAGGTTTGAATGCATGAATTAAGAGTTGGTTAAATTAACCTATGTAGCATATACTTAAGTCTGTAGGTCTCTGTTCTACTCATCATTCCTTGTATTGAAAGTCTCCAGACAAGAAAAAATTTTGGGTTTTAGGGTGAAGTTCTTTTTTTTGTGAAAAATTGTACTTTCCAGGCAAACCAAAGTCCCAGTAATCTTAATCCATTTATATTTAAAAGATAATTTATCACCTTCAAGTACAGTACAGTGCTGTACGGAATACAGTAGGTACCATGAGGGTACTTATACTGTACCCTCACAGGATACCTTGTGGTTTTTGCATGACATTTTTCTCTCAAACTTTCTGTGGTGTCCATTCAGTATCTGGAGAATATCTTCGTGTACAGTTCCTGTTGTTGGGGACATGTTGTTTGTATAGGTCTGTCTAATTACCCAAAGCTACCCAAAGCCACTCAAAGCCACCCAAAGCTTCCTGGCATTACGTTAGTAATGAATAAATATGATATATTTACTCATTATAATGTTGGTGCTGAATGTAGAACATGGAAAAACATATTTTTACTCTGAAAAAGTATCATTTCATAATGAAATTAGATGAAAATAAGCTGCTGGTGACGCCAAAGCAAGTCGACGGTCCAAGCGACAATGTTGTGGAGCGACTTATCCAAGACACATTGTTGCCTAAAGAGTATTTGCTGGCATATCAGCCTCCTGTACTTACCTAACCTAACAAAACAAAACATAACCTAACAAAACAAAACATAACCTAACTAAACCTAACCTATCCAAACCTAACTTAATATAACCTCTACGCAACAATATATCTTGGATAAGTCGCTCCACAACATTGTCGCTTGGACCGTCAACTTGCTTTGGCGTCATCAGCAGCTTATTTTCATCTAATTTCGTTATGAAATGATACTTTTTCAGATTAAAAATATGTTTCTCCATGTTCTACATTCAGCACCAACATTATAATGAGTAAATATATCATATTTATTCATTACTAACATAATGCCAGGAAGCTTTGGGTGGCATTGAGTGGCTTTGGGTAGATTTGGGTAATTAGACGGACCAATTTACATTATTTCTTATGGAAAAATTTGTTTCGGTTTTTGTACCGTCTCTGGGAACGGATTAAATACGAAAACTGAGGTACCGTTGAGGTTCCCCAAGACCAAATACAGGTCTTCCCCAGGATGCAAGCCACAACAGTTGCCTAACTCCCAGATGCATACTTACTTCTAGGTGAACAGAGGTATCAGGTGAAAAGAAATGTTCCAAACTGTTTCTGTCCTGCCTGGTGATTGAACCCAGGTACCTTGGTTGCAAGTCGAAGACGCAGACTACTGCGCTGTTTTGAACTCTTACATGCGGTAGAGCAAGGGCGGTCAATATTGTTATTGGGTCGGTCAATATACTGTACTATATTCTCTTGCTGGTGTATATTACATATAATGTATTTTAACACATGATGGGTGGGGGCTTGAGTGATAGCTAAAGAAACGAATAAGGATGTCTGCACCAAACATTTTGACACATGGTTTGATGCCAGGGGATACTACCAGTACTCCTAGTTGCAAATAATACTCACAATGTTATGTATTTTGTAATATTGCAAGTGGCAAAAAGTATTTTGTTCAAGCTTGGTTTGTGTATGTCTATAGTTGTACAATATGTAAAATATCTTAATCCTAAATTTTGGTAGTTTTAAAGTTGCAATTTCCTCATTTGCATTGTTAGTAATTTGTATGAGCCTCTGATATGTATCTCAAAATTACAAAATTGATTCGTAACTGCTATTAAATAGATTTTGATGACTGAACTACGCATCAGAATATGAAGAAACGACGACGTTTCGGTCTGTCCTGAACTGTTGTTGACTTCATAATGATCCAGGACAGTCCAAAATGTCATCATTTCATCATTTTCTGATGTGTGGTTTGGTCATCATACCTTCAGCTCATTCTATTCAGATATTGTGACTCATCAGCTGCAAATTAACTTTGATTTTTTTTTGTATAATGACTATTATTGTTTTAAAGTCTTATTATCAAATTGTAGCCAGTTTCAAATTGTCAATATAAACAGCTAGTGAGACCTGGCAGTTCCCCTCGCCAGTCCCCGACTCCAGTTCCCCTCGCCAGTCCCCGACTCCAGTTTCCCTCGCCAGTCCCTGACTCTAGTTCCCCCTTGCCAGTCCCCGACTCCAGTTCCTCTCACAAGTCCCTAACTCCACTAACCCCCCACCCCCCACCAGCCCCCGACTGTGGTATCCTCCATCTATCCCTGGCAATGGTATTTTCCACCCATCCCTAACTTTGGTATAGTATTTGCCACCAGTCCCCAGTGCAGGTATCTTCCACGAGTCTCTGACTCTGGTATCTGTACAAACACAGCTTATGCATCCACTGCATTCACAAGCACCATGTCGAATCGTCGAGATGATGATAGTATCAACATCAACAGCTGTAGAAACTACACTGCTATCCTATGAATATTTTAGGCAAGCTGGGGAATAAAACAAACCCCATAAGAAGAGTTGCCAGAAGGAAGTAGATACTATCTACGACGTAAGCAATAAAAGCCAGAGCAGATCCTCGTCATATGTATGACGAGCATCTGCACCCCCCCCCCTCCCCCCAACGAGTTACCAATATGTTTGGACAGTGCATTATGGTTATCCAAATATTTTCTTAAAGTATAGATGTTTTTATTTGTTGATTATTTGATGCTTAATTCTTGAAGACAAAGTATTGTGCACATTTGAAAATCAGAACAGCCAGAATATAAACTTATACAATTTAAAGATTAATGTAAATTATCATGACTTGAAATGGAAAAGTGGAAATACAGTATAGTAGTGTACAATTATTTGTACAGTGTATAAATGCATGTCATGTATACTTATATTTATAAGTAGCATATAAGAGTAATATGTAGCACATAATCCACTTAACACTTATATGTGCTGTTTGTGATCCCTCTTCACACAGTGTACATTTACATACATGTTCTGTACAGTACTGTATTGTGCAACATAAGTGCACAACCATTTCTGAAGCAACAGGCACTATAACAATCACATACTACACCCATCACTATAACTACTGAAAACATTAATACAACATAATTAATACACCATTAATACAATAATACAACAGTAGTATTAATACTACTACACATACAACAGTCACATCCCCTTCAAACACAACTTCCATATCCATTGCAGTTACAACCAGTCACAACCACCAAAATTATACAGATGCAGTAAACTAGATTCTCGCTCTTAATGGACAGATTCTTATGAACTCCACTATGACCAGAATTCAATTGTATTTAAAGTTTTATATGATTGCTATTTAAAACTAAACATTATTATAGTTTTTAATGAAAATTATAGAATACACCATTTTGAATATTTTTAAAATAAAATCAATTCAAAAAGTTTTTATAATTTTAAAGTTTTTCAGTAACGAATTCCAGTTCAGTAAATGCACGGACTGCTTCATAGGAAAACGTTGGTTATTTCCCACTGCAACTGAATATATAGTGACTTTTACTTCCAAAGTGGACTCCTCCTGCATCCTGGCTTCCAGTGTACCAATTTGCATTTGAGCACAAGTCCAGTGTATTTGTTCTTTTTCTTGCTCATATTGAAACTCACTCATATATTAGTTAATTTTTATTATTTTGTTGGTAAATTTGTGGAGGGAGAATTTACTGATGTACTGTAGCCATACAACCATCCTTCTGCAATTGAGAGAGAACATGGCACATAGACTTTTCTATTAATTTTATTTTAATTTTTACCTTATCACTTGGCAGTAAAGTACTGTAGTTTGATTGAAATATAATGCAGGATAAATGGCAGGTGTTTCAAACAATCTGAATCTTTTATCTGTAATACAGTACAGTGCTGTATTTCATGGGATAACTACATCCTTCATAAATGTTTTGGCATTAATCATTGACTTTTCTGGTACTATCCCTGCAGATACAGAGGAGGGTAAGACTGCCATGAAGAGAATTCGCGTTGAGTGTGGGGTCTGTAAGGCCACACGGTTTTATTCAATTCATAGAGGAATCACACGCATCGCTGGAGTTGTGGCTTGTGAAGCATGTCGACAGTTTTACCAACGTTTCAAGAAACAACCGTGGGTTTTGAACTGTAACAAAGGAGGCAGGTATGTGTAGATTTGAACAAGTGTATTGTATTATTCATAGTTGGAAATTCCACATACTCTCAAAATGTTGATAAGCTCCACAAATGTTACTTTAGAAAAATTATTTGCAGAATTTTCCCTGGCATGTTTTAATTTATTGTTATTTCATCTTATAAATATGCATTCCCCTTGACATTTTAATGTAAGCCTTTAAGCCAGGTACTAGTGCTTTCTTGATTGCTTAGCAGTATGTTTTGCCCTTTGGCTCTTGGTGCAGTCCATGGACACTAGTGCCCTGTTTTTAGGTCTGCATGTCTGTTTTGGTACATGCAGACCTAGGAAACAGGGTTGGTTCAACAGAAATTGCGAGAGGGTCAGAGATCAAAAGACACAAGCATGGAATTATTATAGAAAGAGGCCAAACCCCCAAACTTACCAGCGATACAAAGATGCAAGAAACAACTACACGTCAGTAAGGAGAGAGGCAGAGAGGAACTTTGAGAACGGTATAGCAGACAAATGTAAATCAGATCCAGGCCTTTTCTATAAATTCACTAAAAGCAAGCTGCAAGTAAAGGATAATATTCAGAGGTGAATATTATGAAATATTGAAAATGGGGGACAGATACATGGAAAATGAAAAGTAAATGTGTGAAACATTAAACGAAAAGTTCCAAAGTGTGTTTGTACAAAATGAGATCTTCAGAGAACCAGACACAATAAGAATTACCAACTAGACCCTGCCCCTACTCCGAAACCCTCAGACATTTGGGAGCCAAAAGCAGGGGATGGGGCGAGCAGGGTGAACAACAGGGGAAGATCCAGGGAGTACGGACTGAACCAAAGTCGAAGCGACTAATGCTCCAAGGTCTGGGTCCCTATAACCAAAGCCGGGCAGCTGCGGGGCATCCAGGTGGGAAACCAACCTAGCGCATTGCAGCAACCTGAACCTAGCATGCAACGCAGATGCTGCCTGTACCCTAACAGTAATATTATCAGAATAGTACTGGAGAACAAGCAGAGAACACGACTTGCAAGACTTTGGGTCAAAGGTGTCGTCTACCCAACAGGCAGCATGACAGAGGCAAAAAGAGATGGCTCACTCTGAGACAAGGGCACACAGCAATCTTCAAACCACACGAGGCGGGCTGGAACTCGCAAGACAGATCCATAGGTCCACCAAGTCCAACAGAGTTGTCCAAGGCCCGTAGGCTGACTGCTATGGGAAACCCGGGCAAGGTGTTGTTAACCAGTAAAGACACAAAGCGAACAAAGGGGGATATCAAGACACTGAAACCCCTGCAAATTGTACAATCATGGGGGGGGGGCCTAGCAGAGGGTCACCAAAATATTACAAGCAGAAATGTAGCCACACCAGGCAGACCCCCACCAGGCAAGAAAAGAAAAAACAAGAAAACCCAGCAAAAGTATAACGTCCATAAAGAAAACAGGAATCGGCTGCTGCATAGGTAGGCAGGCTGCACAATACCACCTTTGGAAATCAAGGCCAAAGATGATGTCCGCCCCAGACCACATTAGCTAACGAACTGGAGTACTAGGTAGCCGGCGTGGGAAAGTTCGGGGCTCCCCCTCTCCCTTTCGGGGAGGGGGAGGGCTGCGCAGACAAGCGGTGCAGTGGTAGAGTGTGACGTTTGCTTGAAATTGGAGGGAGTTCTGCCTCTCTTTTCGGTTTTTAATTGTATTTTCTTACCATGTGAGGTTTGTTTTGTTATGCCTTTCATTCTGCATGCCTAACCCCGGTCAATGGCAGATAAGGAAAACCCCAACCACAGGAGGAGTTTTCCCATGGGGCCATTGCTCCCTGAAGCCTCTCTGAGTGAGCCAGATTCTGGCTCGTGGGCCCCTGTAGGGATGAACTCCATAGACTAATGCCACGGTCTAATATATCACACATTAGCCCGATAGCTTCAGGGAGCCGTAGGGGCTCCCCACAGAAAATCCCCATTTTAAACTTCATAGGAGTCGCTGGTAGTTAGGAGCTAATCCTGTTTAAAGAAGGGGGCAATGTGTCTGACCCAATCTGCCTATGATAGTACCCTACCACCCATGTCATTCTAAATAATTGGGTGAGGCTAGCCCCATGCATCTGGCATCTAACCTTGAACAAGCAGACATTCATTCTATTTTATAGATATAGATATCCAACTACAGTATATAAGTGGTACTTGCACTTAATGGTTATGCAACCAGATGATGCCTAAATATTTAGTAAATGCAAGATTTTTGGATTTTTTTGTACACATTGAAAACTCCCGATGTGTTCACAAATACATGTGAACTCATTGTCAAATAGGGAAGACATGACTTCTTATTAATTTTGGTGTGTGGTTGTGACCAAGACTCAACAGTGGGTTGACTTGTAAATGCCGTCTTGCACAGGAATGTATTGGCCAATGCTTCTCCTGGCTAAGGGCCCTTTCTGTAAAGAAAAGATAATTTTGACAGTAAATACGGTTGGTGAAAGTAAATGAAACTCTTTCAGGTGCTTTGGGCTAGATGAGACTCCAAAGAATAAATGCAAAGCATGCTGGGTTGCGCACATCATCTGCCGTTGTCCTGTTCCCTTGAGTTTGTATAATCATCTCGTAGGATACCTGCCCACAGATCTCAAGGTGAGTATATCCTCTCTTGGTTAAATCTGGAATGATGCATAATAAATAAATAACTAACTAGTATAGTTAATTTAAGACTGTAAACATTCCGTTTGTTGACCAGTTTTCCTTAAATGTAAAATGGAAGACACTAAAATTAGTTTTCTTTGCTTTATTTTCCCTTCCTATATGGTATGGCAATACTATGGTTGTCATCACTATGATATGATGCAGTACCAGCCAAGTTGCTAGCCATGTATGAAATCTAATTTCCTAACCATAAGGTCAAAATATTGCAAGCTACTCGTACAGCTTAAATTAATTTATGCAAATCACAACTAAAAGGAGCCTTTAGACTGCATACCCAGTAATTATTATTTCAGCTTGTTAAAACATTAAATGGGTAATGTTTGTCATGAGTTAAGTTTAATTAAAATGCTACGTGTATTGCATGCATTGTATGGTACAGTCTAATAATGTTTACACTGTACAGTCACCTTATATTTTTCTAACTGTATGTGTTTTTAGGTATTACTCAGCTACCCAAGAAATTATAATTATGACTTAAGCAATCAGGCTCACTTCATGTTGTGTATCTTAAGCAATCGGTCTTATTTCATGTCGTGTATCTTAAACAATCAGCCTGACTCATGTCGTGTGTCTTAACACTATTACATCCGAATAACAGTATTGACATCCTAAAATCAATACACGTACAGTAGTTATCCAGAGGACGGCAGTGCTGTCCAAAATTAAAATACAGTATCTGTTAAAATTCCATTTATTGTCCGATTATCATGGGGTTTGTTTTAAAATGTGCACCAACGTCTTCCCATTCTCTGTGGATATATATATATGGCTATTCATAATGCTTTTGTGTTATACAAGTACAGTACTACACAACTGATACCAAGAAATCATTTGTACTCACATTCCTCCAGTTTCACGAAGTAGTCATTTGGTCACTAGTGTACTTTAAGTATAAGGATTAACCTCTCAAAACGTGACATCATACATGCTGGTGATGAACATGAGGATGACAGCAGTTCTGCTAGTGACAATGTTGCAACACCCGGACCATCAGGTGTGAGGTAGCCACTATTCTTTACTTTATGTACTTTATCTTATGGTATTGGTAATGTTGCTCTTATACTTGTTGTTATAAGTAAATATTCCTTTAGAGCATTCTATTGTGAACAATTTGATACCAAATTGAACGATGTAGCACGAAGGTAAGGTAAGAATGCTGAAAAGAGTATAAACATCGCTCGCCCTACCTTGGTGTGCGCAGCGGCCCGCCTGCCAGGGCAGCAAAAGTGTTAAGCAATCAGCCACACTTGGTATTCCTTCCATGGCTATCCTCACTTCACTCAGCATGTCCAAGTTGCAATCTACTACCCAGCTTTACTGTACCTAGCTTGCAGTATACAATACTGCCTGTAATATGCATTCCTCTACTGAGCAGTTTTTTACAATATAGTGCAGTGGTATTTATAGCATTTTGTCTATTTTTCTGAGGGGAACCTCTATGGCTCCCTGGAGCTATCAGGCTGATATGTGTTACATTAGTCTGGGGCATCAGTCAATTGGAGTTCAGCCTACCAGGGACCACGAGCCAGAGCCTGGCCCCCTCAGAGAGGCAAAGGGAGCAATGGCCCATAGAAGCCCCCATGTTTCTGGGGATATTCCATGTCTGCCATCGACTGGAGTTGGCACCCAGAAAGGTATGCGTAACAAAACAAACCCCACTTGGAAAGAAATTGCGACTGAAAACCGAACAGGGAGGCAGAACTCGCCCTACAACTTTAGGAAACAAGCAAGCCAGCAAATGTCACACCTCGCCACCACACAGCCTGTCCATGCAACTATTGAACTTTGGACCCTCCGTGCTGGCTACCCAAGCCATTCAGTTCGTTGGCTGATGTTGTCTGGGGCGAACGTTGACTGGCCTCAGAGTCAAAGTACACCCGGAACCCTATTTTGGTTATAGGGATCCGGACCTGGGGGCATTAGTCGCTTTAACTTTGATTCAGTCTGGACTCCCCGGTCCTGCCCCTGTTGTTCATTCTGTTCCCCCTTCCAGCTCCCAAACGTCTGAGGGTTTCAAAGTCGGGGTAGGTTTTAGTTGATAATGAGAGACTGGCAGCTTCAGGGCTATGGCTTCCCCATTCAGGTTGGGGACAGAGGCATTCGAACCGATTCCTTCTGCCAAGGCTTCTGGGTCCCACCAGCAGGCCCCCTTCTTTTCTGCCTTTACCCAGGACTCTGCCTTTTCTTCTGGGTTAGGGGGTATGAAGAACTGCTCTGCCCCAGGTCCTGGTTTGAAGGATTCTGGGGCTGGAGAGGAGTTGATCTGGGGGGGCTTGGGTTCCCTTTGACCACGCTTGGGTGTTGGTACCCTCTTTGCGGGGCTTGTTGTTGCAGGGGAGGGGTTTTCTTACCCCCCTTCCCTGTAAGAGTATGATTTGGGGTCGGCTCCTCCCCGGGTTTGATTTCAAGTTCCCTTGGGTTCCTTGGCTCCTTCCCGGGTTTCCTTGTGTTCCTCAGCTCCTCCTTGTCGGAGGTTTTCTCCCTCTCGTATCTCACCTAAGGAGGTTCAGGAGGTGCTTGCTGCTTACCGCCTGTGAGACTCAGATTCTGCCTCTGTGATGGATCCGTCCTCGTTTGAGTTCGGTTCTTCTTCCCCGTATTGGGTGTGTATGGAGGTTCCGAAGTCTACCTGGCTGGCAGACTGTCCTTTGTTTTCGTTGTGGGCATGGCATGGGTTCTGTCAGACCCGCATGCTTGATTGGCAAGAAACTTCTACCATTCTGCAGGTTTACCTGGGGGGGGGGGTGAGTTTGAGTGCCTTAATCTATGCTTGTTCGCCCCTGTGCTTCCTCAGGATGTTCGCCTTACATAGCTGCATTTGCAGGTTCCTTCCCTTTTGGTGTACATAGTCGCTGAGGATTTCCGCGCCAGTGTGACATTTGCCTGTTTGCTCGTTTCCTCAGGTTGTGGGGTGAGTTTTGCCTCCCTGTTCTGTTTTTGGTTGCAATTTCTTACCAAGTGGGGTTTGTTTTGTTATGCCTACCTTTCTGGGTGCCAACCCTGGTCGAGGGCAGATATGGAATGCCCCCAACCATATGGGGGCTTCTATAGGCCATTGCTCCCTGTGCCTCTCTGAGGGGGGCCAAGTTCTGGCTCGTGGTCCCCAGTAGGCTGAACTTCAATTGACTAATGCCCTAAACAAATATAACACATATCAGCCTGATAGCTACAAGGAGCCTCTGGGGCTCACCCAGAAAATGGCGTTTCAATACATTCAATGCTGGTTTATTCTTTTAACATGAAGAATGACAAGAAAAAACAAGGCCAGTGTGGGAGCGATAAACAAACATTTCACACCCAATAGTAATACTCAAAATATTTACTGATAGACTGTTCATGATTTAATTATTTTTTCCTGAGTGTAGAATGTTGAAGGCTGTATGAAGCTACAAATATTAGTGCATGTGTCTAAGCTTTTAAATAATTAGTGTATAACTTCTCGATAAACATATTTCATTCACTCTTAAAAACAATGACCATATTTTAAGATATTATTAATCAGGATTTAAAACTATCAACACTTGTATTTCGTCAGAGCAAAATGGCCGGAAAACCACCAACAGCAGAGGAGGTCCCCGAGAAGGAGCGGGGGGGTCTAGGTCTTGAAATTTACCAAGATAATGACTGGGTAGACGTAACAGACAAAGCAGAAGTAGAGTCTTTACTTCGTAATGAAGAAGAAAATGAAACTGACGAACCTAATGAGCCAGATGTGGACATTGAGTTCGAGGCTGAGGAGGAAATGGTTGATGATCCGGTACGTTTGTATGTAAAGTAATTTGTTTAAGTTTTGAATATTTTCTATGTAGACAAATATAACTATTGTTCATCAGGCTTTTATCATTTTGTTGGAGTTTTGCATTCTAGTTGAGCATTCAAAATCAAAATACTGTATACAGTAATAACGCTCGGAAACACCAAAAATCGAATCGGTTTAAATCATAATTTATATCTAGAATCCATGAAAGGACCCATACTAAATTGCTGGTTATTCATAGTTTGTCATGATAGTTTGGGACCAAAGGTAATAGGGTCTAAAACCTGTAATGCAAGAAAATGGTGATGTCATAGTGAAGTCACACCTCGTGTACACTATGTATAAACTAGAACATTACACACAAAAATCACAATAGCGTGATGCATCAAATGAACAAAGTAAATTCAGCAGAATTTCTGGTTGCAATTCTTTTACCACGTCGTAGCTCAGTCGATTAAGGCAGCGTCTGGGATGCTCTCAGACGTCGTGTTCGAATCCTCGTCACGGCCCTTGTGGATTTGTTCATTAAACTAGAACATTTTACCACTTGTTCATTTGGGCCAGATTGGGTTTGGTCGGGTTCGGTTAGGTTAGGTGTGGGGACCACACCAAAAGTGCAATGTCATTAAATTCAATGCTTTATTTTTCACAGGTTTTGCCAGAAGCAAATGCACCTGAAGTTGCCTCAAGTTCTGTACCCAAACCTAACCGCCCAGGACCCAAGAAAGGCAAGAAGACTGCAAGAACTGCTACTCTTGCTGATGAACAAGTATGTACGGCTCTATTTTACTTTTGTCTAATGTGAAGTATCTTGCTAATTGCTTTTAATCTTTGTAAATTAACCAAGTTTGTAATAAATGGATTCTAATAGTTTTATGTTTTAAATTAGATATATACATAAAAGTAGCAATTTTGTATGTTACCTTGGGAACAACTCCAAGATAACATACAAAATTGCTACTTTTAATGACTGCCGTATTTAGTAGGAGAGATTTATTTGGGAGAAACAAAAAGTTGTAAAGTTTGGTTTTTACATAGTGAAGACAACAAAAATTCTTAAAAGGAATTTCTGCACTGTTCCTTCTCCGGCTTTTCTTTTGCTTATTTTCACAAAACTTTTCCAGTGTTTTGTGACTAGAAAGCCAGAAACTGGCTTTCTAGAGGGGTCCGAACTGCGGCTTCCTGTAGTTAGCCACACTTGAGATAGCACCACATCTATGAGATACATCAGACTTTATGAATCCTTAAAAGCTTACCGAAGACCAGATTCCAAAACCTGGGCCCTCTTCACGTATGCAGAGAGAGCACTAAATTCATGATCACCCTCATCCAAGAATCAAGTTTGCCAGAAAGGAAGCAAAGCCAAACTGCAGTCATCACAGAAAGTAAACAAACCCATACAGCAAATGACTGCAAATGATCTCCCTGTAGTTAGATCATAACCCCCCCCTCCCTGTAGTAACAGCTGACCACCATCAAATGGCAACACCACAGGAGCTGCTGGCAATTACTGTCAATAACACTCAGTCCTTCACCTGATGAGACGTGTTTCATGGAGCGATCAGAATTGTCTGACCTCTCCATTAATTGCTGACACTTTAGGTTCAACCACTTGAGCTGGATGGTAGAGTGACGGTCTACCTGATAATCACCTTGACACTTTAGGTCCCGGAGTTTTCTAGATACTAGTAAGTGTAATTACTGTACCTAAGTGATTACCTAAGTGTGGTTACAGGATGAGAGCTACGCTCATGGTGTCCCGCCTTCCCAGCACTCTTTGTCATATAGTGCTTTGAAATTGCTGACGGTTTTGGCCTCCACCACCTTCTCACTTAACTTGTTCCAACCGTCTACCACTCTGTTTACAAAAGTGAATTTTCGTATATTTCTCCGGCAGCTTTGTTTCGTTAGTTTAAATCTATGACCTCTTGTCCTTGAAGTTCCGGGTTGTTGTTGTTGTTGTTAAAGATTCGCTACCTGGAACAAAAAAATTCCAAGCAACACGGGCTATGGTGAGCCCGTAGATAGTTATTAAAAAAGTTCCGGGTTTCAGGAATTCTTCCCTATCAATTTTATCGATTCCTGTTACTATTTTGAACGTAGTGATCATATCGCCTCTTTTTCTTCTATCTTCTAGTTTTTGCATATTTAATGCCTCTAACCTCTCCTCGTAGCTCTTGTCCTTCAGTTCTGGGAGCCACTTAGTGGCATGTCGTTGCACCTTTTCCAGCTTGTTGATGTGCTTCTTAGGATATGGACACCATACAACCGCTGCATATTCCAGCTTTGGTCTAATAAAAGTCGTGAACAATTTCTTTAGTATTTCGCCATCCATGTATTTAAAAGCAATTCTGAGGTTAGAAAGTGTAGCATAGGCTCCTCGCACAATGTTCTTAATGTGGTCCTCAGGTGACAGTTTTCTATCTAAAACCACCCCTAGATCCCTTTCTTTGTCAGAATTCTTTAAAGATTTCTCACATAATTTATAGGTTGTGTGGGGTCTATGTTCTCCAATTCCACATTCCATAACATGGCATTTATTCACATGAAATTCCATATGCCAAGTATTGCTCCATATACTTATTTTGTCCAGGTCTTCTTGAATGGCATGACAATCCTCTAGGTTTCTTATCTTCCCTATTATCTTAGCATCATCAGCAAACATGTTCATGTAATTCGGTATTCCCACTGGTAGATCGTTTATATAGACAATGAACATTACCAGTGCAAGAACTGAACCCTGTGGTACTCCACTCGTGACATTCCTCCAATCTGATACCTTGCCTCTAATTATGGCCCTCATTTTTCTGTAAGTTAGGAAATTTTTCATCCATGTGAGAAGCTTACATGTCACCCCTCCAATATGTTCCAGTTTCCAGAACAACCTCTTATGGGGAACTCTGTCGAATGCCTTTTTTTAGGTCCAGATAGATGCAGTCAACCCAACCATCTCTTTCCTGTAAAATCTCTGTGGCTCAATCATAAAAACTGAGTAAGTTCGTTACACAGGATCTTCCAGTTTGAAAACCTTATTGTGTTGTTGACCATCCTTTGTGCTCTGCCTTTTGTGCTTTGCACCATTTGTTCATGTATTACTTCATCCTGTAGTATTTGCTTCATATGTGTGTATTTACAAGTCTCATTTGTTGTGTGAACTTTAGAAACCATTCTCCTCAATCGGCATGTGCTTAGGGCTGCCCTTCTTTATACTCTTACTGATGTTGCCTGTACCCTGCCAGCATTACTTCCCTGGTGAGTTCAGGTGTTTGTCCCATAGAGGTCAGCCTCTTGTGGAGGTCACCTTGCCCTGAGTAGTGCAAGGATCTTTGACTTCTCAGCATGGCTCATAGGTTGGGGCAGTCTTTGATTTATTAATTATGGGATACACTAGGGTTCATGTGCCTGTATATACAGCACACTACTGATGCTCTTTGCAGCCACATGTTTCCTTAGTGCTGCATTTGGTGCCAGTTCCTATTGGTGAGCATCCCTTCACTATTTATTGTATCAAATGTATGTGCAGTACTGTCATATAAATTAAATATTATTATTATTAGTATTATTAATATATTAAATATTGATGTATTGGCAGGTTATGTCATCTGCAATACAGCATCTGCAGATAAGTAGCCAATTAAAATTCATGGAGAACTTCAACCCCAAAACCAGCGAGAGAGTACGGCGCAAGAAGAAGAAAGTGCAATACTTCACCAGTACAGGAAGGTGAGGTGTAGGGATATACTTCCTACAGTGGGCGGTATTTTAAACAATTGTTTACAAAACTATAGTATATATTATCAAAATAATTTTCTCAGTTTCTGAATGTCAAATGTTTTTATAGCCTGCACCTTTAGGGCTTGCATGTTATATAGGTAAGGTATAAGTGCTAGGGAAGAGAAAATGTAAAAAATTACCACAATTTGACATGCTGCCAGATGATTTATTTTATTTTTTTATTTTTTTATATATACAAGAGTTCTTACATTCTTGTACAGCCACTAGCACACACAGAGTTTCGGGCAGGTCCTTAATCCTTTGTTCCCCGGAATGCGACCCCGCCAAATCATTTAACAATCAGGTACCCATTTTACTGTTGGGTTAAGCAAAGGCTACAGTTAAGGATTTGCATGCAGTAAATCCTCCCCAGCCAGGATACGAACCCAGGACAAAGCGCTCGAGAAACACCAGGCAAGCGTCTTACCACTACACCACGGGGGTCAGTCTGAGAGATTGGTATGAGATACACAATTCCTGTGTGCACATGTATGGCCAACATTCGCCAGCAGTGTCATCTGCCACACAATATCTGGGTGCTCAGGCTGCTCACATGATCACTGAGCTAAGAGCTAATTACACCACCTGGACAATGTCACTATACTAGGTTCTCATGACCATTTCCTATAGCTTAATAAAGATCTTTGCAAATGGTCTTATGGTCTAATTTCCCATTGTCGGGGAAAAAGATGGTTAAGGGGACAAGGATGTGTAATTCAAGCCATCACAGAAGAACCAGTCCAGTACCCTCAACACCTCTTATAAACAACTTAACTAATTAGCAACTCAAGAAATGATAATTAATGCTTTGCAGATAATCATTACCATCCAAACACATCTTTGCTACAACCAGGTGGCAGTACTATACAATCCTTAGCTCTTCAGTAGCCCATATGTTGAGTTTTGGCTGATTTTCCTACTGTGATTGTTGCTTTTATAGGCTGCTTCAGTACATGGATAACTGGTTTTTGGAAATGTCAGCACTGTGGAGACAGCCCGTCCATCAAACAAAGACCCAAAAGTGATTCCAAGCACCTGCCAAACCCCATGTTTATGAATGAAAAAACGGTTTACACATGACTCACAACTGTTGACATTCGAACACTTCCGGAACAAGTGCTTCACTGACGAATTTTGTTAGAGCCACAAACGAACAACTGTAAATGCTTCACCCATGTACTACAAATACAAATAATCGCCAACAGAACCTAACTTATGCCTATATATGCACAATATGCTAATATATTATAATATTAATTTATATTTGAGAAAATTCCCGTTTTGAATGAACACCGTGTAAAAATTTATGAATGCGTCTGTGGGGTCGACTGCTGGTTGTAATGGACTTGAGTCGAGGACGGGTTGGTGGAGAAATGCCCAACAGACCACTGGAACATTATCTAACACAGTGTATAGTTACAAACCAAATAAGATTTCAACTGATATTTAATAGAGCAGAAGTTGTTAAACACATAGGATAGAATCTTACTAAAGCAAACTTAAGTCATAAATACTCATACACCACCTAAGTAAGACAGAAACGAGAAACACGTAAGAGTTAGTGTGCCAGCCAGATGCTTGGGGCCTGTGCAGGAATATCTCGGCCAAAAAAAAAAAAATCATGCTGGTTCCCTTATTAGCTTGCAATAGCTTCTTCACTGTTCCAAGATCTTATTTGATTTGGGGAAAGGAAAATGCATTCATGCAACTCTGCCTTAATCCCTCGTTCATATCAAGAATGAGTGTTCTATATTTTTTCTCATATGGTTCATTCAGTGTTGGTATCGCCCCTCCATCTGGAGCAAGCCCCCAGCCATTTTCCAGACAATAATTTAGGTCATCTGTACTTAATATTCCCAAGAACAGCTTTACATGAGAAAAAGCCATGTATTTCCACCAGTTTTGCTTCTTGTCAGGTGTGACACTTGAAACATGACTGGGCCCAGATTTTCCAGCTTAGACTGCCATCCTAGGTAATATCTCATGTAGAGTATCAGGTGACACTTCAAAGCATTAAGGTTTGGAGTAATAATGAACCAATAAAAACCACTAATATTATTTAACATGTATATATACTGTACAGTACATTGAGAAAATCAACTGGAGGTTGGAGGCGACTTGTACCCGCAACCGAGAAAATCCCAGCTGCTGACGCTTATCACTGGACCACCCTGACTTTATAAATCATACAACCAGATTTCTACTGAAATCACAAAGTCTGGAGTTCCTTCCTGAAGCCAGTCCAAGTTTTATATATGACCCACAAGTACCCAGGTGAAGGCAATGTTGCTCATCCACTGTATGCTCCAACATCAGATAAACAGAGAAATCACACTAACATGATAAATATCAATGAGAAAATCAACTGGAGCTCTGAGGTGATTTAACCTGCAACCGAGACAATCCCAAGAATCCTCGAGAAATCCAGCATTGAATGCAATAAAATGCCTCATTCTGGTAGTGCCTCGGTAGCTCCCTGTCTTCACTTCCTTCTACGTTCATCTGTTTATTTGAGTGCTTTTATTTGCTATTTATTTTATTTTTATTAGGCTGCCTGGTACCGGCAATCAGTTCCAATTGGCTGGACCTACAGTATTTTCAAGGGGATATTTTGTCTCGTTTAAATTGTTTAGGATGTTGTTTGGCAGAGTCTAGGGTTTGAGTCTTGTGAATCCAGCACTTGTCTGTAAAGCTTTACTGACTTTCTGGATGCTTTCCCAGTGAAATGACGGAATGTCATTTGCTCCCATGCACCTCTGTGAGAGGAGCCGGGTTCTGGCTCTGGTCTCTGGTAGGCCAACAAAACTTCTGCGACTGATGTGACCTGTACGGAGCATCTTGGTGAGATAGCTACGTGAGCCACCAGGGCTCTACCAGGAGTCGTTTCATTACATTCAACGCTGTTTTTGTTGTTTCTGCCTCCCACAGTCCACATTGAACCAAGAATATCTTGAGCTGCATATTTTGTAACATTATTCTTTTTAATTTTTAGGACGAAAAACCAGAATCAGCAAAGTATTTATGGACCTGATGGTGCACTTGTTAATTCCGGCAAAGATTTATGTGACTGCCTGCAGAGTGACTGTCCTGGATGCTACTACCCTTGCCCCAAATGTTTTTCTGGGAAATGTGGCAGTGAATGCAGGTATAGTATGGCCAAAACTTGCTTGTTTGTAGTTGGCTAACTCAACGTTTTCCCTATAAATATGGTGTATTAGTGTCTCATAGTAATCTTGCATGTTATAGAACAAATTCCATATGTTGTTGGGAGAATTTCAAAATTCATCATCCGTAGGGTTAGATCTACTGTGTCTGAAGGCCAGAATCAATTACTGTCAGGCCGGACGATATAATGGTATCAGTTCTACGGGCAACATTCAAGCAGCCTCTTAAGATCCTTATTAATTGTGCATGTTCTCATGTTTTTCCAATACTACCATTCTCTCACAGCTGTTATTGTGTCATTTGTGCTGCCAACTGTTCTTGGTAGCTCTGGTTTACAGGTTGAGTCTGTAACGTATGATTATGTTACATTGTTGGGTAGATTAGATACACAGTGTTTAGTGAGTTTCATATTTATTTAGTAGTCCTGGATACAGCAGTGTCGTAGACGTTGAGACGGAGCTAGGAGCAGAGCAAAGAGCTGAGTGTGGCCGGAGTCGCGGAGCTCTGTGTGGAAGAGCGTTGTAACTGGCTGCGGTACTAGTCTGCTACCTGTTCTATGTTGAAGCTGTAGCGTCTTGGAAACGATTAGAACTGCCTACGCCGAGTGCTACATACTTGACTGGAAATTGTACTGGTTTGCTATTCTCAAATCGCTTGCTTATATACAGTGACTGCACCTCACAATAAGATGGGAGGGTGGAAAACCGTTGCCTGTAAATAGGGATAGGATTATAGCTTGTGTAGTTAGTGCTAATTAGTTATGCCATTAAGATGATAAGATCATGGAGGGAGTATAAGTTTACTCGGTACAAGTCCTTCAATAGCTTTTCTGATAAGCACTGGTTAAACCATGCCTTTAAGGCCTCAAGCCAGGCCTCCTGACTCCACTTTGACCTACTGCAAGCCATGACCATAATCTGGCTCTTTATGAGGCAAATGGATTTTGGGAAACAGAGATCTATCCAAAATATATAACATCACCAGAAAGCTTACGTACAGCAAAACAAGCAACTGCCTGAACCAAATTAGGAACCTAATAGTCACAATGAAAATTATCATTACCTTAATGTAAGCACACAAACACTGTTGCACCTCACCACCACCACCACCACCAGGTGGGAACCCAGGTCACCTGAGACTTCAGCTAACAACCCCTTCCCCCCTCCCCACCCCATTCCCAGAAACTATCAAGAACAAGTCCTAAGATCCATTAGAACAAAAGTAGGCTCTAAGCCCACCAAACAAAATCTGAAGGGAACAGCCCAAGCCTCCCATAGCCACCATCTCACCCATCATGGAAACCTGGGAATACTTGAGCCGAAGCCTCTTAAGAGATCCAACTTTCTCAGCAGTTGGGTTCAGCAAAGAAACACGAGGGAGTTGTATCTCTATCTGAGCAGAAACACAACTTCCTTGTGTCCCTTATGTTTCAGTCTGAGTCATGAAAAGTACAAAGGCCACAAAGAAAAAAGCGAGCTAAAGCCACCGCCTCAAAGACAGGCCAAGAGCCACTCTCATTTGTCAGAAACTTATTACAGCCTCCACATACAGATTACTACTGTATTACACTCCCCATCAACAGGCCTCACAGTGGAGAGCATATCCAGTGTGCTACCTGGAAGTAAGGTGACTCAAGAAGAGTCAGCTTATAAAGGAAGAGCCCAAACCTGTCAGAGCAAGCATCTCTAGTGGGGCAAAGACAAACACAAGCTGACTATCAAAGAAGGGAACCCTGGCCCACAGTCAAAGCAAAAAGCATAGCAGTTCCCTGGCAGAACTAATGCTCCAGGAATGGCCAATATCACTTAACCTGAAGCAAAGGATGGGCTTCACCAGAGGCTCCATGTCCTTTATATCCTGTTATTGACAATTGAGTAAGAGGTGGACTGTCTCCAGCTTCAGGTGACTTGGTTGCCACTTGGCAACCTGTTCTCGCAAATTTAATAAGTCAATATTGACTTATTAACTACGTGCATAGGTGATATACTAAACATAATAGATACCCTTAAAAAGATTCATAGAAAACACCGACCTTACCTAACCTTGTTAGTATCTTAAGATAAGCATCTTATTGCTTCGTAATTACAATTATTACTTAACCTATACCTATTATAGGTTAGGTAATAATTGTAATTACAAAGCAATAAGATGCTTATCTTAAGATACTAACAAGGTTAGGTAAGGTCGGTGTTTTCTATGAATCTTTTTAAGGGTATCTATTATGTTAAGTATGTCACCTATGCACATATTTAATAAGTCAATATTGACTTATTAAATTTGCGAGAACGGGTTGCACTTGGTGGTGGTCAAGGGGTATCAAAATTAGGGTGTTTTGTTCCAATTATGTTTTGTGATAATGTTTCTCTTGGTTTTGGGTTAATTTTTGATACCCTAAGCTACTCTTGCTTGGACAAGGGTAGATCTCAGAGGCCTTATGAATCTAGGAAGAGGATGCGGGTGTAGAGAGAGAGGAGGTTTGAAAGTTCGGTGGCCTGTCCACCATGGGTTGACATTTTTGTGTGTGTTGTTTGTTTGCGTATGTGTTATGTTGGGTTGTCAGTACATTGGCTGGGGGGGCTAGTGTTTGTGACCTTGTTGGTGTCCTAAAGCACTAGAGCCGATGGAGTTGGCTGAAGGAGGCTAATCTTAGAAACATCAGGGTAGTTACACTTCTGACGCCACGACAAATGGTTTTTTGGTTTTATATTTTTTTTTTGTAGGTGTTTTATTTATTTATATATATTTTTTTTTTATTTATTTATTTTTTTTTATTTTTTTTTTTTTATTTATTTATTATTAATTTGGTGTAGATTGGGTCCGGGATGGGCCACTCATCTGGATCGTCTGGCAGACCGCTTAGTATATGAGGGCTTGGGAAGGCCTCATCATGGATATGTCTGATCACTTTTTGTTGGAGAGTGATTCTTCTGGTTCTGTGTGGTGGTTCGTGGATCTCGTAGTCGCTGGTGGTGTTTTCTGCTACGAAGGGATCTTCTGGGTCTGGGACATACATGTTCTTCATACGGTACAGCTGTCTTCTGGCCAGGTAGCTGAGCCTAATGTTCATTGGCTTCATGTTGAGCGTCTCATGGATCAGGTCAGTTCTTACCCTGTCCCTCAGAGTCAGGCCCTCTGCAAAGCGAAGTGCTTTGTTTTGTACTCGTTGAATCTTCAGCATGTTGGATTTGTTGGTGAGGTTCAGGGGAACGTAGGGGTATTCCAAGCTAGGCCTTATGATCATTCTGTACAGGTGGAGCTTGATGTGGGATGGGGCTTGGTTGAAACGGAAGAGCCTCGCCAGTGAGCCCCGGGCCATCGCTGTCTTCTGGGATACGTACTGGGAGGAGTTGAGTAGCCTGTTGAAGTTGTACCCGAGCACTGTGTTGGAGTTTGAGATGGCTATGGGTTCACCCTGATTCTTATTCCCCCCTCATTTTCAATGGAGAAGGCCATACAGCCAACAGTGCTTAATTGGATCTTTTCTGGGTTAGTGGTGATCCTCCATTTCCTTTCCCAGTTAGCAGTCCTTGCTAGTTCTACGTTTGCCTTACGGGTTACAGTTGCATGCTTGGCCGCTTGGATGCTAGGGTTAGATGTTATTACGTGTGTTACGTCGTCCGCAAATTGTACGATAATGGTGTCCCTATACTCTGGTTGGGGTAGGTCATTTACAAAGATGTTGAAGAGAACCGGGCTCAAGCATGATCCTTGGGGGACTCCAGCTGTTGGGGTGAAGGCTGCGGCCTCTTTTGCCTTGAAGCTGGGGGTAACTTGCCTATTCTTAAGGAAATTTCTGATCAGCCTGAGGAGGGTCCAGTTTTGCGCTGGTAAGTCTGCTAATTTGTACACAAGACCATCGTGCCACAAGGTGTCGAAGGCCTTGTGTACGTCCCTCGTTGCAATCAAAGCTACCTGTTTTTGCTTTCGAATTGAGCTTACGGCGTCGTAGATGATGTTAATTGCGTGCTGGGTTGATCTATGTGCTCGAAAGCCAAACTGCTTTTCTGTGAAGAGGTTGTTGTACTCCATGTAGTAGTTAAGACGGTTTGACATGATTTTTTCAAAGCACTTGCCTATCGTGTCTAAGAGGGAGATTGGTCGGTAGTTGCCAGGTTGGTGGGGGTCTTTCTTGGGTTTGGGAATGAATATCATCTTGGCTGACTTGAATGCTACAGGAATGTGACCCGATGCCAGCATAGCGTTGAATAGGTTGAGTATGGATTGCATAAGATTGCTTGGTAGAAGTTTGATCTGCAACGCTTTGATCCCTGATGGTCCAGGGGCCTTATCTCTGGTGCTTTTGATGACTCCTCTCATCTCTAGCATAGTTATGGGTCTTGTTAGAGGGTGGTCGTCTTCTAGGGTTGTCAGGTCAATCAGAGGGGTGCTGTTAAGGGAGGCGGCATTTTCTGTTGTCCATTGGTTGACACGTTCAAAGTGAGCGTTGTTGAAGGCTCTGCTGTTTGAAGCTGTGAGTGTCTTTTTCCAGGCTGCGCCCATGAGGTCAGCCTGATCCTGTGGGTCTTCTATTTTTTCTTGCTGCTCCTCTTCATCTTCGTCAAGGAATGTGTGTACAAGGTGGGTGAGGCTGGGGTTAACCGATCCCAGGAGCTGTCTGATCTTGCGCCAGAAAGTACCCGGTTCCCTTTTGTACTGGTTGGCCTGTCTCACTAGGGTTCCCCAAATGTGGCTCTTGTGGGTCAGCGTAAGGTCTATGGTTTCCCTTCTGAGTGTTTGTAGGGTCAACGCTGGTGGCTGGCCAGTTTGGTAGTGGCTTTGGCAGGCTCGCTGGTACTCATTCATTTTGCCTCTGATTTCTCGGGTCGGCTTATATTGGTGGTAAGTCCTTGTGGTGGATATTTCACAAGTGGCCTCGGTTGCAAGCTGGATCCGGTTGTGGATGGTGTTTACTGCTTGGTCGATTGTTTGGGTTGGGAGGTTCTCGAACTCAATGATGGGGTCGTCAGCAAGGAAGGTGTCATATTCACGGGCACGTATGGTTCCCAGTCTGGGCCTGGGTGGTGCCACATATCTGAAGGGGGCTGCTTGGAGGGATGTGACCACAGGGATGTGGTCCGACCCCACGTTCCTGCCTGGGGTTACTCTGCAGTGGAACAGGTCACAATCTCTGTTGGTCAGCACTATGTCAGGGGTGCCCCTCTGGTTGCCCGCAAAGAACGTCTTAAAGTGGGGGCCTTGGAAGGAGAGGTCCCGGTTTTGCATTAGATTGAAGAGCTGCCTGCCCTTGAGGTCTGGCCTGGCAGGTGCGTTGAATAAGGCCTGATGGTGGGCATTCAGGTCTCCTGCGATGATAGTGGGGAGATTCCTGTCGAGCAGCTTGTTCAGAGGGATGGAGGGGAGGTAGGCCAGTCTAGGTGGTAGATATGCGGTGCAGACGATGAGGGGGCCGTGTGAAGTGGTGAGTTCTATTGCAAGAAAGTTGTCGTCTTCTACGAGGATGGGGGGCGGTAGGAGAGTCCTCTTCTTATTAGTATTGCCACCCCACTGAACCTACCCCTGTTGACTACCCTGGTGGAATATCCCCAGATGGAGATGTGCTGGTCCTGTCTGGCCGCTGTTTCATTGAGTAAGATTCCATCTGGGTTAAGTCTGGCTACTTCCAGAGTGAGAAGGTATCTGTTGTTGAAGAAATGTCTGATGTTCACCTGAAGGATTGCGATCCCCATTATTGACTATGAGACGGAAGTGTTTGTTTGGCTGTAGTGCCAATGTTATTACATTCGGTTTGGTTGCTTCTGTTTGTGGAGGTGGGGGGTAAAGCTGTTGAGCCAGGTATCTTGTTCCTGGTTCCGGCCGGGGATTGGTTGGGGTTGGGGTTTTCCATACGTTGCTGTGCCATTGAGGGGTCTTCGGTGTCACTGCTGTTCATGATGTCCACATCCGTGGTGCTAGAGTCGCTCTCTGGTGGAGAGTTGTGGGGGCTGCTTGCCCTTGCTCCGTCCTCAGGGGATGGGGTTCGGCTGTAAGTGTTGGTCCTAGGCCTCTTGGTACAGCGTTGTGTGGAATATCTTGTTGTGGGGCTGCGGTTTTTGAAGCGAAAATTCCTAGGGCCCCGGATGGGGTTCCGTATGGCAAGGGAATTTGTGATAGCTTTGAGGACGATCCTATGTGGGATTGTTTCAGGAAGGGTGGACATAGGTGTTTGCCAGGTTGTCGGGGTGGAGGGGCCGGGGTTGTTCAGGGAGTTTGGAGTCTCCTGGGCGTTGGTTGAGGCCTGGGGGCGAGGAGTACTAGGGTTGGGGTTGTTGGGTTGTGCTTGGGCCTGGCCGGCGGTTGTTGTGATGTTAGGAGTCAAGTAGGCAAGCGAGTCCTCGGACATATGGACAGGGGGCAGGCCATTGTCTTTCCTAAGTGAGTTCCAGAAACCTAGGAGCTTCACTGGGTTGTCTGGAAATTGGATTTGTGCAAATGTTAGGAGTTCGGCCCCTAAGCTGGGCTTAGGGTCGGGGTTTGGTGCAAGAGAGTTAGGTGTTGGGGCCTGTTGTGTATGATTCTGGGTTTGCTCTGGTATAACCGTGGGGTTATGGAGATGTTGGGTGCTTTGGTGTCCCCCTTGGGCCACCGACTGGGCCTGTTGTTGGTTAGGGATGCCCCAGGCATTTACTGGTGGAGGAGGGGCAGGGATGGTAATAGCTGCCTGTTGGCGGGCTGCTGTCTCCGTTTCATGCAATTGCTTGATTGCCTCTTGCCTGCGAGGACAAAGATGCGAGATTGCAATGTGTGGACCATTGCATAGAGCACATTTGGGTGTTGGGTTTGTGCATTCCCTGTAGCTGTGTTCCCCTGTGCACCTGCTGCACTTGGGGGGTTCCATTGTTACATGCATTGGAATAGTGGTCATACTGAAAGCATTTGAAGCATTGCTTGAGCTTGTAAAACCTCTGTGGGTTGATTTTGTCAGGTTCAGCCATGATGCCAAATGCAGAAAGGCCTTGTGTGCAGACTTGCGTTGCTTGCTCCGGTGAAGCCAGAGTAAGTTTCAGTACTTGGTTGTTGCGTTGGGTTGTGAATCTGTGGGCTTGAAGTATTTTAACATCCCTGTTTTTCCTCTCTATTTCTGCAATTATTTCCTCATTTGAGTGATCCATGATGATGTCATGGATCCTATGTACAAAGATGGTGCGTTGGGCTTGGAATCGGCAGGGGGGTAGACAGTGATATTCTTCTCCCTTAGTTTGTTCATGGTGTCTGACGAAAGGAGGTCTGGGAGGTTTGCATTGGGTACCAACAAGATGGCTCCATTCGTTATTTTGTACACATTTTTGTAGGTAATCTGGGTGGCCTCGTGAACCACCTCAAGTAGTTGGGCTGGGGTACGAACCCGGCCAGATTCGTCTGTGAATCTGACTTTGGTCGCCATAGCTTGGTGGGCCAGGCAGCCTAATCTAATCTATACTATGGTGGGTGGCTGTGAAGTGTCCAGGTACCTTTAGGTTTGGCTAGACCAGCATTTAGCTTGGGGAGCTACTGAGGGCCCACTAGAGCAGTGCGTTTCAGTTACATTCAATTCTTTATTTGTATAAGAATGTAATCCTCATTCACACTGAGGAGGTCACCTTAGTCCTCAAATTCCACAATTAGCTCCATACTTATTCAAAGAATTCTGTTTAATATATAGACTAATAATTTATTAGTAGTAATGAATAAAATATGGAATAAAATAATGTTGAATAAGTAGGTAAACAGAGAGAAATGATGTGTTAAGTACATCAGATGCAAACAGGTGAAATAAGTTACAGTAAAAAAAGATGCATCGGTCAGTGGAGAAGTTTTGTTTTATGAGTTGTTGTAGAGCATTTTATGTCTCCAGAGCAGACTATGTTATGGGAACTTTTTAAGGATAGAGAGCTAGCAATCGGAACATAGATTTAAATTTAACTTATGGGTATTGTTGGTTTGTATAGTGTGATTTTTTGTAATCAATCCCATGAGCCATTTTCTGGTTATTCTGTGAAGAAGTTATGTACAGTATTTACCTCCTCTACACAGCACAATTGAGAACAAAATAAAATAATGGAAAGGTTTAATTAGTAGTAAGTGTGAATACACTAAATTTTATCTTTGTCTTTCCAGAATGAACAGGAAGTGGTACTATGAAAAAGTTGAAGTCGAGGGTACAAAACTCACTTGGACAAATGAATTTGTGAAGAAAAAATAATTTTTAGCCCCTACTATCCACATAATTTAGCATGTCATCAAGAAAGATATTGAATGGTGATATGTATTTGTACCACAGATTATAAAGTGACCTCGCTCAAACTTAACTGTTTGGGCTGAACTGATTTGTAACATGCGTAAGATTTTGTTCGATCCAATAATCCCCCAAGTACAGTACATTGTACTGTTTACCTGCTCAAAAAATAATCTCAGTTATGATGGTTTTCTGTACATTTTTTAAACACTATTTTTGATAATGTGTATTATTGTCATATTTGAGCTTATTTTAAAGTTGTATGCATGTAATTAATTTGTATTTTTATTAGGTTGGCTATTTAAAGACAAGTTTAACTGGTAGTTACAGCAACAGCTTAAGCCAGCACATCCCAGTCTATACAAATATATTGTGGTATACCCACAAAATATCCCAAGAGTGCTGCAGCGTCTTATTATTACCATTTTAATCATCTGGTGCAATGCAAACATTTTAAATATAATTTAAAATTATAATAATATATAGATTAACTATAATTTAATTATAATGTGAGTGCCTGTACTATGAATCCTTCCAGAATAACCAACTCTGTTACACATGTCTTTAATAATTCTCTTGATACAACATTATTTTCATTACCACACAGATGCTGAAGTGCTAAGATTAAATTAAATCTTAACATTATATTAAAATGTTATATTTTGAATGCTAGTCCTGCATATTTTTTTTTTCATATTAAGGACTTTGGCAGTTAATGAACAAATACGTATAATCTTGAAGCTATTTTGCTTTCATTTTTTCGAGTATCATTTTCCAAGCCCGATATAGGATCAGGCTTGGTGTATGAGAGAGACCTTACATGAGCCCATTCGTCTTACATAATTGCATAAATATTAACATTTGCACCACTCGGAGGTTATTCTATTTTAGAATGCCATCAAAATATAAAGGGAATGAGATATTTATGCACTTGAACAAGGAGATGGAGCTAATAGATTTGTTGTTCTCTAGTTTTGGTGGCACATTTTAAAAGTTGCCAGTTTGGCTGCCTCATACTTGAGTATCTTTCAATTAATCATGTTCCTGTTTGATCAAGGACTAAGAATAACTGAACTGTTAAATGTGAAAAGTATTGATTGTGTTGATTAAATAAATTGCATAGTTTTTGTAAAAAATTTATTGTAACATTTTAATAGATTATATTGACAGTCAATTTGTATTAAATTAAATTAATGCAAGTAATGGAAAAATTAATTATTATGGTAATTAAAGAAGAATCAATTAAAATGAATGGAGAAAGATTAGATGTAATAAAGAAGTAGAAAAATAGCAATAATTAGTATGACAAGCATCTGCAATATGGGAAAAAAAAAGTTTACTTTTGACATTGTGAATAACAAATTGGTTGATGGTAACAATACAAAGAAAATTGGATGAAGGAGTCAGCACACATGGGTCATAACAAGGCAGCCTGTGGGTTGATGCCTTTATTAGCCAAATCATCTAAAACATTGCTGCAGTTATACAAACATTAACCTACACCAAGTTAAAAATGGCTCCAGTATAAAGAGTATTAACATGATCCGCTATGATACCGCAGCACAGCACCAGTATATATTGTAGTTTCAAAGCGTTATATGACAGAGTGCTGGGAAGACGGGATACCACGAGCGTAGCTCTCGTCCTGTAACTGCACTTAAGTAATTACAGTGTAAGGCCCGATTGTTTTTTTTTTTGGGGGGGGGGGATCATTTTCACACGGCATTAGCTACTTCATTTCAAGGTCTAATTCCAAGGTAAATAATTTGAATTTTCTTTTTTTGTTACGTTTTATAGTGGCAAACATGAACACTGAATAACAAAACAGAAAAGGATTGAATAAAAACTCCAAGAATGTTGTGTTTTATTTGTAAAATCTTTTTCCTTTGAAGAATATTGACAGTAGTTTGTTATCTGCAATTTCAATTCTGTTATGACTTTATCATATACTCAGCACAGTCTATTTACTTTCCTAAGAGAAAATATGTAAACATGGTGTATGCCTGACATCTATCTTCTAACTCGCAATTCTCATTATAATGGTTTTATACTTTTAGTTTTCTTTCCACAATCTTACATGTAACCCTTTTAAGACTATCGGTAATAGGCCTCAGCTAGGCATGGCCCTTTTTAACTTGTAATGGTTCCAGAAATTTTTTTGATCGTTATTAGTATACCATTTGCTACCATGTTTGTCTTCAAGGTATTCTCTTCTTAATGAAAGTCTTACTTGCTTTATATTAATTTTCCCTTTAACATTTCAGTCTCTTAACTAACCCTTCAGCATGTGATCAGACTGCTGGGACAGGGAATGGACATACTCTTGGAGAATGATAAAGAAGTGTGTGAAAAACTCAACAAGAGGTTCCAGGTCTACAAACTGGAACCCGATTGGTGTCCAAGTAAAGGTGATAACAAATGATCAGAAATAGACATAATTGAAGTTAAAAGTATATGAGGTATAAAGTCACCTGGAGAAACTGGATGTAGCAAAAACCATAGGAACAAATCAGATATCATCCTAGTTACAGTGAGACACTGCAGGGATCTGTAACTAGAAGTAACTGCAGAAGGCCTAGTGGCCCATACGAAGCAGCTCCTATTTATAACCACCCAATCCCACTCATATATATGTCCAACCCCACGTTTGAAACAATGGAGGGACCCCACCACCACGTTACGCGGTAATTGGTTCCACAAATCAACAACCCTGTTACCGAACCAGTATTTACCTAAATCTAAACTTATCCAATTTATACCCATTGTTTCGTGTTCTGTCTTGTGTTGATACTTTTAATACCCTATTAATATCCCCTTTGTTATATCCTTCATCCACTTATAAACCTCTATCTTCGCCTTTCCAGTAAATGCAATTTAAGCTTTGTTAATCTTTCTTCACATGAAAGATTTCTAATTTGGGGAATTAATTTTGTCATCCTACGCAGGACACGTTCTGACTTCAGAAGTGGGTATGATTGATCAAATTCATGTGGGGAAAAGCTAACCCCCTCGTGCAACCAACATATTTTTAAAGATGGACTACGAATATAGAAACCCACATGAAGGTCAAAAGTGAGGAATTGCTAGATTACCAGCGAGGTGACTATCAAGGAATGTGAGAGGAACTGCAAACCATCTCTAGGAGGGAGCTGATGGGCGAACTGGCACAATTTCAAGAGGGTCATCACGGAACTTGTTCAAAAATATGTGCCGTAAAGAAGGATGACAAGAAAGGAAGCTCGATGGATGCCACAGGTCGTAAAACGAAGATGGGTAACCAAGAGGAATCTGGAGAACGTATAAATCCACAATGGACGTCATTGATTATGAGTTATATTGTATGAGATTGTACAGCCTGGTTGATCAGTCCGGCAACCAGGAGGCCTGGTCGACGACCGGGCCGCGGGGACGCTAAGCCCCGGAAGCACCTCAAGGTAACCTCAAGGTAAGGTATACAAAAGGGCACTAAACTGCCATCCCAAATCCATGTCCTGATCCATTCCAAGTGCTATATAGTCGTAATGGCTTGCCGCTTTCTCCTAATACTTCCGTTCCGTTCAGCCACGCGGAAAATCAGATCAGCCAAAAGAAACTACGATAGAAAAATTACCCATTACATAAAGATCTCAAATTATTCTATGCCTATATAAGAGGTAAAACCAAAACAAAGGGCTCGGTTGGACCATTAATAGATCGGACTAACCAAGCCATAACATGCGAAATAATTAGAGAGAACATTGTCAAACTAAAAGACTCTAAAGCCCCATGTGTGGTTGGAATCCAGTCTAAAGTCTAAAAGGAATTGACAGAAGAACTGTGCCTGCCGCTGAAACAACTTTTCACAAAATCCCTGACCCAAGGGGTAGTCCCTCTAGAATGGAAATATGTAAATGTTATCTCTTTTTTTTAAAAAGACAGAAAGAGCTCAGCAAAAAACTACCAGCCGATCAGGGTGACATCACACATCTGCAAGCTCATGAAGAGAATCCTCAGAGAGGGAATCATTCACTATCTTTCAGTGAACAACATTGTACAATCGACATATCTAGATTTGTTAAAAACAGATCCTGCCTTACAAATGTGCTCACATTTTTGGAAAATGTAACCAGCTACTCAAAGGCATTCCAGTGGATGTACATGGATTTTGTTAAAGCTTTTGATAAGGTACCACATGAAAGACTGACAAGAAAATTACAGGCCCATGGAATAAATGGTAAAATATTAGAATGAGTAAAACAATGGTTGAAAGCAAACAAAGGGTTGTGCTAAATGGAAACGAATCGGAATGGAAAAATGTGATAAGTGGGATGCCACAAGGGTCCATTCTGGGTCCAACTCTTTTTGTCATATACATCAATGACATAGACGATGATATTACAAACAATATCATCAAATTTGCAGAGGACACAAAAAGTTATGGTAAAGTGGGAAATGATAACGATATTGAAGTCTTACAAAGAGATCTACAGGAACTCCACAAATTGTCAGAACACTGGCAAATGAACAAATCCACAACGGGCCGTGATGAGGGTTCGAACCTACGTCCGAGAGGATCCCAGACGCTGCCTTAATCGACTGAGCTACGACATAAATTATATAGATATACATATATAATTTGTTCATTTGATGCATCGCGCTATTGTGCTTTCTTTGTGTAATGGCAAATGCTTTTTAATATCGACAAATGCAAGATCTTGCATGTGAGGCATAACAACCACGCCACAACTATCAAATTAATTGCATTACATTACAGCAGATTGATAAAGAAAGGGACCTTGGAGGTAAAATCTACTGCTGCACCCACTTGCACAACAGGTGGGTGCAGCAGTCAGAAATGCTAACCAAACTCTTGGGATAATCAAGCGTACCTTTAACTATAAGGAAAAAAAAGGAAAATAATTCAACTGTATAAATCTCTGGTGCGCCCCCACTTGTATAACTGTATCCAGGCATGGAGATAACATCTTCAGAAGGACATGTAGCTGCTCTGGAGAAGGTGCAGCACCGGACATCAAAAGTCCTTCCAGAGCTAAGTCATCTTTCTAAGCCATCTACTACCGGGACTCTTGGTCCCGGTAGGATTTGGGATGGAACGGGGAAAGGAATGGTGCCCAACCACTTGGACGGTGATACATGAAGCCCACATTAACAGAATAACAACAGTTGCATATAGCATACAGGACAACATCCGTGTAGCCTTCAGAAATCTAGACAAAGGGACTTTCTGGGCCCTATATATACAACGAAGGTGAGATCTTTTTTTTTTTTTAGTTTAGTTCATTTATTATGCGCCCCATACCCATCTTGTGGGCGGTAGTGGAAAGGGTTACAGAGGCACATAATGGGCTCAGGGACTGAACCCCACAATTCATTTAGCTAAGCAAGTTACAATATTGATGAGCTAGTTACAAAATTCGATGCACATCGTCACATTAAGAATGGACTCGAGACCGACCTCAAGTACAGTTTCTAATTTAAGCAACTGACATGTGGAGAGCTAGTGTCACAATTAATATGTTTGTCCTGCACACCGCCCCCCATCCAGTGGGCGGCGGTAGACAGTTAAATCTGCATGTGATTTATCCAACTCAATTTCATTGAGTTGGATTGAGCATTCCAATCTCTGCTGTAAAATTGAGTTGGATATGAGCATTCCAATCTCTGCTGTAAAAGCCGTAATATTTCAGGAAATTAGGGAAGACAGAAGAGCAGTTACTAACACTCAGAGGCCAGAAAGCACGAGTATAAAGAGCTATGACATGTTTACAACCGAGAATTATATGTACGGCCAACATAAACATCCACTAGACAGTGTGTCATTGTAATTGCCAGAAGTAGGCTGGGATATTGATATCTATGGCAAGTGGCTGCAGGTAATGAATCTCCCAATGGTGAACATTCCAATTGTAAACTATGTGAACAAGAGCTGGAACATGCTCTCCAACACTATATCTGTGATTGCCCTGTTATAAGTGACCAGACCAAATGGTATGAGGTACTTTGAGCTCTGTAATTACTTCATACACTCAGGAATATTGGAAGATATTCTTGTGCTGTACCCAGATTTTGCCAGTGGAGGCTAATAGATCAGCTATCTTCTGATTTTTTTAGTCAGAATTGATTTGTTTTTGTAATGAGGCTGGTATTTGCTCCCCTGATTCCATATATGACCAACCATCCTGTGAGATGGCAGTTCCCGTGGGGTAGTGGTTAAGACACTCGCCTGGCGTTTCACGAGTACTTTGTCCTGGGTTCGTATTGCCAGGAGCCCAAGTGATCGCTCCCACTAATAGTGTGCTGCTAGGGGCACCTCTGGGCTCGGGCGCCATTGAGGTAGTCCTCGAAGAAAAGCTGAACGACCTGAGGAGGATGGCGGGAAGAATAGGGGCTTTGGATGCTCACGATGCTTTTGTACCTTCTCACAAGGTGCCTGGCTTTGCCCAGACTGACCTATTTCCACAGGTGTGCTTCCTCCTTCGACAGCCAAAAATTCACGGAATATGACTCACTCCAAAAGTCAATAACTATGAAAATGTTAAACCTTTCCTATACAAGATGACCAATGGGACCAAGCAACGCTCCCAGTTAGACTCGGGGGAATAGGTATTCACAAGGCAACACAGTTAGCATTGCCGGCATTCTTATCCTTGACCAGTGCTACAAGTGAATTAGTGAATGAAATACTACCAGAATACCTTAGGACCTCCATTGGGATTCATGATCCCAAATTTGAGGAAGGAGCTGGTCAGTGGGACACTAGCCAATTCACACCCTCGACCAACTTCTCCAAACGACGGTAAACAGTCCAAATGGGATAGCCCCATAGTGGAGAACATCGCCAAAGAATTGCTGGAGGCAGCTTCTCAGAAGGACAGAGCGCGTCTCCTAGCTGTGCAAGCCCCCATGCCGGGGACTTCCTGTTGGCAGTCCCTAATTCCGCCTTGGGCACCCGCCTGCACCATCGAGCCCTAAGTATTGGTGTTGCCCTGCGCCTTGCCGCTCCTATCTCCACCGAACACCGGTGTATTTGCGGCCATGCACGGGCAGACCAATACGGCAGCCATGGTCTCATCTGTCGTAAGACACAGGGAAAGATTGCCAGACATGAAAAATGAAGCAGTCAATGACATCATCAAGAGAAGTTTGGCTACAACTGGGTGTCCAGCACAAAGGGAATCTCAGCTGTGCAGACCTGACAACAGCCAAAAACGCCCAGTTGGAGTCACCCTGCAGCCATGGAGAGAAGATAAATAGGTCGTATGGGATTACACGTGTGCATCTACATTGGCTGATACCTATCTACCTTAGAGCACAGTTGGGGGAGGTGGGGCAGACACCTTCAGGGAGACCCAAAAAACTAACAAGTACCGAGTCCTAGAACGTTGTAACAGGTTCGTGCCGATAGGCTCTGAGCCTCTGGGCGCCTGGGGTAAATGTACACTTAAGTTCTTAATGGAGGTGGGCGAGGAACTCATTGGGAAACTAAAGACTCACGAGCGGCCAGTTTCCTGTTCCAGCGCCTCAGTGTCGCAGTTCAGAGGGGAAATGCGTGCTGTATCCTGGGTACGCACCCAACCTCCGAGGAGCTGGACGAGGTCTTCGAACACTGATTGTTATTTTGCTATATATATATGTGTGTGTTCTCTGTAAACTGTAGTATACTCTAAAAATATATAAATGATGCAAGTATATATCATTCAAAATTAAAAGAAAATTTTAATTTGCTATAAATATTATTATAGTACAATTATATATGACATGTATTATGCTAAATTAGTTTGCAAGAAATTATGTGAATAAGCAAACCATAACAAAGCACATCACTAGAAAGTGCTTGAAAACTTTGAAGTGCTTGCATGCTTGATGGCGACTATATATATATAATTACTACTTCATTATCAGGGTTGTAGACAATATCGAAGATTATTATAAACAATACCCTCTAATTTATCATACAATTATATTGAGAGAATGTAAGAATAAGATGTAAAATAGAGGTAAATGTTAGTATTTGTGGTGTTGTGGGGGCGCGTGTTGGGAACGCTTGGCGCTGCGCTCTTGACGCTCTCACCCCCTCCAGTCCACGAGGCCCTAAACGGTATGCTGGATTCTTAATTTTAACTGCAACATGTCCCTTACAGAGACCATGAATGATTTAAAATTACAAGACGTGGTACGTAGCATGAAGTGGAGCTTGACACGGAGCTCTGAGGGCACGTTTGGTGTAAGATTAAGGCAGTGATAGGGAAGAATGAGGTAAGAAATGTGAGTGAGGGAGACGGTCCTGGGTAGTGAGGGTGAGTCAGTCCCGCGCCGACGCTCCTCCACGCTGCTGCGCATCATGGCTGAACAAATGGAAGTAAGTTTTCCCCGCGCTTGTATTCCCTCCCTCACCTGCCCCTGGTATCATCTTAACTGGTGTGGCGCTGTGTGGCTGCTGGTGGGGTGAATTAATGGCCGCCTTGAGGCCTTTATGCCTCATAGTGAGAATTTGGGATTCGAATCTGTGTGTGGTTGGCGCCACGTGAATGTGCTCATCGACCCACAACAAAGACCGGGACCATTTTGGTAGTGTGGGATTTTGTGTGATTTGTGTGTGTTTGGCGGGGGTGTGAGGGGCTAGGGTGAGGCGTGAGGCTAGACAAGGTGAGGGACAGTGTGATGTGTGAGGAGAGGACGGGCCCACGAGGGTGGTGGAGCAGGGCGACCCCAGGGCCGACCCCGGACGCTTCACCGGGGTGTCCACCTCCTGCCTCTCTATTGCGTCTTCTCTCCTCTCCTCGGCCAACACCACCTAGTTATGTGGGTTTAGGTAGAAAGTTACATATTTTGTGGAGCCATGTGGCCGGATGGGCCTTTGTTCACTGGTGTTGGGCATGATGGGCTGGGGTTGATGCTGGCCTCGTACTGGGCATCTTAAAGGTCTATTGTACTCTTTAGTCAAGAAAGTCTTTATTTCCCATAAGCTATAAGTATGTCTTTAAATGTTGATATGTTCTCTTGCGACGAAGAGCAGTTGATGAATTACAATGTCGATACTGTTGTGAATGTAGTGTGTTTTAAGTGTAGTAATTTACTATATACTGTTACTGAAATTTTAAATATTAAGAATTCTGATGTAAATGATACTTTTGGTATCAGGCCATTTTCTCACATTTTTAAATTATATTATAATACTGTATACTTAAGTCATAATTTTTTTAGGAAGTTAACATTAATCAGTAATGTATTTGGAGTTTGGAAATATAGTGGTTTGTAAACCGCTAATGATGTTTTCCAGGATGGTTCAAGATTAGTCCAGAAGCGCTCGTACTGTATCACACTCGTGAGACAATTGAAGCATGTGTTATGTAGGTTAGTTATATTTTATATCATAAGGAATATGTTGGTACACTAAAGTTTCACAGCATGTAACCCTGACATTGATCACGGATGTGCTGGATAAAAGTTGATCGAGCAAAAATTTTGTGTGCTGGGCACGGGCCACTGCAATCCATACAATTACCCTCAAAGCTAATGAAGCTTCCTATCATTACGTAAGTAATGAAGAAATATGATGTACTCGTTATAATGTTGATGCTGAATATAGAACATTGAAGTTTTTTACTCTGAAATAATACTGTAATTTTATAAAAAAAATTACAGTATAATTTATAACAATTTAAGGGAGCCGGTGGCCGAGCGGACAGAACACTGTACGCGTGATCCTGTGGTCCCGGGTTCGATCCCGGGCGCCGGCGAGAAACAATGGGCAGTTTCTTTCACCGTGATGCCCCTGTTACCTAGCAATAAATAGGTACCTGGGAGTTAGACAGCTGCTACGGGCTGCTTCCTGGGGGGGGGGGGGTGCAAAAAGGAGGCCTGAGTAGGAGACCACAGTAGCTCAATGGTTCCAGCTCCTCCAAAATTTGGATATATACAGTACTCGAAGTCAACGTTTTCAGCTAAGGTTAGGCGTCCTTGTACAGAATGTCAAATGACCTTTACAAGGTGAATAGTTAAATTTAGGTCAACAGTTTTATTTCAATCCCGATTTAAAATTGGCATGGAATATAAGTTGGAGAGCCACTCAATGCCTTTAATTTGATATTTGAATGAACTGAAATGAACTGAACTGAAAGTTGCCATAGGAGCCGAAAGTCATCTTAAAATAAGGCATCACCATGGAAAATCTACCCTTTTTTGTAAAATTTAAGGTCGGTTATCTCCGGAACTTTTTTAGCAACAAACTTGAGAAGTCATTCTATATCTCGTTGAGCTCTGTAGGTGTACCACATTGTACACAAATTGAAATTGGTGCCAGAAAATTTACCAAAGATCTGGCTGAACTGGCATGGAATACATGCCACAGGTCACTATAGTGACCTGTGTGTGTAGTCTAAAAACTGAATAAAATTTTTGTATAGTACTTAAATTGTAAAGTGTTTGAATCATTTGTTTAAAAGATAAAATGCTCACTGGCATTACAAGGTTGTCCCGCTCATTATTTTATGGAAATTGACTATGACTCCTGCAGAGTAGAATGGATAAACCAGCATTTTAGAAGATAGTATCACCATACCTAAATATCACTACAATCCATTGGCCAACATTTTCACAAACTATAGAAAAGATAACCTATATCTTAGGTTCACATTCGTGCTAAAATTAAGTTCTTGTAAGTCTTTCCAATGATGTGAGTAATGAGATTTGGCTCTGAAATGTCCGAGTGGGCGCCAGAAGACTTTGTTCCTTTATTTTAAAGTAGTCATAACTTTTTAGGGGAATTATGTTTAATCACATTAGATGTGGGTAGGTTTGATACAAGTTTTAAAAATTATATGCATTAAAATTAATAGTGATATTTTAGACATTCTGGATAATATATTCCCACACCTTGTCCATCTGGCATGGTAACCACACATCATGCTCGTCCCGTGCCTCGCCCAGACCATGCCCTCGTACCTCATGTTTTACCCCACCACTTTGAGGGCATCCTAATACAGTACTGTACTCTACAGTATTAGTTTGTACCACGTGTTGGACAGTATAGACAGAATATATGTGAAGTGTGATTTTATTGGAAAATATCACATTCTTTGGTATGTATATAATATGTAAACCAATGTTATTGTCAACAGTAAGAAAGTCTTGGTAATCTAATACAGTACAGTAGTAGAAAATGTATTATTTACAATAGCACTGAAAAAGTGGTCTTGTCATAATTACCCAAGACTGCATACCTGATGAACAGATATACAGTAATGCATTTTGCCTGATGTTAATAAAACAATAAATATAAACAATACATTAATAAAACAAATTTGGTTAATTTTGAAAGGGATTGTGGTGAGGGAGGGAGGGAGTTTTCCCTCCACACCAACACGGCCAAACACAGCTTTTTCCAAGATTTTTATTGATTCTCGATTATAAACATTTAATTTTTCACCTTTCACATTATTTAGGATGATAGTGTGTAGAGTTGTTTACTTTGTCCAGTGAGTGATTGTGAACATTATTTAGCAGTGGGTCTTTTTTTTAAACTAAATATATGAATTAAGGAACCTGCAGAAGGCTCGTCTTATTGGTCCATACGAGGCAACTCTAATTTATTTCCTCCCAAACTCACTCGTATTCAGTATATGGAGCCTAGATTTGAAAGTCAAGGGATCACACTTCTATTATGTTGCCTTGTAATCTCTTTAACAAATAAACAGCCTTGTTTATATCCAGTACTTAACTAGATTTTCCCAATCTAAAAAATGTAGTGTGGATGAGCTGAGGAGGAACTGTAGTTTGTCAGTAAGCAAGGCAATACTACTGCCTATTGCTCGAGAGCTGAGTGGACAGCGCTTCGGATTCGTAGTCCTGAGGTTCCGGGTTCGATCCCCCGGTGGAGGCGGAGACAAGTGGGCAAAATGTTTTTCACCCTGATGCCCCTGTTACCGAGCAGTAAATAGGTACCTGGGAGTTAAACAACTACTACGGGCTAACTCCTGGGGGCTGTATAACAAAAAGGAGGCCTGGTCGAGGGCTGGCCCGTGGGGACATTAAGCCCCGAAATCATCTAGAGATAGATAACCCCCATCTCTCTCTCCCATTCACTGCTCCCCCCTCCCCTCTTCCCCATTTCACTCTTCTTTCCCCCTCTTCTCTTCCTCCCCGCTCCTTCACTTCACTCTCCTGTCTTCACTCTGCTGTCTTCACACATCACTCTCCTTCACTTTGTACTTGCCTCTCATCTCCTACATACTTGTGTATAACAAATAATCATGCATGTGAACCATATAGTACCAAACATTAGTTGGGGGTGGGGGGGATTGGCTTGTTCTTTAATACCTCTGCTTTTGTCCCTCTGGATCGGGCATTTAATTCTTTCCATTATCGAGGCACATGATCAGAAATGCATTTTTCTTGGTCCCCTTAATTTTGTATTGTAAATTTTAGTGTAATCTTTTTAGCAATTGCATTTTAGCAGTACAGTACCTAAAAAGTATAATCAACTTTTCCCCATGCAAAAGTGTAATTAAAGGTCTAAAATTAGGTTAAAACATACTAATATTTAACAGACTGGCCTATTCAAGAGAACTGTGGGGAATCTTTATTTAGATGAAATCTGGTGGGCTTGCTGTAGGTTTTGTTCATGCAATTCCTCTTGAAACCACCTTCCTGATAGACCAGAGCTTGTTAGTTCAGACATTTTACAAAGTTTCCACTCAAGTGGCAGCTACACAAACTTGACAATAATTCATCCTTAACTATCTTTCTACATCTCTAACTGACCATTTCCAATATTGTTTCACAATTCATCAGAATCTTAAGACACTACTATTGGGCCAAATAGGAAATGACTGCAGTTCCCATATGCTTAATCAACATTATCCTTGTTATAGTGGAATTAAAGTTTAATAGCTCAATAATTTTATATTCAGCTAACATAACACCTAGTGGCAGTCAGTTATGCAGTGGTAGTAGTGGGCAGTTTGGTCAAGACCCACAAATATACTGGTTACATATTAATTTACAAAAAAAGTATATTTTAATTTTTTTTTCTAAAATTCTCCTTTGGGCCATGTGTTGGGCTAGTCTTGCTCTTGAGGTAGCCTTGTTTAGCAATTTACAGATAATTAAGTAATAAAATAGATTAATTCAAAGAAAATGTACATCTTTTCATAGTTTTTTAATAAGACTTAAGAAAAATAATTGTGGTTACATGCACTCCAAAGTTAGGGTAAGTAGATTTGATTTTATAATTTTTTCTTAATTTAAATATTTTCAATGCTGTACTGTAATGTATTGTAAATTATACTTTGAAAAGAATGCTAGGAATTGGTATTTAATGTTTTGAGTACAAACACCACAGGAGCTGTTGACAGTTAGACCTCCAAATACTTTAAATGCAGGATATTTTTACCTGGATAAGTTGAAGGAATTTGTTGTGTATATATTTAATAGAATGCTTTAACATTTGAATTACTTGCACTAAACAAAGAAGTTAACTCCACAGATTGTAACAGAAGCCATCATCAAAATGGAGAAAAAATGTGAAAAGGAGAAAAGGGTGGAGAGGATGCCAGTTGACGAAATGACATCTAAGGATTATTACTTCGATTCATATGCTCATTTTGGCATCCACGAGGTAAGAGTTGTTTTGATTTAGTAGGTTTTAGCACTTGTAGGGGGAGAATCTTTGGTGGTGATATCTCTTGGTTTTGTCATGTTTATTTTCCTTATTTTTCTTCAGGTAGGTTTCTATTCAGTGTGTGTTATATTTGTGTAAATTTGTGTATATGCAGTACTGTACTGTGCTTAAATTTTTAGCCACAGAACCAATACAATAGAGTATTACTGAAAGTGGCCCATGTAGCCCATAGTAACTTTCTTTTATATGTGCTTCGTTGTATTGGTTTGAAATACTTCTGTGATATTGAACAATATGAAAATAATTAAAAATATTGTAATGCAGATGGTATAAGAAATATATTTATGGACTTTAGGAGAGGTTACACAATATGAAACTTCACATTATTTCAATTGCATAAACTTGCAACATTGGTGATATAATCTTTAGCAAGGACCTTTCAAGTGATCAGAAAAGATTAAAGGAACAAAGCCCTGTAATGGTGGTAGAGGGGGGGAGGGTAATGGTCAGTAAAGTTTTCTTTCGTCATGGGGGAGCAGTCAAGTGTTCTCGGGTAATACCTTCTCATTCATTCTTGAAGCTCACTTGTAATTTGAGTGCATTTAGTAATTTGAGTGGGTATGAATTGCACTGAATCTTACGTATTGAACATTTGTGTATTTCATTTTAACTTTATTATTACAGGAAATGCTGAAAGATGAAGTCCGTACCTTGACCTATCGCAACGCAATGTATCACAATAGACACCTCTTTAAGGGAAAGGTGAGATATACTAGACTAGAAATTATTTTATTTTTGTTATACTATTTGTAGAATAATTTTTATTTGTCGAAAATAAGTTGTCTATATATATTGATGTACTGTACTGTACTTGCCAATAATTATAATGCCACAGAATTTATATTTGACAATTTTTGTGTGTGCAGACGGTGTTGGATGTTGGGTGCGGTACTGGTATTCTCTCCATGTTTGCTGCCAAAGCTGGTGCTGCCAGAGTGATAGGAATTGAAATGTCCAATATTGTAGAACATGCAAAGAAAATTGTATCTGCCAACAATTTAGACAAAGGTAAGTGGTATTTAGATATAAATTCAGCATAATTGTAGAACCATAATCACACTACAGAATATAAAAGTTCTATTTTACTGTATTTGCATATAACACTACAAAATCATACTAAAGGGTGGCCTTGTGGGGGAATGTTTTTCACACATTTATATCTCGATGGTGATTGGAAAGTAAAAGCAGAGAATGTCGTCTGCATAAAATCCAAAATTAAACCTAACTGCACAATAATTATATAAATATGTACCACATTAAAAAAAAATGGAGGTGCGTATCTTGCAGTGGAATGAAAAATGACAAATCATTATGTGAGCTTGAGAAATCACTTTACATCCACATGTAGTAATGCAAGGTTATAAAATTTTTTATACAAAAGCCTGCATAGGTTGTCAATATTTAAGAATGAAAATGAGTCGGGTTCCATTTCATATTTTGGGCTGTACCTTTAATAACCTTTAATAATAAAGAGAGCCAGTGGCTGAACAGACAGAACACTGGATGCGTGATCCTGTGGTCCCGGGTTTGATCCCGAGTGCCGGCGAGAAACAATGGGCAGTTTCTTTCACCCTGATGCCCCTGTTACCTAGCAGTAAATAGGTACCTGGAAGTTGGTCATCTGTCACGGGAGGCTTCCTGGGGGTGGAGGCCTGGTCGAGGACCGGGCCGTGGGGACACTAAAAGCCCCGAAATCATCTCAAGATAACCTCCCATAGTATTTATGTAGAAACTTTTTCTTTTTAATCAGAGTAGCTGTAATGACTCCTTAAATACAATAGTAAACATATTTCATATGAAACAAAATGGTGAAAAAATTTTATTTATTGGAAATTTATTACCCATATTACCAGATAAGTCACTTTCTGTACATATTCTTTTGTCAATCTAAATGTGAATCTTCATTTGTATTTTACTCGTTCATGCACCACAAACACCTTTACTGTACGTTTGTAGTGTATGATGGGTTCAAGTCTTGCCGCTCTGATGTCAATATCAGTTCCTGAAATTTTGGATAAGTACACCATAATTTTGTTTTATTGTAGGATTCAGAAAACAAATATTGGTGAATAAAGAAAAATACTAAACATGAGCACAGTGGTTCCAAATACTTCAAAATTAATTAATAACAATTACCGTCTATTATTATTTCGACTGTAATAGTCGGAGAAATCAAGTCTTGGTAACAACTTGTTGGGCAGTCTCCCAGTACTGCCTGGATGATTAGTTATTTAAACTGTCAGGGTTTATTTGAACTAATACAGGCAAAACTTGTCCATTATATGGTCATCTGTTCTGTGCTCCAGGCATGATCAATTTGAACATTATATATTTCTTGAGATGGGTGAGGTAAACAAACACCTAGACACATGCATGGGGTCCATATGCCTCTATTATATGTATTTTGTATATGTTACTATTTTTTTTATTACAGCTAATGTATGTACTGTATTTTGTTTCTCCCCATCAATCATCAGTTGTCGAGATCATTCACGGTAAAGTGGAGGAAGTGACACTACCTGTGGACAAAGTTGACATTATTATAAGTGAGTGGATGGGTTACTGCCTCTTCTATGAGTCAATGTTGGAAACTGTGCTGTACGCCCGTGATAAGTGGATGGCTGCGGATGGTATGCTGTTCCCTGACCGTGCTACGCTATTTGTTGCCGGTATCGAGGTGAGACCGACTTTTACCAGGCCCCAATAACTGCTCAAAGTTTAGGGCCAAGAGCATTTAACACTGGTTTTGGGGGACAATTCTATGCTTAATAACCAGCTTAACTCTTTGCTTTGAGCTGTATATTATGATACATCCCTATAGGTGTAAAATATAAATGTATATGCAGTACATATTGGACTGAAGGAATGCTAAAGTTTTTTTTCTTAACTATAACATAAAAGTATGTTCCTGTATGAACTCCATCATGCTTGTATGTTAGGTGTTCCCAAGTGAAAACTTTGCCTCTTAATTTTCCTCAATTATTTTAATTATGCAGAATTTGTGGTTACTGTCGAATACCTTCGTGTATTTGTATGAATTTATTATGAATTTGTATGGCAGCGCATGAAATCGGTTTGAATTCTGCATTTAATTTAATCTTGAAGCTGTGGTGGTGGCTTTCATGTCATTCACTGCATTCCACTTGTTAATGACTCGTACAAGGTACAATTTCTCTATTTTTACTATTGCATTTTGAACTGACATTGATAGCCTCTATTCTCTAATTTTTTTTTATATATAAATTTAGAGATGCTGTCATTATCAACCTTATTCCTTTAAAAAAAAGTGTTTTTATTTGTGCTGATCATGTTCCCTCTGCTTCTTCAATCCTCTTGTTTAGTATTTTTCCCAAACACTCCCTGTAGTTCATTTTATCTTTATTTAAGTAGTTGGCCTTATTGCAGCCCTCTGTAGTTTTATCAAATTTCCTTTTGTGCTTTACAAGGTGCAGATTCCATGCTGGTTGTGTGTGACCTAGTGCAGGTCTAGCATAGGCTGTGTTGATAGTTTTGCTAAAAATATGTTGATCACATGTATATAGCCACATACAGTATTTGAAAAATGTATGTTTAAAGATTTATCCCATTTGTGTGCAGGACCGTCAATACAAGGACGACAAGATCAACTGGTGGGATAGTGTTTATGGTTTTGACATGTCGTGCATCAGGGAGGTGGCCATGACTGAACCCCTTGTTGATGTTGTTGAAGCAAAGCAGGTAAATACCCACAAGGTTGCTATTTTACCATTACCCATTTGTTTTAATTGTTGGTTTTGATAACTTGCTATTGATGGAGATGTCTGTGTAATAATGTATTGGTTGTAATATATAAATGGATTATGATAGTTATGTCATTTATGTTCTGGCAAAACTGGAAATAATGACAATTGCATCATTGCAGGTTGTGACGAACTCTTGCCTAGTTAAGGAGGTTGACTTGTACACAGTAAAGAAAGAAGATCTGGCCTTCAGTACCCCATTTCACCTTCAGGTAGAGTTAAGTAGTTCTATCAAAGTCCTTCATTGATTGCATTGTAAAGGATATATTTTGGCAAGTATTTTTAAGTGGTTAATTTAAGCATGTATGACATTGTTAAATTTTTGTTGTGATTAGATGTCTGGATATTTGCAAGGCAATAGACTGTTCTTATCAGTCATTCTGTTCTAATACAAACAATCCTTGCTTAATTGAACATTTGTATGTTCCACTGAACAATTTATACCAATTACAATTAGTAGACATTAGAAATATTTTTTAATGTCAGGGTAGTTAACAAATAGAATACATTAGGCAGTGATGTGGTGGAGGCAGACTCCATACACAGATTTAAATGTAGATATGAAAAGCCCAGTTGGCTCAAGAATCTGTATACCAGTTGAGTGACAGTTAAAAGGCAGGACTAAAGAGCCAAAGCTCAGCCCCCACAAGCACAGCTAGGCAAGTACAATTTGTTTGGACCATGCAGGAATTCATTAGAGCGAGGATGTACAGACCAACCAACACGTACCCTTTATTCCTGAACATAGCTAGGAATAAAGTAAACTATACACCAATAAATTGGGTATACATTTTGGTATATGTCATCTCCAAACACACAACCTCAAGGTTCCCTAACAATCCTTATCAATCAACACAAATATTTATTGACCCCAATAATATTTCAACCACAGGAGAGATTAACACTTTCGCGCTCTCGGCGCTCAAAAAAAAACAATACCCCAGATGCTTTTGGCACTTCGCGCGCCTATGCGGTAAGACCGAAAAAGTGTACACTCTTTTTACTGTCCTGACAATAATTGAAGGCGCACGTATTTAAATTTGGTATCACTGTGTTCGCAATGAAATTGTCTATAAGAGCATACCTATAAAATGCCGCCCAAGCATAAGGGCTGTCAACACCAAATAAAAAACTATTCAGATCACTCGCCAAGAGCGCCAAACAGCAACAAAATGTTTCCACTCTCTTAATGGTTGCGAAGCCTACAGTTGTCCTACATCGCTAATTGTGGTATCATTGGAATCGCAATAAAATTCTCTACACGGACATATGCATATAAATATAGATTTAATGTCGTAGCACACCCAAAACAATGTGGGAAGTGGCCGAAGTGTTACCCGCGGCAGCATATCGGCGAAACTCGCTTTGAAAAGTGTATATTCAATTCACTGTCCTGACATTATTTGTCGATGTATGTATTTCATTTTTGTACCAATGTGCTCGCAATAGAATGTTCTATAAGAACATAAGTATTAAAGGTCACATAAGGATGCGTTCGACCGGCAACATATATAAAAACTACGTCGATTACACTCGTCGTGTCAATAATACAATTGTTTTACCACGATGATTCACTGCCACACCGTTTTCTTTTATAAGCTGTTCGGCTATTAGAAAAAACGTAAATTTCATGGCAAACATTTGTATACTATTCCCAAGTTGATCGGATAATAAATGGATTTTATACAAATATTTTTTCGATGGACTACAGGCGTCGTCTGTTATGCGGTGACGCATAAAAAACGGTGACGACTCATGGATAATCCTAAGCGCGAAAGTGTTAATAAGTTCCCTGCAGGAGCCGACTGGCCAACTTGCTAAGTATTCTTTATTCCTAAGCATAATTCAGGCATTAAATGAACTACTGTATATAACATGACACCAAGAAGTGAAGGTAAACATGTGGGTAAATGTGAACTGGTTTTATTACCATACAGTAGCTGGTATAACATGAATGTAATTAGTCAGTTCTCCAGTTGAACTGGTAGTGTGATGTGTTAAATAAGATGAACAATGTTTCCTATACTCTTATTGGTCAAACAAAAATTAGTAGTGACCTGTTGAGAGGCAGGTGAAGTATAAAACAATACCTAATAATGTTGTAAGAACACCTTGCTGAATCTTCTGATGGGGCTTCCTACACAGTTTCTAAGAACCTTTGTGACATGGCCATTTAAGAAATAGAAATGACGTTTAGCAAGTCTAGGTCCAGGTGTATAATGTTTGCTCATGGAATGATACTGGACAATACAGTACAAATACCAATATTTTGCTCCCCTCTTAACAAAATGCCTCTACACAGCCTTGTTCCTCAACATAATTGGTTCATTTTACATAACCCATCCTCACTTACTTGCTGCTGCTCCTCCCCTTAAATTCACTTAAGATACACACTTTGTCACCATTCACTTACCATTACTAGTATTGTATTCTATACCACTGTTTACGTTTTGGGATAGGAGGGCCTGTGGATACCTCTTTATATGATATCAAATCACGTCTATGTTAAATTTTTATTTCACATTTTGTTTTCTCGTTATACATTTTAGTTTATTTTATTGTGTATTTGCCAATTTTTTGGTGTATATATTGGTAGATTAATATTACAAAGAATATTACATTATTAAATTATTCTATTACAAAGGTAGATTAATATTAATCATTTTTTGTAGTCCATTTCATAGTTATTATAAAAGGTACTTGTAAACTCATAAATATTTTGCAATTAATTCAGCAAACAACAATTGCTATATTGTCAGGAAGGCTATTGTTCAGTTAGCTTAATTCTTGTCTTCAGCTTAACAAATGACTGTTAATTTATAATTACTTAGATGTGGTAACAATACTGTTATGTTAGTGACTGTGAGTTATCCAAACGTTGTACATACAGTTCAACTGGAAATTAAAGAATGTTGGGTAGAAAAAGCAACAGTATCCTAAATATTGGCTTTAATTTTTTTGCTTTGTTTTGGACGATAGTGTATCATTATTCTTTTTACCAGTAGGATGGTAAATCTCACCCATCATTATACTTTACAGGTGCGGAGGAATGACTACGTACATGCCCTCATTACGTACTTCAATATTGAATTTTCTAAATGTCACAAGAGGACTGGTTTCTCAACAGGTGATTAAATCTATGCTTTAGTCAAGACATTTGGTATCGAGCAACAGATAAATATAAAATATTGGTGTGTGTGTATATAAAATATGTATATATGTATATTTATTTATTTTTCCATCTAATTAGGTTCTCTGTATGAGATATGGTCGATGTTAGTAAAGCATTCAAATTGGTTGTGGGAATATGTTGTGTATGATAAGTGCATTGAAATGGCTAGTGGAGATGAGGTGGTGTATGTGGACTTGGACAAAGCAAATAAGGAGTGCATAGGGGAGGGCTGGTGAGTTATTAGCATGTATGTAATTGGTTGTTAAATGATGTGAAGACTTGTGTCATGAAGTTGTATGTGTAAGAATTAATAGTGTAATGAGTGGGTGGGATGATGGGTGGGGGGGGGTCAAAATTAAATTAATATTGTTTTAGGAGGGATGATAAGTGTCATTGCTGGCTTCTGGTGATTCTGGTTCAGAGATAAGCCAAATGGTAGCTCACCTTCCCCTCTCACTGTCTGCTCTAGTGGATTCAGACTTATAAATGGGTTGAATTGTAAATACTTTCATTATCTGCACTGTTAGTCAGGGAGTTGTTGCTGCTAGTGATTTCATAAATTTATCTGGTATGTAAAATTTTATGTATACATGTGCAAGTTTTTAGGAGACTAATGAGAGAGATGAATGTGTTGCTATTTTAGAGATTAAATGATTTTAAATTTTATTAAATGGTTGATACAAATGAGATGACTAGTAAAAAAAAAAAAATAATTTGGATAAGAGAGTCGAGTACTGGCTTATTATATCATGTCATGAAGTTAAGACTGGTTAGAAAGTTATGTGGAGTAGTGGTGGTGGTGCATGTCCTTGTGGAGATACAAGCTGCTCCTGATGTGGGCAAGGCAAAGGGAAGAAAATTAGGCCAAAAATTAGGGACTCGCCAGAAACATATACTACCAACTGTATCTTGTTGATGTAAAGTATGTCAACTTATGAAGTGGTGTAGATATAACTGTTCAACACTTTAGGGTGACAGCATATTACTGCAAACTTCTATTTAAATTAATGTTGCATTAAATGTTTCCATTGCAGCTCCTGAAGCACGGTATACTCATTGGAAACAAACGGTCTTTTACTTCGATGATTACTTGACAGTGAAACATGGCGAAGAAATCTTCGGCACCTTCACAATGAAGCCCAACGAGCGTAACAATCGTGATCTTGATTTCCACATTGAAATGGAATTCCACGGTGAACTCTCAGACTGTCAGGAGTCTCATAAATATAAAATGCGTTAATTTTTTATAGGTAAGTTGTCGCTATCAAGTGGACTTTTGGTTACAGCAATTTTGAAGTTTAATTTTTATTTAGAATAGTAAAATATTGGTATGTCTTTTTATCTTTACCTGAGAGCCACACTATCTAGTGGCCTCGATGAGGACAGAAAATCCGCGGCTTGTCCCCTCCATTTGTCCTGATTTTCTTGGTCACTGCCTCCATGGCAGTGACCATTTTCCCATCCTTGTTACCTTTTTCTCCCTTCACCCTCCCGACCTTCCCTAGGTGGCAGTTTGCTGAAGCGGACTGGAACCTATTTACCCTCAGTGCTGCTCTCTCTGACCTCTCCCTTCTGCCTCTCCCTCACTCTCCTTTTTCATGACACTGTCTTTGAAGCTGCCCTCCACTATTCCTCGCTCTTCCTTAACGAGGAATCGGATCTGGGAGTCGTTGTCAATCCATGAGGACTGGCTCGATGCCGTTGTCCTCCCTGTTCGCAAACCAGGGACTCTGGGAACATCCCCTAAGGACTTTCGCCCTATTGCCCTCACAAGTTGTCTGCAAGTTCTTTGAACGTATGGTTAACGTTCGTCTGATGTGGTTCCTGGACACCATCACCTCTTCTCTCCTTCTCAATTTGGTTTCCGCAAGTGCCGCAGCACAACAGATGTCCTGGTGAACTTGGAGGTCTATATTCGTACTGCTTTTGCTGCAAAGACCTCCGTTGTTGCCATCCTTTTTGACCTGGAAAAGGCTTACGACACCACTTGGTGCTATCATATTCTATCCCAGCTTCATTCTTTTGGCCTTCGTGGTCATCTCCCTCTCTTTCTCCGCAGCTTCCTCTCACGTCGTTCCTTTCGGGTGAGGCTTCGTACCGCTCTCTCTCTGCCTCTTTTCAGCAATACGAAGGTGTGCCCCAGGGTAGTGTTCTGAGCACTACTCTCTCTGGTTGCCCTCGATGGTCTTCTTTCCTCTCTTCCTTCAGGTGTCTTCTCCGCTCTCTGTCGATAATCTTACCCTTTGCTGTTAGGGTGATGATTCGCCTCTCAATGCCGGCTTCAACTTGCGTTTGATGCCGTGTCGTCTTGGGCCACTAATCATGGCTTTAAGTTCTCTACTACTAAGACTTGTGCAATGACTTTTACTCGGAAACGGGTCGTTCTTCGTTCCTCTTTGTCACTTTACGGTCATCCCCTTGAGTACAAAGATTCCGCGAAACTTTTGGGGTTATTCTTTGACATTCGTTTGTCTTGGTCTTCCCATATTTCTTACCTCCGTTTTGAGTGCTCTAAAGCCCTTATCCTCCTTCGAGTATTGTCCCATACTTTTTGGGGAGCGGATAGGTGCACACTCCTTGCTTTACATTCCTCTCGTCCTGTTCAAGCTCGATTATGGTTGCCCTGCTTACTTGTCTGCTTCTCCTTCTACTCTTTGCCGTCTTGACGCTTTGCACCATACTGGGTTGTGCCTCGGTTCTAGTGCTTTTTGTTCAACTCCCGTCCTCAGCTTGTATGTTGACACTGGCTTCCTGTCTCCAGGACCGCCGTGATCACTACTGTCTTCGCTATCTTGCGTGGTCCTTGCAACATCCTTCGCCTCGCCTCTGTCGTGCTTTAACTTTTACCCCTCCTGCGATTCCTGTTCCTCTTCACCACCTCCCTCTTTCTGTCCGGTTATCTCTCTTACAGGATTCTCTTTCCGTTCGTATTTCTAATATTTCTCGTGTTGTTCCTTCTTTGCCCCCGTGGAGGGTCCCCCTTCCGCAGTTTTGTACATCCTTGACCTGCATCACTAAAGCTTTTACCCCATCTATGGTTCTAAAAAGCCTTTTCCTTGAGCACTTTTCTTCTCACTCCCGCTCCGTTTCCGTCTTCACTGATGGGTCTAAGTCTGCGGACGGTGTTGGCTACTGTCGTTTTTCCTGATCACACTTATGTGTGTCGCTTACCTCCAGAGACTAGCATCTTCACAGCGGAGCTTTATGCTGTTCTCTATGCTCTTCGTCTCCTGCTCTCTCATTGTCAATCTTCCTTTGTAGTTGTTGTTGACTCGTAGTGCCCTCATGGCTCTTGGGTCCTTTAATCCGGTTCATCCAGTGGGTGTCGAGATCCAGCATTGGCTGTTTCTTGTTCACAGTAAATTTAAGTCGGTTGAGTTTTGTTGGGTTCCCAGCGATATTGGTCTCTTTAAATGAGCGTGCGGATGCTGCCGGTAAGGAAGCTGTCCGCTCTTGTCCCATCTCGTAAAGGTATTCCTTATTTTGACTTTTACCCGGTTATCCATTCCTCCATCCTTACCCGTTGGCATGCTTGTTGGTCATCTGTTACTGGTAACAAACTACGTTCTCTTAGAAGTTGTGTGTCCTCGTGGCATCGTCCTACCATGGCCACGAGGACACACAACTTGGGGAAACGATGGGAAACGGCCCTGGCGAGGTTGCATATTCGTCATACTCGCTTAACTCATGGTCACTTGATGGAGCGCCACCCTGCTCCTTATTGTCCTAATTGCATTGTCCCTCTTATGGTAGTCCATATCCTTGTTGAGTGTCCTGACTTCTGGGACGAGCGTGTCTTGTTTTCTGACCGTCCCCTGCGGTCGCTTATCTCGATAGTATTCTTGGTGACTTGGATACTTTTGATATCGTTCACCGTATGCATTTGTTCTCGTATTGGCATCCTTGGTGATATTTAGTGCCCTCTGATTATCCCGCACATTTGATGGTGCTACATAGCCTTCCTGGTTTGGTGCTTTCTTTTGATAATTACTTGATCCCTCCTTATTTACAAGAATTTGTGTAATAACTTGATTCATCACATAATACATAGTTTCACTGGATTGGTTTACCTGGTATACATCATTACAACCATATAGAGTAGTGAACACAATATAAACATAATATAGAATGGGCGATGATACAAGGCTTAATAGGCAGCATATGGATTGAAAGAAAGATGTAAGCTACCAATGTGGCATCACAGATGACGGAAGGCTCCTAGTACATGTGACACATGTTAATGGTTCAATTGATGATTAGTTTACCTGCTTTACCTCATTACAACCATATGGAGTTGTAAAAAGCACATGGACATCAGTACTTAAGAATATGTAATTATGATCAAATTTTATTCACTGACTGCATTCACCTTGTAACACTTATGGCGATAACGGCATTCACATAATAGCGTAACCATGAAATGATTGCAGATTTTTTTTAATGGGTTAATTTATAATTATTCATAAAATGCTGCATGTTAAAATGAATGTGGATTCTGAGACTTTTTCTTTTTTTTCAGGAGTGGAATTTTGCTACGTCCATCAGATGGTCGTCCACGATTATGCCGCAAGTTGACTTAGTCATTAGGTTCTCTACAAATGTAGCAATGGCTTCCTTCTCAAATGAGGCAACCAGGTTTTGTGTAATGTTGTGTATGTGAGGCCTAATGGGTCATTGAAACAGCTTGTGGCACATCTTGTACGGACACTTGTGACAGTGCAGTCTTTACCAGCTGTTAGAACTGTATCCCAGCTGGTGGAGTGACCTTTGTGTACTCCTTATAATGGATGAGCTATAGACTCGGCCTCTCTACCAGTAGCAGTATTATATGAACTTGGTAGATGAGCATAATACTCTTGCCTCTCCAGTGTAAGAGGATTGAGGAAAGACTCTTGAACTCTCCCTACCCACTAGGCTCTGGCCAGTAACAATCTGGTGTCATTTTTTATGGTGCAGGTCCTCGGCAAAGAATAAGAACAGTTATGTGAAGTGATGGAAAAAAAAATTACGGAATGGAAAAAAAAATGGTGAAATCAACTGGCTTGTTAAGTATTATGGACTTTGATTTTGAGCTAATTGGGAAAATTGCTACAGTATAATGGTAAGGATATTGCTGATTGATCATATGCCTCCATTTGTTCAGCTACATGATGTGCTGGTGAAGATAATTTTCTACTATTTAAATTTTAAAACTGTTAATTAACAATTTCAATTTAATCTATTCCACTAGTACTGTACTTACAGTAGTTAAAAATATTCATTTGTTCAAGTATATTTGTGTTGTGTATGTACCAAGAAGCTACTGTGAAAGTGTAGAAAGGTTTGGCAGATGTTCTAGTCCTTGGTTTGAGGACGTGAATTGTTGTACCAGGTTAGTGGGCGTCTTGTATGTTATTCAAATTATTTTTACAGATGGCAATAAAAAGAAATAAGAATGAATTTTTTTTTTTTTTTTGAGATGCTGACATTTAAATTATTCCATGCTAGTAGAACTTGTGTATCCATTACAAATGTTATTGTGGAAATATTAAGTCTTGCATATGGGAATCTTATCAAGGCAGAAATAATTCACAATAGGTATAAACTTTTATTTGTAAGAAATGAATTTGTTTGTAATTACAATAATTTTTTTCATTGGTTTTTATAGTCCTCCTAAGGTGAAAATGATCATGAGCAAAAATGATGGTAGGAAAACAGGTGAGGGTGCAAGATGGAGGAGGCCTGGAAGATAAGCGAGATTACCCTGGGTCAGTATTGATATGGCCCAATAAGCCTTCTGTGGCTCCCTTTATTCTTGTTTTTGTGATAATGATAAAGGAAGCAAAGATTGAATTGAGGCAAGATAGATGAGAAAGGGAAGCACATTGCAAATATTTTTTTTTAATCAAACTGGAGCTCTAGTATGTCATGAATATCTTCCTTATATGCAATGGGTATTTACAAATTATAATTGCATTTTGACTAAAATACAGTATTAGGTTAGTCATTATCATACCCTATTTTCCAGTCATTGGGTGAGGGGGTGTCGAACTGGTGTAAAAAGTTTAATGTGAAAGATTGTATACAGTGGTTCTCGTATGAATTGTTTTATACAATGCAGATATTAACTCCTGGTAAACCATGTTCACCAAACTTTGGCCTTTACCATATGGTAATACTTGTCCTCTGCTTTCAAGAGGATAGTACATTCAATAAAAGATAGGAGCAGGAATAAAGGTTTAAAACTCTGAAAGACAATGTCTCTAAAGTGTAAATTTCAACTGAATAATATCGGCTGGTCCTCGAGTGTGGAGCCATCACTTGGTAAATCATAGAAGAAAATTAAACCCCTCCAAAGTTTTGCCACGAGATGCACCGAGAGTAAAATGAGCCTAGGATTGACTAGGTGAATTTAGCAACATTATCGTAGATGGGGTAACATAATCCACAAGTGATAGGTTTGACAAAGTGGATAGAGGCAGCCTTTTCCAGGTGAAGGGACAAGCCAAATGAATGCAAACAAATATTTGTATCAATTTAGAGGCAAACTAGTATAAACATTGATGATGGCAGCAACTACTATTTAGTTTTGAGGTATGAATGCCCCAGGTACAATAGCAATAAATAGTGTGTGTGGAACTGGACTGGTCCAGAGAACTGTTACCTCTGAAGGCAACTAGATTAGCACCTGCTAATCATCCTGAGCTTCCTCTCCTAATCTCAAGGATGCCATTTTCCAATCCTCCTATTCCTTTAACATGCACTACACTACTACATTGTCTCCCTGGCTTGGTGCCTCCTTTTGGCAATTAATCATTCAATGCCTTCTTTTGATAATTACTTAATTATTCAATGTACCTCAACCATCCAGGTATGCTCTTTAATCATGTGGATTAAAGAGTTGCTTCAAATCTTTTGTCATCTTCATTTCGTACAGTACCTTGTATATTAAAGCGACATGTGCTATTCATTGTGCATTGTCACATTTTATTGATTTTACATCATGGTTTGCAGATATACCTAATGATTGGCATTAGCACTCTTGCATTGGCTGTGCTTGCATAGATTGCATGTTGAACACTTGGTCTCGGTGTCAGATGCACTGATTTCTCTAAATCACTCACATTCATGATATTTAAATTTTTCCAGAAAAGCCCAATTTGTGTTCGTTTACTCGACATAACTGCTCTCCATCCCCATTGCTATGGGTACTTTTGTCAACATTTAAGTTTTAAGCTTTTGCATAATCCATTTGCTATTATTAGGTCTATGCATTAGGTTTACAAATTAGTATTCCCCTCCCCCCCCAGTTCCCATCCATGCATATATCTGATAAAAAACAAAAAAATGCCAAGGTAAAAGTGGTAGACATAGCAGAGTAAGAGAGACAAGACCAAGACAGCCAGACCTAAACCTTGACCAGATGTGTGATCACAATGGGCAGAGTACTTTCTTCCAGGTAAAAGATGAGAACTAAGGACCCACATGTGGTGGTTAACAAAAACTAAGGAGCCAGATTAATGTAAGGAAATCCTCATGTGGCTTGGTTAAAAGTGTTATTGCTTGATTAAAATGAATAACCAATCATGCTCGACTAACAAAATACTGAATGACAATACAGTAGTGGAATGTATACTGTACTTGTCCCATGGGGTAATACAAGTTTACAAATTCCAGTGGCTATGTGGCTTTACACTACATCTTTACAACCATCGACTTGACTAGGCAAGTTAGCACACATTTCAGAGTATTTAATATAAAACTTGGACTAGCCTTTTTCAATATTGAACAAGGGTTTTAGTAACAAACACCAATTCATATTTGACATGCAAAGTGCACTTAGTTTATATATATTTAACACATTAATATATCTCCTTTGTTATATCCTTTCATTTGTTACTGTTAAATTGCACAAGTGCTAGTAACTTTGATGTTCCTTCTGGCATTAAGTTAGGGTGGTTGGGAGGGGGGGACCTGATTAGGACAGGTAATTTATTGATCACATGCTGAACCTATTCAGAGCTGCTTTGTTGGGGCTCTTAGTCATCCACCTTGTATAGTATAATGTCCTGATTTTTGGGATGATCTGAAATCTCCATCTCCAGTATTCCTTCGTATATTACCTCGATAAATTCCCTTGAATCTGATGGCTTTGACATCACCCGTCCTGTCTTTTTGCTCTTGTATTAGCATCCACAATATCGAGGAATTTTTTGGTGTTCTGTGATAGTCTTCTTTCTTAATTTGTTTATAAGGGAGGTTTCTAATGGATAAATTTTATCCATCTCTGCACGTTCAAGTGAGTTTGTCAATTCTGTATGAAGACTTAGAACCCTACTTTTGTCAGATTATGCATTTCAGCATTAACCAACATTAACCAGTGTCATTTTAACTAAATCGTCTTGCAGCACTCCAGTCGTCGTCACCCATGTAGATTGATCTTGATTCTTCCGATACTCTAGCTGATGCTCTATATATACTACTATTTTGAAGGTAAGTTTTAACAAGTTGGCAATAATTTTGAAGGCCATATGAATATGTGGGAAATTTGCTTGCAACCTAAAACCATTGCTCTTGGATTTTGGAAGGGGTAAGAATGACCTGGGAGTAAGTCCAAATTATTATTATATTTAATCTCAACCATATCTGTAAACATTGACTTGAAAAAGCATAAGATGGCAATATGAAAAAATATTTGGGTCAAGATAATTTTTTTTAAAGTTAATTTAATAATGAAATTTGCTTGTAATGTGAAAACTTTTGGTACACAAATACATAATTCAGAGTCAAACTTTGGATTAACACATTTAATTTTCAGCTGAAAGATGATTTGTGTCTGCTTTTGATACTGGTTAAATGAGAAAAAGTGTGTTCACACATGTAAGAAGTTGAAAATGTAACAATACTGTATATTTATTGCTTGTCTATGAATTGTAGGATAATCTTTAATAGAATTCCAGACCTAAGCCTGTTTATATCTCTTGGGACCCATAGTGACCTTTCGTGGAAGCATGGTTGAGAAACGCTGCTCTAGGGAATTAATATGAATATTTTGACAATTTCTAGACATAACTCAACAAACAGCTTAGAAAACGTTCAATGACTAAACATTTTTTGTATCGCTAACCAGCCCAGGGATCCCAGAACGTTTAAAGTCGAGAATGCGTGGAAAGGCTTGACTGTCAAAGTGTTAATGTAAATATCCTATTTTAGTTTTACAAAAGGATGATAGACAAATCTTTATTGCAGTTCCTTTTAATAGATTGTAACTTATAACATCAAAACAAGTTCAAACTTACCATGAAAAAACCTGGCGACAAAATTATTGAGGTACAATGCAATTAGGTCATCATAAAAATTATAAAGTAAATCCAATGTTTATCAGATGGTCAGTGATAGGTTGAAGGCAACATGTTGAGTATTAATGGTTTTAGAGTGGGTATACATTATTACAACTACGAAAGTTTTAAACAATGTAAAGTTAATACACGTACATATAAGCATCTTTTGTTAACATTAGCCAACCCTAAAACCTAAACAGTTTTAAGGTTGGCGATTACATTTAATGAATGAATAAATTTTTTTAGCCTCAAATGTACCTATACAGTTCATTCATGCCCTTAGGACTTAGATCGTGTATAATTGGTAGTTACTAAAAATTAAAATTAAAAATTACCTTAGCTTATAAACATTCATGTGAGTATACGGGATTTGAACATTAAGTAACTTGGGCACCATTCCTTACCCCCGCCTCATCTCAAATCCTTATCCTGATCCCTTCCAAGTGCTTTATAATCATAATGGTTTGGTGCTTTCTCCTTATAGTTACCTTCCCTTACTACATTATTGCTTTAGGTAATATATGTATACATTAAGCACTTTTAAACCATATTACTGTACATGTAGCAGGATAAAGAATTGTTCAATATAGGTTCTTTACCTTAAGTATAGTGTGAAATAGGTTTTAGTATCTTATTACTATACTTAAAACTTTCAACTTGGTAAACAATACTTTTAGTTGGTTCTGTATTTGTGATAAATCGGTGGTGGAAACATAATATAAGTTTAAGTAATTCCTACCTACTGTCAGTTTCTTACTTTTGCAATCAAATTCCCCATAATGGGGCACGTATAAATTCAGTACTATCATTATTTACTGTCATAATTAAAACAAGTAATTTATGAGGAATTTCAGGTTTTACTTACATGTCTTAATACATGCATTAAAATAAATTTTGTGGATTTTGACATTTAGTTTCTCTACAATCATTGGTTTGCCATTACTGTTGATATTAGAAATTTTCCTTGTGTACACAATCTGTAAACTAGTTTAAATGAAATCAGTGGGTTGAACTTACCTATGTTACCTTTGGTTAGTCTATATTGGGCTAGGCTAAGCTGAAAGGATAGGGCATTAACTGGGTTAGAATGAACTGGGCACATTGCTTGAATAGGGTGGGTTAGGTTAAGACAGCCATATCAAGTTAGGATAGCTAGAGTAGGATAATTTTGAGCAGCACTGAGTGTCATGCTGGGCTATTCATGGATGGACTAAGCTAGAATGGCTTGGTTCAACTTAAGATGAACTAAGCTTCAGTCTCTGTAATCTCGCCATTCCCCGGGATCTCGTCCGGCTGCAGAGAGATGTCAGACACACTCTCTGTTGTCGTTTCACCCAATTCTTCCGACTTTTCCGTGGGATTTACATTTGTAATCTCGCTAGGGCTCTCCGTGGATTCGTGATCATATTTTCCATCTGCTGAAATTTCTTCTGGATTAACACTTGCGATCTTGTTGGGTTTCTCTGTGGATTCATGGTCTAATTTTTTATCGGCTGAAATTTCAACCGGATTTATGCTTGAGACTTCGCTAGATTTCTCAGTAGATTTATCTTTGGATTTTTTATCTAAACTCCCAGGGAAAGGAGAGTCCTTATCCTTTAAACAGGAAGAGTAAAATTTATTAGATAAATTTTTTATATTTTACATGAAGTTGGTTACTTTTAAACTTCTCACAGTAAAAAATATTATAATTTCTTGAAAATTTTTTAAATTTTAATTTAAAAATGTCAGTTTTAGTTTATTATTAAACTTAAAATTATAAGTATAGTACAATTATTAATTACAGGGCATCCTTGTTATATGAACATTCTCTCACGGTCCCCCTTTGTGCATCAAATCACCAAACAAACCCGCTGGGGCATCCTAGTATCACTAGTGTGTTAAAATCCCTACATGGTAGTGCGTATTATTTAAAAACATCCACATAGCCCACTAGGGAAGTTGGGGGTATGGTAAAATTGTACACAAGGCTGCCCAGAAAGTGGTTGAAGGGGATGTGCGAGTGTCAGGGGATGGGAGGCAGCAGCCTTGAGGGGAGAGACCGAGTGTGTGTGGATGGTAGAGAGGCAGGGGAGCAAGACTGCTAGCAATTTTTGTAATGTCAGTTAGCCTGTTAATTAATTAGCCGAGAGTGCAGCCCATCCTAAGGTTTCCCAACGCCAACGTCAAAATTGTATTAAAGTGCCCAGTCCTAACCTACCACAGGATCCAAAACGGAAAACAGGACAGTATGTCAATTTCGTGAGCCGCTACCATTTTCTAGTAGGCTGATTTTTGGCCTTGCAATGTCACATTTTGACTACCTGTTAGGACAGGTCTGGGGAGCAGTGGGTCTTACCTGGAGAGGGTTTTGGGAGTTCTATTCTTTCGAGCCAAGCTTGGAACTAATCTTTGTGCAGTTTTCTTGTTTTTCTCTGTCTGACTCTTGAAGAATTTCATCTCCCAAATGATACCTTGTATCTGGCCTACTACTCCCTAAACCTATCTTCACTACATTACATCTGCTCTTCCCTAAGCACCACGAGTGGTGGGTGGGTGAAGGGCATCGGCAAACTTCATGGGAGTGATATTTCTGGGAGGATGACAGTTGTTTAGAGTGGCAGCTCTCAAGTCCTCAATGACCCACAAACTCATGATTTGTACAAGACCAGATCGTATTTCTCTGTTGGTGGAGTGGGGTGTTTGGGTTGGTGATAGGAGGAGGATGGGGAGGTTTACTCCAGAGGCAAATTACAAAATGACTGACCACCAATACAGTACACATTTTTATTTATTCATACGTGTAATTAGATCACTTCACTCTTCAAAAACAGCTATGCCAAGCAGGAGATTGCACTAGCCATCATTCAAGGTATATGATATGTTGTATTTTATTGTATGTCCCAAAAATATTGTTGTGATGACTTTAGGTGGTCTGGGAACACATCTATTAATAGCATTGGGTTTATGGAATCTCTCGTTCTGAACAAATGCTTCATGAACATATTCTCAGATTGTAACTTGTTCGTAGGATGAGGCTCTTCCCATATTACAATTGTACGTAGTCTCCTTATTACAAACAAGTTACATTCTCAGAATGTCTTCGTAAAGCATTTGTTCAGAATGTGAAGAGAGATTTTCTATAGGCACACTGCTATAAATTGGAGATGCATTCCTGAACACTTCATCCATTTATAGTAAAAACCAAAAATCCTCACAAAAACCAATATTATTGACGTAATAAAAATGCAGCTTATTCCTTTCCTTGAATGATTGAGTTATCCTGCTGGGCATAGCTGTTTTTAAAGAGTGAAGTAGTCTACTGACATGCATAAATAAATTAAAATGTGAATTGTATTGGTAGTCAGCCGTTTTGTAATTCATGTCAAGAGTAAACACCTCCCCATCCTTTTCATATCACCAGCCCCACTCGCCCAACAGAGTAAACACGTCTTGTACAAATCACGAACGTTTGTGGGTCACCGAGAGCTTGCTAGAGCTGCCACTCTAAGCAATTGTCATCGTCCCAGAAATATCACTCCCATAAAGAGTGAAATTGCCTATTACATACCCACTTGTGCCATTTCTTCCACCCGCTCCTGGAAAACTCATAAGAGGCTAGCTTGCTGTCTCCCTCTGCACTCATGATGCCCTTCCAATACCCCCTCCTCCCCATCCCCTCAACCAATTCCTGGACAGTCTCTTACATGTGAAATAACATTAACTGAGAGTGCCTGCCTGCAGTACTTGTCAAATGCACCCTGCTCTGAGGAGGCACATAGTTATGGCCCAACCATAGCGCGTACTTACGGCCTCTGTGAAAAATTTTAGACAGAAGTATGCAAAAGCTACATGTCATGGGAGACATTAGCTCTCTAGAGACCACTATACCAGAGCCAGAGGCATCCTGGTTGCCCATTGTTTTTTGCACTTATTAGCGGTTCATGTGGTATGACATTTATTATGGCATCCACCAAGGAAACCATTGCTCAAATCATTGCACTAAAGGAAGCAGGCTACCACACTATGGGAATAAGTAGGGTGTAGGCAAGTCGACATTTAAGTATTGTGCGTGTTTCCAAAGGGAAAACAGTGGTGACACACCATCACAGAAACATCAGTTTGATTGTCCCAGGAACACTTCTCCAAGGTCTGCCCTTGCCATAACATGAAGGACATTTATCCCCTTACTTTGGTGGTCACTGTATAATCTCTCCAGACCATCCCAAGTATTACATGGCAGTGCATTAAAATATCCATATTACTATACTATATTACTATATATTACTATACTATATTTACTATATTATCCTTTAAAGCAATGATCTAAGCATTGATTTCTTTGCTTAGTTCCTTGGTAGGGTAGGTGCCATAAAAATATAACACCAACACCACTGTTAACTGCCATAAAACCCAGCAAGTTGCCAGAGACAACACAGCTTCTCACTGTGACCGAGTGATAACATTACTGCTGGTAGGCAGTGTGGATTACAGTATGACACTAGTGGGCCAATTGATTACCTAAAAATAAGCTGTTAAAAAGCATTGTGTACAATTTAACCATGTCTCCACCTTCCTTAATGGGCCGTGTGAGCTTTTTTTTACAATACTGTACTGTGTGGCTGTTATATGGATATTTTAATGCACTGCCATGTAATACTTGGGATGATCTGGAGAGATTATACAGTGATTTTTTTGCATGAAGGGAGGGATGGGAGGACTAAAGAATTCCATTCACATGGACTGTGGATCTCGACCCATGGATCTCACGCGTGTTAAGCCATAGCACTATCAACTGGACTATGAGCAGTCTTAAAAGAAGCAGCATCCTGCTGCCCAAACTGGAATTTTCAACTTAAGACTACTCATAGTTGAGTTGATAGAGCTACGGCCTCATACTCGTGGGGTCCACGGTTTGACACACACAGTTCAGGTGATTGGAATGTTTATTTCCACAGAAGTGTGGATGGTAATTTTACTTTAGAGAATGTTAGTGTGGACAAATGTTCATAGTGTTGATGACCGGTACTACATTAATGCTAATTTATCATCTAATCTAATCATCATATAATATTAACATTGATATACCAATAAAATACTTAATTTGTTAATATCACAATAGTACTGTAAATCAATTTATTTACTGTTAAGTCAAATGAGGAACTCATGTATTGGGTGTGGTGCTTTACCTTTATCTGAGAGGATGTGGCTGCAGGATGCTGACCTTCTGATATGTCCTCTGTGTCATCTAAAGCCATGGTTTGCGTATTGTCTGATGTCATGGATTCTTCACCTTCTGATGTCATTGATTCTGCATCCCGCTCAACATCTACCTCCGTCAAGTCAGTCGTCTGGTCTTTCTCCGGTGATGTCTCCAGTAAGCCAGCTAGGGGGGGTATACAAATTACACTATTAAAGTGTTATGTCTCCTCAGCTAAATAGTCATCTTTTAAGTGATAAAAATACAGATTACAAAATTAGGTATAACAAAATGACTCCTATTCAAGCTTCTCTCTTGAGTAATCTATTAAGGGTATAAAATCATAGTCTAACCAACTTATAACATCTTAGCTAGCTTAATCTACAGTAATGTGCTAGTAATTTTAACTAAGCTATGAGTTAAGTACTGTATACATCCCACCTGAATATCAGTTATGTTCACATCTCTTGGACTTCAATTATTCATGGGGTAGCTGTTGAAGAGATTTTATCACTCCACATAGCACATTTGACCTACAACTGAATGGTTTAAGTTTTGGGCAAGGCGAGATGTTTGGGCACATTCACTCGCACTTTATATCCATTCACCTAGCAGTGAATAACTCCTTGGAAGTTGGGTGACACTTGGTTGGGACACTATCTTTCATCCTGACGAATATCAATTGTTGGCCTATTGGGAATTTGATAATGCAAACAGGCTTTACATCCCTAACAATGGGACACACGAGCCATACCACACAATGATGCTTTTTATCACAGATCATGTGAATGTAGTTTCTATAAAATAATTATGGCTAGCTGTATAATGCAAGCAGAATGTTTGCAAAATAATTTGGTGTATACTACATAATCTGCAAGTAAATATCTACCAACAATAATTGCATCCACAGCTATCTTACCAAATGCAACTTTGACCGGTTTCTAGTCAGTGCAAAACTTTTTTTTTTTACTCTGCTTTCTTTATTAATAACTGACTTTTCCCTCTACTTAATGACCTCCCCATACTTATTGACACTCAGCCATTCCTGATGCAAGTGTTTACACATCTTTTGGTACACCCACCGTCCACCATTTCGCCGTCCTCATGCCCCTGAGGTTGGTGTAGGTCACTGGTGTCATCACTGAAGTCAATTATTTGACTCATGAAAAGCTGAACTTCGTGCTCCATCTCCTGCTTGTAATCCGGGAAGAATAGGGATGTCAGGTTGTCTGCGGGAGAAAGTAAAAGGGAAGTCACCAAGCTCCTGTGGGTTTGGGATCATTTACATCAGTCAATTAAAGTTCGAGAGGTAAAACCCAGTAGTTGAAGGTGAACCACTATATGGCTTACCCACCTTTTGAATGACATAGTGATTTACTGCAATTCTGGCGTCATAAATGAAGGTGCCGAGTTGTGAAAATGTTAAGCTCCAGCTTAATGGAGCTCAATCTAAAAAATCTCGAGAGGACCAGAGGATCAGGTATGATCATAATGTACAAGTAATGTGTGGTTGGCACGAAAAATACAAGAGCGGGATGGAGAGCACTGGTTGAAGTTTGAAGCACAAGAAAGTTGGATATTTAAGAAATTTCTCATTTGTAGTAATGATAAAGGGAACAGATCAAGATGTGAGTGGAGGTGATGGAAGTTATTTCCATTTAAAGCTTTATTGGTAGGAATAAAGATGATAGGCACTCGATAGCTATGTTGCAGGGCTAAATAGACAGACGTCACTTCTCACAGGCATAGATCAGCACAGCTAGGCAAGAAGAAAGACTAAATATGGAAACTAGAATATAGGAGATAACTAAAAAACTGATAGTTTACAAGTGGGGAATTAGAGGAAATTAGTATAAATGGGAAAAGAAAAATATTTCAGCTCCTGATGTTTTGTGTCCAACAATTGGAAAGAGACTGTTATATTTCATATACAAAATATGTGAGTGAGGACCAGCAAATTTGGTCCTCACTATAAATAAAAGGATTAATTAGTAATTAATATATTAACCCTGACAATGTGGGCACATAAGCCGGAGTTCCTAAAACCCAAGTGTAAAAAATTGCTGAACATTACCATGCATATTGGAAACACTTATCTATGAAGGTGCTGACATGGAGAAAAGAAAGAACACATTGTTTAAGGTCCGAGACATCAGTGGAAGTCAAATCTGACTACACAGTTGAATAGCCATGAATCTTCCTGGAGTACCAGAGCTATACAAGGACACGCCTGGGCAGATTGGGGGGGGGAAGTAATTTTTTTTTTTTTTTTTTTTTTTTTTTAAATAAAATTGCTTGCCATTACCTTTTTCTAATGTAATTTTTTTATTCTGCTGTTACTTTTAAGTATATTATATATATATATGTCTCCTAAATCCTGCAAGCATAGCTAGATAGCATGAGCATGCACACCCACATTTGCATGTGCATACACTAACTTTGAAGAGGGTTCATGTAAAATGGTGATAGTGTCTTCCTCTTGGTGAGTGACTGCCTGCCCCCACTCTTTCTCCCCATCTCCCCCTTCCCCTCTCTCTCTCTGCATCTCCCCCCCTTCTCTCTCTCTGCATCTCCCCCCTTCTCTCTCTCTCTCTCTCTCTGCATCTCCCCCCTTCTTTCTATCTGCATCTCCCCTCTATCTCTCTCTCTCTCCCCATCTCTCCCTTTCTCTTTCTCTGGGACTTACTCTTGAAGCCACAGACGCCAAAATACTTGGGGAAGAAACAGGCTTTCCAGAGTGTACAGCGCTCCTGTTGTGGAAAAATAAACTTATACAGTATGTGCTGTACTCTTTTAGCAAAAAAGTATTAATATTTATTAGAATAATACTAATTAAAATTTCTTATTTAAAATGCAAATAGAGGTATATTGGAGCTTCAAGTAGAGCAGAATATCAACAATATCTTGATCTTACAGGCTTTGGGGAAGACACAAAACAAAGTGATTTAAATATAGCTTTGGTAAGGGAGTCAAAGCAGACATTGTTCTTTTTCCTTCAGAATAATTGGTGATAACTTACAGCAGCACTCATCACTTCTCCTCCCTCGCCAGTCTCTGGGTCACAACTCACGATGGCATCTGCAACGTTCTTCAGCTCCTGTGGGGTATGCGAGGTATGTTAGTGGTGATGTTACTGTGTGGGGTGTGTTGATGGTGAGTGTGGAGGTGATGCTTGTGGTACAATATTGGTATGGGTAGAGGGCATGGTTGGCATGATAGAGAGGATTGAGTGGTGGTGGCTGTAGTTTGGTGGTGGTACTGATAGTTATGAGGACAGTCATCTACTTGCATTATTGGATGGTTAATTTAAGCATTATTGGATGGTTAATTTAAGCATTATTGGATGGTTAATTTTTTTTTTTTTGTGCCACCATTTCCCCTCTTACAGAGACATGTCTGTGAAAGGGGGGGGGCTTGTTAACGGTCTGCAATCCTGTAATCTCCGATCGTCTATGTCGCTACCATTTCCTTATCGATACGAGCACATCATCTAGTGTGTTGTTACTTTTTCCAGCTGGGGGTTTGGGGAATAGAACATCCAGAACACACATTAGGTATCCAGACATGCCAGATCTTACTCTTTGCCTGGACCAGATTGCTACTAGCAGGTTAACAGTCCACACCTACAGAACTCACATCTTGAATTTAAACCTTATCCCCCTCCCCCTACCCGCCTTCCACCCTTTAACACTTTCAGTTTGACAAACTGCAAAAGTAAGGGATTATCCAGTCATCTGACAGCCCCTGGGATTTAGCACTCCACTTGTTACTCGAGGCAACCCCAAGAGAGAGTGCGCTTTCTAGGAGCACCTTCCAGACTGTTGCCCTGTATCAGACATCCAGGACCAGCTGTGCTGTTCTACTATCTTCTCCTGTATTGACCTTGTCCAGGCATTTCACCAAACTCCTGTGATTCCAATAGACATCACAGATTGCCATTACAATGCCCTTCAGCATGTTTTGAGTTTTTCCTCGTGCCCTTTAACATACATTGATGATCTCTTGGTGGCCAGCCATTCCCTCAACAGACCATCTGCTTTGCCTATGGTTTCTTCTTACCTGTCTTAAAGACTATGGCCTTCAGATCAATCTGGGAAAGTGCATCTGCGGTGTGCCAGAACTGGAATTCCTGTGACATGTGTCAGCGGCTGGCATGCAGCAACTTGAGAAGATCAAAGCAGTCACGAGAGATTTCATGTCCTTTTACCCTGAAGAAGCTGCAGGAATTCCTCAGTATTGTAAACTTGTCCCCATCGAGTTATTCTGTAGTACTCTGGCATCCTGCAGCACCTGTTCAGTTTCATGTATGTAAGTATACATCAAGGCTTTCCTTGCATTGGACACATTAGGCAGAGAAACAGGCTTTCTAGACATCAAGTTCACAGAGTTCACTTTGTTTGACACCCCCTACCAGTTTCACAGGCACTTCCAATGTGGCTGTGGGAGCAGTCCTGCACATGGCAGTTGTTACTTTCTTCTTGGTCCACTTCTTGTTTGCAGAATATAAGTACAGCACCTTGGACACCACCTGATGCTGTATTAAGTTCAATGTAACCTAGATTCTGTGGACTATGACTTAGTTGCAGTGGCCCAGCGTGATGACTCGGAATTTCGCTGGTTGAAGATTAAACCCACAACTCTCCACCTCACTGACATCTGTGGAAGGCAGTCCCCCAACTTCATTTGCAAGCCAGGACCAGGACCTCATTGACCAGGAACCTGTGGCCCTCTACTTCCCCACCAACCTGGAGTTGCATGCCATACTTTGCAACCCACCAATGTATGCTGTTTGGCCAACAAGCCGGCCAAACTGTCCGCTCAGCCACCGGCTGAGTGGACAGAACACTGGATGCGTGATCCTGTGGTCTCGGGTTCGATCCCGGGTGCCGGAGAGAAGCAATGGGCAGAGTTTCTTTCACCCTTATGCGCCTGTTATCTAGCAGTAAATAGGTACCTGGGAGTTAGTCAGCTGTCACGGGCTGCTTCCTGGGGGTAGAGGCCTGGTCGAGGACTGGGCTGCGGTGACACTAAGCCCCGAAATCATCTCACGATAACCTCAAGATAAGATACACCTGTGTCTGCCACATGAAGGCCCCTTTGTCTTCAAGGTGTTGCATATCATCGTACGATCTTTACTACCTTCAAGAAGTTACTCCTATCATGCTTGTATTGAATGGTTCTCCAGATGTCTGTTACAGGGTTTATTTATTTTTATTGCATTGTGTTCAGTAGGTTAAATTAGAAAATGTCCCACTCACCTCTGGAATGTTCTGCCAGCCAGAGAAATTAGTGACGAGGTCCCTCAGAGCAAGCACATTGAGCCCACCTTCTTTGCTGTACCAACCTAGTTTCTCACTGACACACTTACGCACCATAGATACAATCTGAAACACCACAGTGGTCCAGCGAGACAAGATACAGGAGGTACATATACATCCATAGTACATACAACTTTTTAAGCAAAACTAAAGGGCATTACATTCTATAAATTTGGCAGATTTATTTTCAGAAAATAGATTTCAGAGAATGGCATTTAACTAGTTATGATTTCTTTAAAATTAATATATACCTGTACCTGCATGCAATTTTACAAAATATTTGTTCCCAATTATGGAAATGCTCACCTGTTCGTGTTTATTCTTGTCGGTGGCATTGGAGGAGCCTTGACTGTGAGACTCGGCATCACCACCACCCACTAGACCTGGAGACGAGATTGTTATTGGTCACTAGACTATTCGGTTGCGCCATACACACATTATTGTACCCATGTCTTTCTTCGTGCATGTTTGTGTGCGTGTGTCTTATGAAATGGTAAATGGCTTAGCTTGAATGTTTGGGGTTCAGTTCCTGAGATCATTGTGTGACTTATCCTCCTGTCACTTCCCAAATGATGGATGCTGAGGGTCCATAATAGCTAAACTTAAATTACTTGTCTGTCACTTTCTCTTAAGTATGTTTGTCTCTCTTTATTTTATATGTATATCATTCCATCACGTTAGAAGCTAGTAGTCTGCAGAATTATAATGATGTTTCTTACCTGCATTGTCAAGGTCAGGGTTATTTTCTTAGGCTTGGCATATTTTAAACCCTAGCCTTAATAAATAGCAAATGCTTTACAAGGTGGTCTCAGTATAACCTAGACCTGTTACTTAACATCTGAGTAATGCTAGAATTAAATGCTTATTAAAGTAGAGAGGTTTTTCAGAAAGGTACATCCAGGGAGAAACTACTATTAAGTGATCTTCTTGAGTTACATTACTACTTTTCACATTGTCCACAAAGTGTGCCCGAGTGGGAACCATTAGAATAGCCTTGCACACAACCTCATGGCCATGCGAACACCACTTACCACAGGCTGTAATACCGTCAGCTCCTAGAGCCTCTCCGCAGGCTCGACAAGCCTCCGCATACTATGGGACAAAAAAACAAAGTAAAAAATAAATGAACAGTAATCACAATATATTAAAATTTAGTAGTCATTCATATCTAGTGCACGAGCCACAGACCTCACTATTACTAACAACAACCACTTATTACCACATTAGAATTAACACACATTCAATACTAAATACATATCTCCACACACAACCATGATAAAGAGGTTTATCCTTAGACTGAATGCAGAGGGAGATTGTGAGACTAATGAGTAGGCATGGAGTTGCCAACTAAATTGCATTGGTGCAGGCCAAAAAAGCAGATTTCCCATATCAGGCTCAAAAAGTGTTTAATAAGCTACAAATATAAGTTATACATGTGATTTTTTTTATTCAATGCATGTGCTGAAAGGGATCTCGCTAGAATGAATTGCTATATATCAGGGAGAAACTAGCTAACAAAGTTTGAAGATTAAGTAGCACAGCTGAAGCTGTAACGGGAGGTGCCAGAAGATACATGCACCGTCTACAGTTAAGAATACTTATAAAATGTTAAATACCTTTCAGAATGAGAGCAGCCAAGACTTTAGAAGGAACCTAGTATTTGTCACAGTAAACACTGATGCCATGTGCACATTGTAGTTAGTGAAATAAATTACTAATTGCAAATATATAAACACTACACTTACTATTGTACCTTAATTTCCACCACATAAACTAAAATTCAAGCACACCGTACTGAAGATACTACATTCACTATTATATCACCATGACTCCATAGTTGTCATATGCCACAAAACTACCACTCCATATATGTACTACCAAGCTCTCATACACACAACACCATCACACCACCACATCATGCACATTACCACCACAATGAACTGGGTAAGAGAGTACCTTAGAGACACAAAACAATCACAGTCAGAGAGGGTTACAAGCTGAAGGAATGTGATTAGTGGGGTCTTTCAAGGCCCAGTTCAAGGACCACTACTCTTACTAATTTATGTGAATGCCCTACCTGAAGGAGTAGGCTCGTACATTTCAATGTTTACTAATGATGCAAAGGTATTGAGGAATGTATAAACCAAAGTGGACTGAAGCAAATTACAGGAAGATCTTGAACTCCAGGAGTGGGCAAACAAATGGTTGCTAGAATTCTATCTTTACAACTGTAAGGCGTTAAAGATGGGAAAAGGAGAAAGGAGACCTGGAGATATCGATACTATACAGGGAAGGCAACTACAAAACTCGGAAAGAAAAAGATTCAGAAGTGGATATAATTCCAGAAGCATACACAAACAGTAACAAGACAACATATTGGAAGCTGAATTATTAGAATGTCCTTTTGAAAACCTAACCCCAAGAATTCACTGTAATTCCAGAAACCCCAGAAATACTGTAATTCAAGGCAATGTACACACCTTATGTTAGACCAGTACAGGACTCTGCACCTTGTGATGCATAAAAATAGAATTGATAAAGTACAGAGATCTACAACAAGATTAATGCCAGAACTAAGAGTATTAAGCTATGAGGATAGGTTAAGGGAACCAGTTCTCATAATGATTTCTTAAGAAACATTGGTGATATTATCACAAGATACTGAGCAGAACTGACAGGGTGAACAAGGACAGTCTCTGTAAATGAGGAAGTATGACTAATGGAAATTGGGATGAAAATGAATAAGAAATGTAAGGAAATACTTATACCCCTGAATGGGTGATCAACCAGTGGAATGCACTGAAAGTAGTAGTTACGGAAGTCACTTTCATCCGCAACCTTAAGTTAAGACAAGATTTGACAAAGATTTCCAACATCAAGTTATTACAGGTAGATTTGTAATGCAACAGGTTCACTACTAGTCCACTAAGAGTTATTCTCGTTTTCCCGTAGTCATTGATAGAAAAGCACTCTTGCTTTCCAATCAGTGCAACACTCAATACCAGCACCACACTTTACCACACACCATCAACACTGACACCAGTAACACAAACAATACACCACCCTCACCACACACACATACCAATACCACCACCACTAACCTGAGGAGTGACCATGACACGGCTACACACTGACCCCTCCCCCTCACTCTGGAGCCACTGCTTGGCCAGCGCAGTTCTTACATCACAGTACCCGGTTGCCTCCCTCTGTACACACTCCATCGCCTCCATCACGTGCTTGGGAAGGGCAGTGGAGGGAAGAGAACATTTAGAACACTACCAAAAAGGTCAACTGGCCAAAATGAGGCAAGTCATTTTAACACCAAGGTTTTCACCATGTGTTCAGCCTATTCTAAATTCTAATTTCCCAAGAAATTCTATAACTTTTATAATTAGAAACTTATCCAATGTATCCATTGTTATGAAATCTGGTTAGATTTTAGATTTTTCCAAAGAAATACATATCCTATATTACATACACTTTTGTGCCTTTGTGCTTATTTCTTACCTGAAATATCCTGTTTATCTTATTTTTTACTTTAAACAAATCGTAGTTTGAGATCTATCCTTTCTTTGTCATTACTAAATTTTTATCCATGTCTTCCCTATTTTTAATAATAAAACCATTTATATTTTGTTATAATTATCTGACACCTCTGCTTCAGATTATAACATTTCTGGGTGGTGCTGAGCCATTACCGTGTTAGCCTGACCTGCTGCCCTCACCTGGGTAGCGTTGGTATCTGAAGGGATACTGGAGACGCAGGTCATGATGACTGCTTGTAGGTATAGGGCCTTCTGCAACAGGTACCTTGAGTTTAGTATTATGTGCCATGTTATTGTGACATTTTATATAATTAATGTACTGTAATTTTTATGTAAACTTTCCCAATTATAAGTGTAAACCATTTATGAATAAAGTTGATTTGATATATTTGTTATTACCTATATGTAGTTACATATAAGGAGCTTTGCTCCAAGTGGCACATCTTCTTTATATTTATTATATTTGTAAAACTTTCAATAGTTTTATCACACAACCACAACCTAGAGTATACTTCTACCCCCTCACAATTGTATCAGTTTAAAAGTGATTCCTGTTTTTTCTACAACTCTGTAGTTTACAACTATAACCTTTTGATTTGGTTTCTGGTTTCAAAAAAGTCAAAATATTTATACAAAGATACTGTGTGTGTGTTACATTAATAGTTAATAGTAGTAGCTGTATTAGTATTAATAGCAGTATCAACAATAGTGTTAACTGTATTATTGGAGATAATAAGAAGCACGGCAGCAGCATGAGCACTGCCCTCACTAACAGCACATACAGCAGTGGGAACCTGAAGCGCACACACACACATTGCCTTAACTCACCCCCTTGTTGTCTCCTTCAATGGTGGAGACCAACTGCTGTATCTTGGTGGTGTCCAGGGTTCCCTCCTCCTGCGCCAGCTGTAGGTGCTCCACCACACACCCCACCACCTGCTCCTTCACCGCCTCCTCCACCCCTACACCCTCGCCAACCACACTAATTAATAATATTTTTAATACCTGTATTTTAGTTTTAATTATTCACCGTTAGAATTTGCAAAGTGTAATTCTATACAGTATGTTATATGATATATTAATACTTTTATAAGTATTTTAAAGACATACAAATAGAGAATTTTAGTCAAGAGAAAATAAGCTCACCTTGTGTAGCCAAGTTGAGGGAGTCCGGTTTCTCTTCCTGCTGAATCCCAACCATATTTTTTTTTACCTAAATAAAATATTAAATGTTAATCATAATTTTGAATGCCAAATGTTTATAATATAATTTTGTTTCACAAGCAATTTAATATGAAAAATCAGAATACAGTATACCCAGAGTAGTACCCTTGATCTTAAGCATTGACTTACGAAATTATCTTCCTGAAAAATATTGTATAGAATTCAGCATATCTTATTCAATATGCCTTCAAAGTTGAACAATAACAAAGTACTGTACACAAAGAACCAACAAAATTTAATGATCCGAGACAGTGAAAGATAAATTTGCTATTCCTTATATCATACTACCATGCACGAGAACCAAGAACCAAATACATATGGATCATCCAATAAAATTAGCAGACTCCCTAGGTGTTATTACTGTTCAGCTTAAACTCTGCTATGCATATCTGGAAGTTTGTATAACTTGCCAACATAGACCTGGTCAAGTGTAAACTGTGTCAGCAAAGCTATTAACACATTACTCTGTTTAATTACAAATTATGTACTACTAGAAATCTTAGCCAAGTATCTCAGGTTTCCTTAACATAGATAGTACATGTACACGATAGCAACATTTCCACTGAATGGGCTTGGCTTAAAGATTATTGGGGTTCAGTATCCTTTGTGTAACGGTAACCTTTTTGCCTCTTTCCCACAGGATAGGTTAGGGATCCTTAACAAACTAAACTAAACAATTATATATTTTTAATTTAAATCTCATTATTGTATATATTATATATAATTCCTAGATTATTAATCAATTAAAGTCACATATCATACTTTGTCTTAAAAAGAAACACATGAAACCCAAATAAATATACTGTACTGTATGTACATTACTATAAATTTATGGTAAGCAATTTTGTATAAAACTTACCGATACTGTAATTCTAGAGCCGGATGGTCTGTTACTGACCATGTGTAATACACAAGGAAGTCTAACACCTCCAGGATGGCCTTCCTGCTACTTTTATTGAGATTAACACCCATATATAGGTATGATTCAAGCCACCAGGGGCAGAGGAGGTTGGAGTTATAAACTTGGTTGGGTTAGGCTGTTGTGTATAGACTGGTCTACGTTCGGGATCTACATCATTGTTTCCCAACTTTTTTGGGACTCTCAATCCTATTTTCTAATTCCGAAAACCTGCAACCCCGTGACGTGACACTTATTTGAAAAACATTCCCTTATCAGGATATTCGCCACATTTTAATTCTCGATGATTCACACGTATACTGTACTAGTACTCTGAATTTTGGAAATATTCTGCACACCAGAAGTGCAGATGTAATTGTGTTTGACACTTGAGTGGTTGTGAAGGCAACCCAGACATTTGGTGCAATCTGCTTGCACTAAAACTGCTCGGCTAGCAGCCTTGCCGCCTCAAACCTATCGATAAGTGATAGTTAAATTAGAGTTAACTACTTTCTTAAAATGTTTTGTCCCATACCTCCATTTATTGGTTCCCATAATACACCTCATTAAAAACAGTTTTGTTAGATGGGTCTTTATAGACAGGGCAATGTTAGTGTAGTCTTTATAGAAGGTGGGGCGGGGGGGTTAGTGTGGTCTTTATAGAAGGGGTTGAATTAATTACGGGAGTCCTTATAGACTGGGTTTGATTAAGAGAGCACAAGACTGGGCTGGGTTAAGGAAGTCTTCTAAGGTTAGAGATAGAGAGATTTATAGGCTTGGAGATGTGCATGGACTTGACTGTTGACCTTAGGGTCACTGATGTGGAGAATTAGCGTTGTATGAAGTGACTGACCCTGGCGGCGCACTCCATGAAGGCATTGCGGACGTTGGTGGGAGGCCTGGCGGAGGTGAGACAGCGGGGCACCACCTCCCGCAGCAGGAGACGACCCCTCCGGAGAGAACTCAAGGCACCACACTTGCCTGTAGATGAGTAACGAGCACCAATTATGTCAGCATTGTGGTCGGCATTTTGACATATACAGGAATGTTTACAAATTAGTAATGTCTTTGTTACTTTACCATGTGGGGCAGTTATAGTTATTAAAATATATTTTTTAGCATGGGTCCTTGTTAGTACGAACACACACACACACACACACAGCCATCATGGAAACATAGGAGATTGGCAAGTTGTTGCCATAAGCACAACCAGAGAACAATGTATAAACATCAGAGGTCCACGGTTGTTCAACATCCTCCCAGCGAGTATAAGAAATATTGCCGGAGCAACCGTGGACATCTTCAAGAGAAAACTATCTAGTTTTCATCAAGAAACTACCGGACCAACCGGGCTGTGGTGGATATGTGGGCCTGCGGGCCGCTCCAAACAACAGCCTGTTGGACCAAGCTCTCACACGTCGAGCCTGGCCTCAGGCCGGGCCTGATAAGTAGAACTCCCAGAACTCCATCAAACAGGTAATGGGCCTATAAGAGTGAGGTACTTCACCTTTATCTCATTCAGCTATATATCCGGCAGCACAAAAACTTATGAAGTTCTAAAGAACTTGTAAAGTTCAGCACAAGAATTTCTCCATTCTTTGGTGGCTTAATCTTTATCAATCAACTTGTAACCCTTCGGACTCTGCCTTTGATAATGTTAACAAGAGTTAATGAAATGCATCTCTTAGCTTCAAGCTAAATAAAATTGGAAAATGAACTTAAGGGAGTTAATTTTTCAACTTTCCTTCTTAAGTTGAGAAAACATAAGACAAGAGAAGATTCGGGATAAAATCATCGATCTCGTCCTTTCTTTCATATGCAATACTAATTTATATATATAATTTTATACATATTTTTATATATAATATATATATATAATTATATATATAATTTATATATATATATATATATATATATATATATATATATATATATATATATATATATATATATATATATATATATATATATAATTCGTAATGCTTATTACATTTTCAAAGACTTGGTTTACACATAAAAATTCATCTTACTTATCCACCCCCCCCTCATTAATTTTCGATTGCTTAGGATATACAGCCGACCGTGCTTATATGGATCTTGTCTAGGTTAGTGGTGAGTCTCCATTTTCTTTCCAAGTTCGCAGTCCGGGCGAGCTCTACGTTCCCCTTACAGGTTACCGCCGTGTGTTTGGCTGATTGAATACTTAGGTTAGATGTTATTACGTGGGTTACATCATCTGCAAATTGGACTATGATGGTGTTTTTGTGTTCCGGTTGGGGGCACATTATTTACAAATATGTTGAAGAGAACAGGGTTCAGACAGGACCCTTGGGGAACTCCAGCTGTTGGGGGAGAAGACCGCTTCAGTTTTCGCCATGAAGTAGGGAGCAACTTGCCTATTGGTCAGGAAGTTCTGACCAGTCTAAGTATATCTTGAGGTTATCTTGAGATGATTTCGGAACTTAGCGTCCCCGCGGCTCGGTCCTCGACTAGGCCTTCTTTTTATTACACATCCCTAGGAAGCAGCCCGTAGCAGCTGTCTAACTCCCAGGTATTTATTTACTGTTAGGTGAATAGGAGCATCAGGGAGAAAGAAACTGCCTACTCCGTTAGGAGTAGGGTCCAGTTTTGGGCCGGTAAGTCTGTTAGCTTGTACAAGAGACCGTCGGGCCATAGGATGTCGAGGGCCTTGTGTGGGCGATGGCAATATGGGGTCCATTGCATAATGCACACCTGGGAGTGGGGGCGTTACATTCTTTGTAGTCATGCTCCTCGGCGCACCTGCTGCACTTTGTGGTTACATGTTTGAGTAGTGGTCATATTGGAAGCACTTGAAGCATTGCTTGAGTTTGTGGAACGTCTGCATGGAGATTTGGTTAGGTTCAATTATTATGCCAAAGGCGGTGAGGCGTGTGATGCCGGTTCTGGCGAGGCCAGCTCCAGGACTTAGTTGATGAGGGCTGGGTTGTGATCTTGTGGGCCTCCGTTATTCTAACATACTGCTTTTTGGTCTTAAATTTCCTTAATGTCTTGTTCTGAGTGGGCCATGATGATACCGCAGCTCCTGTGCACAAAGAGGGTACGCTTGACTTGGAACTCGGCCGAGGGAAAGGCTGAGATCGTTTTCTCAAGCAGTGTGGGCGTCGGGCCAATAGTAGTTGTGGAAGGTTTCAGTTGGGTACCCCCAAGATGGCGCCATTGGTTATCTAGTGCACATTCTTAAAGTTAATGTTGGTGGTGCCATAGATCACGTCAAGCAGTTGGGCTGGAGCTCGTACCGGGGCGGCATCGTCACTGAAGTTGACTGTGGTTGCCACGGTCTGGTGGAACCTGAAAGGCTAAGTCTAAGCAATGTTGGTTGGTTGTGACTGGATAGTTGGATAGTCTATGTGGCTAGTGGTTGTTAGTAGGTCGACCGAGGCCACTAACATGTAGTTGCTGAACAACTAGAGCTACTAAAACACATGGGTGATTAATATAGTTAATTCGAAAATATTTTAGATACCTGACACATGTTCATGGAGTGGATGGGCAGACACGGTAGACAGTAGTACCCCTGCTAACATCAACAATATCTTCTCCATGTTGATTTCTGAAGGAAAAGTATCAATAGTTACTATGGATCGATCGTGAGACAAGTTGGAGAGTGGTAGGATATGTTGGCGTGTGATGACCTCCACTGATCTAAACAGATCATCCCAGGTCAACAGGATGTACACATGATCACTATTGAAGAGATATGGGGAAGTTATGCTATTAATGGTCCACAAGGATGGTGAACAAGTCACTGTACGTCCACTAGGAGAGTGAACAAGTCACTGTAGGTCCACATGAAGAACAAGTCACTGTAGGTCCACTAGGAGGGTGAACAAGTCACTGTTGGTCCACAAGGATGAAGAACAAGTCACTGTAGATCCACAAGGATGAAGAACAAGTCACTGTAGATCCACAAGGATGAAGAACAAGTCACTGTAGATCCACAAGGATGAAGAACAAGTCACTGTAGATCCACAAGGATGAAGAACAAGTCACTGTAGGTCCACTAGGATGGTGAACAAGTTACTGTAAGTCCACTAGGATGAAGAACAAGTCACTGTAGATCCACAAGGATGAAGAACAAGTCACTGTTGGTCCACAAGGATGATGAACAAGTCACTGTTGGTCCACAAGGATGAAGAACAAGTCACTGTTGGTCCACAAGGATGAAGAACAAGTCACTGTTGGTCCACAAGGATGATGAACAAGTCACTGTAGGTCCACAAAGAAGTCACTGTAGGTCTACATAGATACAGGATATATCACTGGGTCATATTACATAATTCATGAATTTAATTTTTTTTTACCTTAAACAAAAATAAATAAAATCCCCCAAAAAACTTTTTTTTTACCATAATGTGAGTACTTTCTGGTTAGGTAAATTCCACTTATAAATAGCGTGTCTCCGAGCTGGGGACAAACGACTGTTTCACATATAAATGTACACCGTAGACAAACAATATATAAACTAAGCAATTGGGCAACATTACTAACCTCAGTCCCTAGTTGGGTCAAGTATGGCGCCAGGAAAGTTGTGCTCCATTTATATAACACGGCCGTTGTTCAGTTGCCAGATTGTCGGTGTAGGTTTAAAAAAGTGTTCTCTTTGTGTGACACGCAGTGCTCGGCTGGCAGGGGCGCCATCACGGTAATATAATGTATTGCTTACATGTAAACCTCGACGGTGAATTATTGTGTCATTGTGTGTAAGTGCGCAGCTGTCACATCACTTGTTACATGACCCGTCATCCTGGAACATTCTCTGCATCCTGTGCTCCCTATAGCTTCTTGTTGTGTCATCTGCAATAACAACAATTTACTATTCAAAAGTTTGATATGCAATACTGCTCACGATTATTATATAGTTGCAGTAGACGCCCTGTCATCCTCCTCGTATTCTACTACCTATTCTACTAAATGTGAAAATTAAAATATTTTCAATATTTATAAATATTTCCAAAGCCCCGTTGTTTTAGCCCCCAATTGTAATATCTGCTTTGCTTCAGCACCTCACCTGAGCACCAGGGGAACCAAGCAGTTCGGTTTAGAGCCTGACACTTGCCCACCACGAAGCAAGTAATTATCAAGAGAAGGCGCCAAGCCGGGAGTATTGTTTAACACCAACAAAGTTGAAGGATATTCAAAAGGCGCTTAATATCACTAAGGATGTCAATACGGGAACAAAGGTGCGTAATGCGAGCTGTTATCAAAGGTATTTGATTCACCAAGGATTCTATGGAGGGACGGCTGACCGCGAGCGAGGGTCGGACATTCAACAAAAATGTGCACGAGGGTGAGAGCGACAATGCAGTTTGGACAATAAGGAGCAGGGCGACGGGCCAATAAGTGTCCCTGAGATATACCGCGTCCGGCCAATACATAACCTGGCCAGAGCCGTTCCCCACCTTGAAGCCCCACGTGGGAACCCTACCACAATGGTTTATACGATAAGTCATTGAAGATAACTCGGTATACAACTGCGTCATTGCATTTTAAACTGAACGTCAGGAGGACGGAGCTTGGAGTCCAACTCGTCCCTGCAACACACATCTGAGCACGCGCACGCACTCACCTGCGCACTAGTTCAGAGGTATGACACCAGGCTAGTCCCCGAGCTGAGGGGTATGAGCTATGAGGAAAGATTATGGGAGCTAACCTCACGTCATTGGAAGACTGAAGAGTTAGGCGAGACATGATCACCATCTATAAAATTCTCAGAGGAATTGACAGAATAGATAAACTATTTAACACGAGTGGTAACGCACAAGGGGACACAGGTGGAAACTTAGTACCCAAATGAGTCACAGGGACGTCAGAAAGAACTTTTTCAGTGTCAGAGTAGTTAACGGATGGAATGCATTAGGAAGTGTTGTGGTGGAGGCTGACTCCATACACAGTTTCAAATGTAGATATGATAGAGCCCAGTAGGCTCAGGAATCTGTAACACCAATTGATTGACAGTTGAGAGGTGGGACCAAAGAGCCGAAGCTCAATCCCCGCAAGCAAAACTAGGCGAGTACACACGTAGGGCCTCGCGGCTGAGTGGACAGCGCTCGGAGGTCTTAGTCCCCAGGGTTCTACTGGATTCCCTCCGGGACAACCCGTCCTCGACTCAAGTCCATTACATTCAGCGGTCAACCCCACAGACGCATTCATAAATTTTTAAATGCTGTTCATTCAAAACAGGAATTTTCTCAAGTATAAATGAATATTATAATATATTAGCATATTGTGCATATATAGGCATAGGATAGGTTAGGTTAGGTGTTTAGGTTCTGTTGGCGATTATTTGTATTTGTAGTACGTGGGTGAAGCATTTATAGCGTTGTAATTCGAACAAAATTCGTCAGTGAAGCACTTGTTCCGGATATGTTCGAACGTCAGCAGTTGTGAGTCGTGTGTAACAGCCCGTCCTCCAAACAAAGATCCAAAAGTGATTCCATGCACCCGCCAAACCCCCTGTTTATGAATGAAAAGCGGTTTACACACGACTCACAACTGCTGACGTTCGAACATATCCGGAACAAGTGCTTCACTGACGAATTTTGTTCGATCCACAACGCTGTAAATGCTTCACCCACGTACTACAAATACAAATAATCGCCAACAGAACCTAAACACCTGACCTAACCTAACCTATGCCTACTTATACACAATATGCTAATATATTATAATATTAATTTATACTTGAGAAAATTCCTGTTTTGAATGAACAGCATTTAAAAATTTATGAATGCGTCTGTGGGGTCGACCGCTGGATGTAATGGACTTGAGTCGAGGACGGGTTGTGTGTAAATAGCTTTTCATTCATAAACAGGGGGTTTGGCGGGTGCATGGAATCACTTTTGGATCTTTGTTTGGGGGACGGGCTGTCCGGGAAGGGCCCGGTTCGATACCCGGCCGAGCCAGAAACAAAAGGACAGTTTCTTTCACCCTGAAGCCCCTGTTCCTAACCTAACCATTAGCAGTAAACAGGTACCTGGGAGTTAAGACAGTTGCTACGGGCAGTATCCTGGGGATGTGTTTGTGAGAGAAGGAATTATATGTAGTAGATATAGAGGAAAAAATGTCGAGAGTCAGTACACTAGACAACCGACGGTTAGAATGGCGGGGTCCAACAGCTAACAGCTCGACTGAACAACGTAACCGGTTCCAGTCCCTGGCCCCTGGCGTAATTCCATGTATAACTTTCCCCAACACACATCAATAATAAGCCAAAGATGCACTTCTTTTCGTCCCCCAAATACAAAATGTTTGAAGAATGCAAATGTATATTTAGACAATGTTTTCCTATAAATCATAAAGTTCTTTGCATATATAAAATATAAAGATTTAAACTAATATTAGCAACAACGAACACGGCAACATAGTGCCAGATGCTATATGAAAATATTATTGGGTCTTTTAAAGTGTATGGTGTCAACGGTCCATATGACGAGCATATATGACATACCTTATATGTCACATATACCGACACTGTCGTTATATATGACATACCTCGTCCGCCTTGTGAGTTATGCTCCAGACACACAGCAACGAACATTCTTGTATATCGCCATTTAGTTGCATTAGCGACAGGTGTGAATAACATGTAGAACACACACTCGCCGACCCAACTGGTGGGAGGCGGGGCGGGGTGGGAGGGAGGCGGGACTGGTGGCGCGCGCACACACCGTGACATTCAGCCAGTTCATATATCCTGTTTCCTGCCTCACTCATCACACCCATCATCGCTCTCCGTCCACCTTCCATAGCATCGTTCACAGGATACACACATGCACCGCCCCTCTACACGATAGTTCGCAGGATTCACACGGACTGCTCCTCCACAGGATCAGCGCCATCACACACGTACAGCTCTTCTGCAACACATAGTAAGGATACAAATATACTGCTATTGTAAATTGAGATTAGACAAAATACAATTCCCGTGCAAAATAACATAAAACTGCAGGTGTATTGACCCCTACGTGGCAGCTATTTATTCCCAATCAACCTCTTTCATGCATGTCTAACCTAGACATGAGGTTAGGTTGAGGTTGTCTAACCTACGATTGAGGCACTCCAGCGATCCCATGTCTATTATGTTACCGGTAATCTTTTTTTTGTTTTCTTTTTAGAAATCCACAAACCTGTTTCCAGCCAGCATTTACAACTGGTACAACGTCGACTGGGGATTATCACTGTGAAATCCATTAACCCTTCTGGCCAAGTTTACAGCTCACCGAGGAACGTTGCTTATAATTACTCTAATTATACTCGCCGATGAGTGAGAGACACAGACGGCTGTAAGAAGAGAGAGACAGTAGGGCAAGACTTACCGTCAGCCATGGGAAGCAACAGTCAGAAGTACTCTGCTACTGTAACTTTGTGTAAACCATTTTCGAAGAAAACATCAAGCCGGGAAGCCGATATGTAGCACTGTCTGTTTCACAGGATATTCAGAAGGCACTAAATATCCCCCAGGATGCCAATACGAGAAAAAGGGAACATAAGGCGAGCGACATCTAAGGTATGAGATTCACCGAGGGATAAATGACCCAGAGGGACATTGGGAAAGCAAAACCAATGATCGTCCTGAGAAGCAGGACACTACAACAAGGTGCACAACTGTAAGTGGGACAATGCACTTCGCACAAAAATGAGCAGTGTGTTGTCCCATTAAGTGTTAATGAGTAAAGCGAGTACAACCAATACACAGTCTAGCCAGAGCTTTTTCTCACCGTCTATTACGGAGGTAGGAGACAGGCCAAGGGAAAAAGGTAACAAGAGTAATCACGTTGTTACCCATATTGCCAGTACACGACCCTGACCCTTTTCTTTTAAGGAGTCCCAGTTCTGGGAAATGCTGCAAGGGCCTGATAGCTGAGTGGACAGCGCTTAGGATTCATAGTCCTAAGGTTCCGAGTTCGATCCCTGGTGGAGGCGGAAACAAATGGGCAATTTTTCTTTCACCCTGATGCCCCTGTTACCTAGCAGTAAATAGGTACCTGGAAGTTAGACAGCTGTTACGCGATGTATCTAGGGTTGTGTAACAAAAAGGAGGCCTGGTTGAGGACCGGGCCGCGGGGACGGAAATGTCACCATCATCACAACATAATAATAGATTATCCAGAAGATTGTGTAGAAAGAAGCTAAGAGTAAAGTCCAACTAAAGAGACAGAAGTAGCATATTAATGAAGCCACTATTGCAGATATTTGGTAACGTAGGCAGTAGTGGGGGACAATGGTAATGTGGAGAGAGTAACTGTGGACAATGCGAGAGGACGCGGGCACCATGACCAATGAGCCCTCCTGCGTGTCCGCTGGCCAGCTAGTCAACAAAAATTGACTACGCTCTGATGGCGCCTGGTGGAGCCACACCCTCTAGGAAGTGTATATGGTGGTGACCGCGAGGCTGCTTATAATGGTGACAATAGAGAATATGTACACTAATGGCGGTGATTGTGGTTAAGGCTGTAGTGGTGGTAGACTAATGGTGACGCTACTGACTCTGGTTGCGAAATGGAAATTGAAATAAGTTTATTGAGGTATAAATACACAAAGGGATGAGGTAGCTCAAGCTATTCTTACCCCCGTTCAGTTCGTGTGTGTGTGTGTATATGTATGTATATATATATATATATATATATATATATATATATATATATATATATATATATATATATATATATATTATACACACATGTTTATTGTTTGTGATTGTGTATATATTACAAAACATTCAGTGATAAATATAAACATTTCATATACATACGTTTTAAGTAGCGCTGGTAACAGTGTTGGTATCAGTAAGAATGTTTTTCTTGGTTTTGGTAATAACAGCTGCAGCCTGTCAGCCTCTGGTGTTGGGGACTAAATTAGCATGCTTGTAATTACGAAGTAAACATATAAATAAATATTCACATTCCATTTTGAGCTAATCAAAATTTTTTTGTATTGAGGTTTGACAACGGTGACTTGCTTGCATATATTTCGTTCCCCTGTGGTAGACTTAGTAAGAATTGTAAAACATTTGTAGACTAACTGAACGACCATCAACAAGTATCCCTCCCCCCACACCATAATCGTAGAAATACAACAATGTATGTTTAGAATCTCCAGAATACATAATTAATAATCAAAAGAAGACACCAAGCCAGAAAGACTATGTATCACCATCAGTGTCGCTGGATATTCAAAGTGCTCGAGGACTGATGTCACCTCCCAAGTATGGTTACAGATTTACAGCAAAAACTGAAAGCTGCACTGTGGGGGATGAAGTGAAAGCCGTCCGAGCCCGCCGCCGTCGAGCTGAAGAGCGACAGGCCAGACTGAAGAAGAGATCGCATCACTGGATCTACCGCGACGAAGCCACAGATGGACAGGCAATATGTACGGAACAAATTTACCCGCACTCTTACAGTTCCTTCCATGTGCCAGGGAGAGAGTGCCAGACGTAATGGTGGAGACGTAAGGTTTCAAACTCTCATATTTATCTGTATTGATGGTCCTACGAGCCATTGCACTAGCCTTCCGAAACAAAATGAATCATTTGTCTGACAGCATCGGTATCTTTTCCAGGCCACACGCTGTAGCTTACAGTCTGAACACATTCCGATTTCCACCAGGAAACACAGTTCCGCGTGGAAATATACGGGAGGAATACCGAGGAACAGAGCGGAGAGCAGCATCTGATAGTGTCGTGACAAGGGAGGGCTCGTTGGGATGAGTAGCGCTGGAGGGTGAAAACATTCGTCCGCCATATTAACCCGCCACGAGGGCAGAGTCGAGGGCGGAAAGAAGAGGGTTACGAGGATTGGGAAAGGGGTCACTTATGGAGGCCGTCGTGAACCTTCCACGTCAGGTCTATATAAGTTGCGGAGGAACAGAGTGGTACGCTGCGACAACACGAGTCGACTCACTCGAATTCAGTTGAGTGTGTGGAGAACACGGGACGAATGTTCTAGAAGGCGGACTTGGGTATGTGTCAACACCACTCCAGAAGGCATGCCGACAGTTAAAATCACATAAAAGAAATACAGGCTTGAGTAATGAGTCTAAGATGTGTTCAAGACAGGAAGAGAAAGAGGAATTCGAGGGGAGAAGATTGCATCCTTACATGGAACAGTATCGTGTCACCACCCAGCTCCCACGGCGAGCCCACTCCACCCACCTCCCACGGCGAGCCCACTCCACCCACCTCCCACGGCGAGCCCACTCCACCCACCTCCCACGGCGAGCCCACTCCACCCACCTCCCACGGCGAGCCCACTCCACCCACCTCCCACGGCGAGCCCACTCCACCCACCTCCCACGGCGAGCCCACTCCACCCACCTCCCACGGCGAGCCCACTCCACCCACCTCCCACGGCGAGCCCACTCCACCCAGTTCGATGTTGATATACGTCACACATTATTGTGGTACTTCCTCGGCACCCTCCCCCACCTCCGCGTGTGTGTGTGTGGAGGGGGGGGGGGGGGGGGGTTATATCACTACTGTGTCATGTAACACCCACACACTCACCACCACCACCCATCCTGTAACACCCACACACTCACCACCACCACCCATCCTGTAACACCCACACACTCACCACCACCCATCCTGTAACACCCACACTCACCACCACCCATCCTGTAACACCCACACACTCACCACCACCCATCCTGTAACACCCACACACTCACCACCACCACCCATCCTGTAACACCCACACACTCACCACCCATCCTGTAACACCCACACACTCACCACCACCCATCCTGTAACACCCACACACTCACCACCACCCATCCTGTAACACCCACACACTCACCACCACCCATCCTGTAACACCCACACACTCACCACCACCCATCCTGTAACACCCACACACTCACCACCACCCATCCTGTAACACCCACACACTCACCACCACCCATCCTGTAACACCCACACACTCACCACCACCCATCCTGTAACACCCACACACTCACCACCACCCATCCTGTAACACCCACACACTCACCACCACCCATCCTGTAACACCCACACACTCACCACCACCCATCCTGTAACACCCACACACTCACCACCACCCATCCTGTAACACCCACACACTCACCACCACCCATCCTGTAACACCCACACACTCACCACCACCCATCCTGTAACACCCACACACTCACCACCACCCATCCTGTAACACCCACACACTCACCACCACCCATCCTGTAACACCCACACACTCACCACCACCCATCCTGTAACACCCACACACTCACCACCACCCATCCTGTAACACCCACACACTCACCACCACCCATCCTGTAACACCCACACACTCACCACCACCACCCATCCTGTAACACCCACACACTCACCACCACCCATCCTGTAACACCCACACACTCACCACCACCCATCCTGTAACACCCACACACTCACCACCACCCATCCTGTAACACCCACACACTCACCACCACCCATCCTGTAACACCCACACACTCACCACCACCACCCATCCTGTAACACCCACACACTCACCACCACCCATCCTGTAACACCCACACACTCACCACCACCCATCCTGTAACACCCACACACTCACCACCACCCATCCTGTAACACCCACACACTCACCACCACCACCCATCCTGTAACACCCACACTCACCACCACCACCCATCCTGTAACACCCACACACTCACCACCACCCATCCTGTAACACCCACACACTCACCACCACCCATCCTGTAACACCCACACACTCACCACCACCCATCCTGTAACACCCACACACTCACCACCACCCATCCTGTAACACCCACACACTCACCACCACCCACACACTCACCACCACCACCCATCCTGTAACACCCACACTCACCACCACCCATCCTGTAACACCCACACACTCACCACCACCCATCCTGTAACACCCACACACTCACCACCACCCATCCTGTAACACCCACACTCACCACCACCCATCCTGTAACACCCACACACTCACCACCACCCATCCTGTAACACCCACACACTCACCACCACCCATCCTGTAACACCCACACACTCACCACCACCACCCATCCTGTAACACCCACACTCACCACCACCCATCCTGTAACACCCACACACTCACCACCACCCACCTGTAACACCCACACACTCACCACCACCCATCCTGTAACACCCACACTCACCACCACCACCCATCCTGTAACACCCACACACTCACCACCACCACCCATCCTGTAACACCCACACACTCACCACCACCACCCATCCTGTAACACCCACACACTCACCACCACCACCCATCCTGTAACACCCACACACTCACCACCACCCATCCTGTAACACCCACACACTCACCACCACCCATCCTGTAACACCCACACTCACCACCACCACCCATCCTGTAACACCCACACACTCACCACCACCACCCATCCTGTAACACCCACACACTCACCACCACCACCCATCCTGTAACACCCACACACTCACCACCACCACCCATCCTGTAACACCCACACACTCACCACCACCACCCATCCTGTAACACCCACACACTCACCACCACCACCCATCCTGTAACACCCACACACTCACCACCACCACCCATCCTGTAACACCCACACACTCACCACCACCCATCCTGTAACACCCACACACTCACCACCACCCATCCTGTAACACCCACACTCACCACCACCACCCATCCTGTAACACCCACACTCACCACCACCACCCATCCTGTAACACCCACACACTCACCACCACCACCCATCCTGTAACACCCACACTCACCACCACCCATCCTGTAACACCCACACACTCACCACCACCACCCATCCTGTAACACCCACACACTTTTTTTTTATCTTTATTTAAAAAAATACAATATAAGTTACATATACATAAGTGTTACAAGGCAATTATACATTACAATTCTTAGTGAACAAGTGTTTCAGTAGTACAGAACAACATCTTTTAGAAAACCCCTATAAACGAGTTACAAAAATTGAAGAATAAACTTACATTAAAATACAGGGGAAAATATTACATTTATATATATTTTATATAATTCTCAGTAAACCAATTTTCTATATCATCACCGAGCATGAGCCTTAAACCCCAGATGTTATACCTGATCCTGCCTCGCAAGAACTTCAATATTTTGTCTACTGAGTAACCTTCCTGCCTGCCTATCCACACACAAAAAATGTAATCAGAAAGTAACATAATTATTGTATTCCTAATTTTCTTGCATTTTATGTCAATATGAAACATTAAAAACCTCATTAACTCCACTCTAATACTTGGTCCACATAAATCTTTAAGAGTGTCTCTAATCCAGTTTACAAGAACAACTTTCTGCTTACAGAAATAAAATATATGCATATTATTCTCAATTTCAGTACATTGGTCACACCTATTGTCGTCTTTAATGCCCAACATCAACAACCTATCATTAGTAGGGAGGGTCTCATGAATATAGCGATACAACAGCTCACGTTGTTTTGGGGCAATAAATTTAACATGAAGGTTTGCCCATATTACTTGCCAGCTAAAGAGTGGATATGCCTCCTCACCACCACCCATCCTGTAACACCCACACACTCACCACCACCCATCCTGTAACACCCACACACTTACCCAACCCCGCCCACAATAAGACACAACAGTGTGTCTGCATCCTTTATATGCAGCGATGAGAGCCACACCAGGTATATGTGAGTACATGTGAGCCACACCAGGTCCCAAACTACACATGGTCTAGGTGTACCGGCGTGACGCAATCCATCACATGCCCGTCACTCGTTCGCGTCACGCACCCATGAATCTGTCCAGTAACTGGATGGGTGAGCACAGCTCCACCCTTACTTAAGCGGGACACACCTAGTAAACTTCTCACACCCCCACACGGGGGTGAACTTGGTGGTCAACATCCTCGACTCGCACTCTGGGGTCCCGGGTTTGATCTGGGCAAGTGTTCTTTCACCTGCTGACTCTTAGTGCAAGGTAAACAAACAGATGCCAGGGAGTTGGCCAACTGTTGTGGGTTGCAGTCTGGAGAAGCTGTCTGAGAACCTAAATGTTAATAGTTAAAAAAGAATGAAAAAGGTATTATACTGATAGTGTGACAGTCAGCTTTTTCTACATCTCGTAGTGTTGTTACTGCCGACACAATGTATTTTGCTGCTACATGTTGTTGTTGTGTCACATGTTCTACTGCTGCTGCTACATATTGTTGTTGTTGTGTCACATGTTCTGCTGCTGCTGCTACATATTGTTGTTGTTGTGTGACATGTTCAGATGCTGCTGCTACATGTTGTTGTTGTTGTGTGACATGTTCAGCTGCTGCTGCTACATGTTGTTGTTGTTGTGTGACATGTTCAGATGCTGCTGCTGCTGCATCCTCTGCTATGTTACTATTGGTACTACACCTACTATTGGTTCACCTTCTCCTGCTACTGCTATTATGTACTCACCTGCTGCTGTTGCTACATCCTCGGCTGCTGCTGCTGCTACATCCTCGGCTGCTGCTGCTGCATACCCGGCTGCTGTTGCTCTTACATCCTCGGCTGCTGCTGCTGCTACATCCTCTGCTAATGTTACTATTGGTACACCTTCTGCTACTGCTATATATATGTACTCACCTGCTGCTGCTCTTACATCCTTGGTTGCTGCTGCTGCTGCTCTTACATCCTTGGCTGCTGCTGCTGCTCTTACATCCTTGGCTGCTGCTGCTGCTGCTCTTACATCCTTGGCTGCTGCTGCTCTTACATCCTTGGCTGCTGCTGCTGCTCTTACATCCTTGGTTGCTGCTGCTGCTGCTCTTACATCCTTGGCTGCTGCTGCTGCTGCTCTTACATCCTTGGTTGCTGCTGCTGCTGCTCTTACATCCTTGGTTGCTGCTGCTGCTGCTCTTACATCCTTGGTTGCTGCTGCTGCTGCTGCTGCTGCTCTTACATCCTTGGCTGCTGCTGCTGCTCTTACATCCTTGGCTGCTGCTGCTGCTGCTGCTCTTACATCCTTGGCTGCTGCTGCTGCTGCTGCTGCTCTTACATCCTTGGCTGCTGCTGCTGCTGCTGCTGCTCTTACATCCTTGGCTGCTGCTGCTGCTGCTGCTCTTACATCCTTGGCTGCTGCTGCTGCTGCTGCTCTTACATCCTTGGCTGCTGCTGCTGCTCTTACATCCTGGCTGCTGCTGCTCTTACATCCTTGGCTGCTGCTGCTGCTCTTACATCCTTGGCTGCTGCTGCTGCTGCTGCTCTTACATCCTTGGCTGCTGCTGCTGCTCTTACATCCTTGGTTGCTGCTGCTGCTGCTCTTACATCCTTGGTTGCTGCTGCTGCTGCTCTTACATCCTTGGTTGCTGCTGCTGCTGCTCTTACATCCTTGGTTGCTGCTGCTGCTGCTCTTACATCCTTGGTTGCTGCTGCTGCTGCTCTTACATCCTTGGTTGCTGCTGCTGCTGCTCTTACATCCTTGGTTGCTGCTGCTGCTGCTCTTACATCCTTGGTTGCTGCTGCTGCTGCTCTTACATCCTTGGTTGCTGCTGCTGCTGCTCTTACATCCTTGGTTGCTGCTGCTGCTGCTCTTACATCCTTGGTTGCTGCTGCTGCTGCTCTTACATCCTTGGTTGCTGCTGCTGCTGCTCTTACATCCTTGGTTGCTGCTGCTGCTGCTCTTACATCCTTGGTTGCTGCTGCTGCTGCTCTTACATCCTTGGTTGCTGCTGCTGCTCTTACATCCTTGGCTGCTGCTGCTGCTCTTACATCCTTGGCTGCTGCTGCTGCTCTTACATCCTTGGCTGCTGCTGCTGCTCTTACATCCTTGGCTGCTGCTGCTGCTCTTACATCCTTGGCTGCTGCTGCTGCTCTTACATCCTTGGCTGCTGCTTCTGCTCTTACATCCTTGCTGCTGCTGCTCTTACATCCTTGGCTGCTGCTGCTGCTCTTACATCCTTGGCTGCTGCTGCTGCTGCTCTTACATCCTTGGCTGCTGCTGCTCTTACATCCTGCTGCTGCTGCTGCTCTTACATCCTTGCTGCTGCTGCTTACATCCTCGGCTGCTGCTGCTGCTCTTACATCCTTGCTGCTGCTGCTGCTCTTACATCCTTGCTGCTGCTGCTGCTGCTCTTACATCCTTGGCTGCTGCTGCTCTTACATCCTTGGCTGCTGCTGCTGCTGCTCTTACATCCTTGGCTGCTGCTGCTTACATCCTCGGCTGCTGCTGCTGCTCTTACATCCTTGGCTGCTGCTGCTGCTCTTACATCCTTGGCTGCTGCTGCTGCTGCTCTTACATCCTTGGCTGCTGCTGCTGCTGCTGCTCTTACATCCTTGGCTGCTGCTGCTTACATCCTCGGCTGCTGCTGCTGCTCTTACATCCTTGGCTGCTGCTGCTGCTCTTACATCCTTGGCTGCTGCTGCTGCTGCTCTTACATCCTTGGCTGCTGCTGCTGCTGCTGCTGCTGCTCTTACATCCTTGGCTGCTGCTGCTGCTGCTGCTGCTGCTCTTACATCCTTGGCTGCTGCTGCTGCTGCTGCTGCTGCTCTTACATCCTTGGCTGCTGCTGCTGCTCTTACATCCTTGGCTGCTGCTGCTGTTTACATCCTTGGCTGCTGCTGCTCTTACATCCTTGGCTGCTGCTGTTGTTTACATCCTTGGCTGCTGCTGCTACTCCTACATTGCATCCTCTGGTGCTGCTGATACATCCTCTGCTGCTGTTGCTGCTTCTACATCCTCTGCTATTGTTATGATATCTTACTGTTCTTTTATCACACCAAAGCTAATTATAATTTTTGTATGGATATTATATAAAAAATAAGGTTATATGACCAGATTTGGTATGGCTGCGCATGAAAGGTTTGGGAGGAGAGGAAGGCTGCACATTATAGAGTCTAGAGCTGAACTGTTGAGATTGATGAGAATGTAAACAATATACACCTGTACATTTGCAGAAATGATTCAAGACACATTTACTTTTTGTAACAAAGTCATGAAACTGGTGGATGACTTCAGGTCTTGTTATCAGGATGGAAGCTTTCCATCACACAACTTGGGTTAAACCTTAGCCTAAACCTTTTCCCTGGAACACTACCGCCAAATTTGTTTACAACCAGATCCGTAATTGTTACTTGGTAAACAGTTATGGATCATATAGACTACATGTATCTTTGACAAATTGGATCCCACATTTAACAGATAAAGCTATAAAAGGTAATAATTAAATGACACACATTTCAGAACTTAATTTCATTTAAAGTATGTACAATCCTTCAAAATTCAACATTCAATACCAGAAAGTCTTATGAGGAATTCTATCTTCTTTGATGCCCATTTTCTCTGCTATGTCCATAGCAAATGTCTTCAGTTTAGGCTCAAAGGTAATGCTGCAAATAAACACAACCATTACAAGTTGGCTTAAAGTAATCTATAATATCAGCAGTTCCTTATTATTACAATATTGACACACTTAACAGTTTAATACATTAACAAAAAATCACCATGTATGTGCAAGACAAGTGTCAGATCTCCCCATGTAGTTGCATCTGCCTAGGAACACATTACAGGTTGAAAAATACAAAGAAATTTTACCATATTTCCAAGGCCACATCTTATACTTTATAACAGTGGGTTCCAATGAGAGTCCTTGGAAGAAATTCATAGGGGTCATAGCATGGTCGAGAAACCTAACCGAACTTTTTCCGCTACCTAACCTAATACCTATAAAGATATAGGTTAGGTAGGGTTGGTTATATATAATATATATATATATATATATATATATATATATATATATATATATATATATATATATATATATATATATATATTATATATATATTAAATCTTGAAGGTTTGTTTATTACAACATATATTTTTATTCTTTACTTAGTTTTTTCCACATTTTAGTGTTTAGAAAATATATTGTATAGTATAGTTCCAAAAAGCAATGTCTTTCACTGGTGTATGGCATGTTGAAACATGAAATACAAACCATTATGAAATCTAGGGCAAAAACATTCATGTTGAGACTTGCTTAAAATATTTAATTTATAATATTTCTAAGTTAAATTTAAACTTAAAATTAATACCTCCAAAACCCCTGTGCCCGAATGTCAACCAAAGACATGTTCCCAAAGACAGCAGCAAGAGCCGCAAACTTCCGAACATTATGGGCATGAGGGTAGACCGCAGGCTTGCTGGACTTGACAACCTTACAGACGACCTGAGAGCCCCGAGCCCCAGAACAGGGAATGAGGGAAATTGATTAACCCAAAGCATGTCCTTGGAAACAGAACCCGAGGCGCGCAGGTAATGGTGGAGAGCTGCAACTGGACAAAACATGATGCACCCCCCAGCCAGATCAACCAAGCATCAATAACTTACGGACCCCTCTGGAAGCCCGCCATCTCAATCTTTGCCAGAAAAGAAGGAGACAGCTGCAAACGAACAGAACATCCACCTGGACTAGAAGAGCAGAAACCCCTGCATCGGAGGAGAGCACGAAGCTCACCGACCCGACCCCCCAGAGGCCAAAGCCAACAGAAACAAAGCCTTCTGAAAACACCCTTGGATCAAAGGGGCCACAACAAACCAAGGAGAAGAGAGGAAAGAAAGCACCCGGTATAAAGACCAGGATGGCTCAGGCGGCGTATGAGCAGGCAGGAGGTGGAAAATGCACAAGAAAGTTTTCGGAACGGAGCCTAAGTGACATCCACCCCGAACGCAAGCCAGGGTGGCTCCGCCAGCGCTGCATGATAAGAGGTGACAATGTTCAGCATAAGATGTCGGTCCTGAAACAACCAAGAAAGGAAACACAAGACAATGCAGACAGAAACAGAAGGCAACCTACAAAGAGCAAGGAAGTGGTGAAAGGAACACCATGAGATTGCAGGTGGGACACCACAAGAGAAGCCACCTGATCACCATACAAGTGGCAATATACACGCTTCAAAAATATCAGACACGAAGAGCGAAAGAGTAAATCAACCCAGCAAGGTACCTCACCGGCCCGATCTGCTGGAAGAGGCGGAGCCGTGGAAAACGCCCTGGGTTCGGACACCGAGCAAGCCACGGATGAACCCAAGACGCCCAGCCACCATGGGGCCAGAAGGAGAACCCTCCTCCAATAGAACACGAAGCAACAGCTCGACTGGGGAAGAGGTACAGGTACCCCCCCCCCCCCCCATCAACCAGTCCTGCTGAATGGTGTCGGCAGGACGCGACGGTTTTGCAGTCGGGGAAGGGCGCCACATACACTGGGAAGACCATACCATGCCGATGCGAAGAGATCCACCTCCACGGGCCCGAACATCCGGCAAAGCCAATTGAAGGAGTCGGCCATTCATTCCATGGACAGAGGAATTAACCGAGACAGGCCATCTGCCAGGACCTTGGACACGCCCTTGATGTGAACCGCACGGAGAGCTAAACAGAGAGAGCAAGAATGCAGCAGAAAAGCCACTCTCAGCGACCAGCCCTAAAGAGCCCCCCTGCGGATCAGGCAATGAACCACCGAGGCGCAGTTCAAATGGAGCAGGATCGTAGAGCCTTGAGCTAGCCGAACCCACCACAGTGAGAGCCACACTGTCGCAAACTCCTGCACTGTGCTGTGAGCCTGACGGAATGACAGAGCCCACCGCCCCTGGCCAACCTGGTGAGCAACTGTCACAAAGCCCCAGCTGAGACACGAGGCGTCCATGAACACATCGAGCGAGGGTTCCGGAAGGTGCCGAGGCAATGATCCTTAAAAAAAAAAAAAAAAAAAAAAAAAAAAAAAAGAAGGAAGCCGGAGACGCAGCAACCAATGCAAGGCTCCCGGACGACGAACCCAGAGATCGTGGGAGCAAGAGTGGTACCCAGAAGCAGCAGGTAAACCAGCACAGCGATGTTCAAACTTGCACACAGCTGCTTGAGCAACTGCAGAGTGACCCAGGACCCCCTCAAGAACAGTCAAAGGCAGGACTGCAGCCGGAGCAATGCCACAGGAGGGACACACAGACGCTGTCTAAGAATCCCAAACAAGTCCCAGCCAAGTCCAAACCTCAGATGGAACCAAATGAGACTTCCTCCAGGTCACCAGGAACCCGAACCCAGGGAGCTGGGAAAGAATCAAACCCCTAGCGAGCAGACACACAGACTGACTGGGAGCCCAAACCAACCAGCCATCTAAGGAGGCTGCCAGCCTGGAAGGCACCGACACCTCGAAACACCCCCAACAAGGTAAGAGGATCCCAACAAACAAAACTGGAACCGACTCAAGAGGCAAAATCGGGTCACACCGAAGGCATGCGCCAAGGGCCTCCCAAAACTCTCAAAGGAATCTGAAAGGAAGAAAACCGCCGAAAGGATGAATCCGAGGAATTTCAGACCCATGAGTCTGACAAAAAGCCGCATGGCTAAAACGGCCGTAAAACGGAGGGCTGAAGGCTGGGTAGCCGGAAGAGCATACAGGACACGGTAACCATCCCAATACCTGTGCTCAGAAGAAAACTACCCCCAAACCACAGTCAGAAAACACAAGACCTGCACCCAAAAGTCCCCAGTGGAACAGACAAGGAAAGACTCCACGAAAAAAGATCAAAACAGAAAAATCCAAGCAGCAGCCGGAGCGTAACCAAGGACGGACTCAAGAAAAATACGCACAGCATAAGTGGTATCCTGAAGAAGGGACTGGAAAGCAAACAACACATACCAAGGGGAAGAAAAGAACCCCCCAAACCCCAATCTTCCAAAGGAAGAGAAAGGGTTACGTGTCATTGTAGACAATACAGGGTAGGAAAATGTACAAGCAGAACCCTACGAAGGAACACCGGGGACACCCAACAGAAATAACTCGTCTAGGGGCAGAGGGGAAAGGAAGGGAATGCAGGGGGCATGAGTGATGAGTCGGTTTGATGACGTTTTGCATGTTGCATTGTTTTATGGGGGGGGGGGAGTTCTTGGGCTTTGTTCGGTCTTGGGTTGCAATTTTCTATCAGTCAGGGTTGTTTAGGGACGCCTACCTTTCTGGGTGCCTAACCCTGGTCTTAGTCGGACATGAATATACTCTCAAAGAATAGTTTTCATAGGCCATTACTCCCTACGCCTCTCTGAGGGAGTCAGGTTCTGGCTCCCAGTTCCCGGTAGGCAGAACTCCATGTGACTGAAGCCCCAGACTAATATAGCATATATCAGTCCGATAGCTCCAGGGAGCCAATGGAGCTCCCAACAGAAAACATCAGAAAGTTTACTTTTGCAGAGTGGTAGACAGTTGGAACAAGTGAGAAGGTGGTGGAGGCCAAAACTATTAGTACTGTAGTTTCAAAGCATCATATGACAGAGTACTGGGAAGAAGGGACACCATGTGTACAGCACTCATCCTGTAACTACACTTAGATAATTAAACATCTGAGTAACTACACACTTGGCCTTATGTGCAGGCGGCAAAATTGGCTTCCAACAACTTGGTGAACTTGCCAGACCAGCACTATGGGTAAGGATAATTTTATCTTTTTTTCCCTTTTTCTCCATATTTAACTTTCTACCACTTCTAATGATTTAAAAAATATTAAAATTTTTGTATTGTGCATATGGGAGAAAATGTACACAACATAACTGCAGGTGAAGGGTCAATACCTTCTTCCAATTATTACAAATATTGTACCAGTAATTCTACAAAAATTCTTAATTCAACTCATCTCAACTTTTAACAAAATAATTAGTACTGTACCTTGTTAAATTTTCAGCTGTTGTATCTTTCTCTTGTTCTGCATAGGTTGATTTTGTTTTGTAGTCTACAGTTTCTTCAGCCAACTTGGGTATTGGAATAACTCTTCCTGTACGTACAGAGACTCGGACTTTCTCTCCTTCCTCCGTGTAACGCCATTCACCCTAAAATAAATCAATTTTTCACACACACAAAAAAAGTGAATTATGCACATTTTACCATTTTCCCTTAAAAACCAGCGTTGAATGTAATGAAACGCCATTTTCTGGGCGAGCCCCGGAGAGTTATCGGGCTAATATGAGATATATTAGATTAGGACATTAGTCAATGGAATTCTACCTACAGGGAGACTTTCAAACTGCCCTTTCGAGGCAGCCCCCAAAGCCGCCCGAGTCTCATTACCAACTAAACCAGGTAAGCTGGGTGCACAACACCTTGACGCTCCAACCAGCAACAATACCACTCCCTACCCAAGGCCAAACAAGGGCCACAAAATCCCAGCTGGCCACAAGGCCGGGGTAAATGCAGATCAGCAAAAACCCCTACAGAAATGGCGTCCCAAAGATGCCAGGGAAGAGAACCCTAGCACCCAGGGGTAGAACTCACAGGGCACTTAGGGAAGGCTGCCCTAAGTGCATGCAGCCCTGGTACACTTATTACACCTATCTTGAGGTTATCTTGAGATGATTTCAAGGCTTTAGTGTCCCTGCGGCCCGGTCCTCAACCAGGCCTCCACCCGAGGAAGCAGCCTGTGACAGCTGACTAACACCCAGGTACCTATTTTACTGCTAGGTAACAGGGGCATAGGTCATGGGGGGCAGAAATAGCCTAAGCTACTCTATCCCTTTGAGATGTATTTCTTGCTTATCTCAATAAACATACTTGAACTTGGGGCATAGGGTAAAAAACTCTGCTCATTGTTTCTCGCCGGCGCCCGGGATCGAACCCGGGACCACAGGATCACAAGTCCAACCAGACTCCACCTGACCACCACAACACTATGTTGCCGAGGCAACCCCCTCTAAGGGCAACATTCCCTAAGGCAAAACACTGCCAAGAAATCGAAGCCACAGTTGACGACTGCCCTAGATCGCATTAGTCAACGAACTGGAGTTGCCGAGTAGCAGGCGTGGGAGGTCTGGGGCTCCCCCTCCCCCTCCTGGGGAGGAGAGAGCTGTGCGGACAAGCGGCAGTGAGGTGTGACATTTGCTTGTTTCCTTGGGATTTGGGGGGAGTTCTACATCTGTTCGGTTTTCGGTTGCAATTTTCTTACCATGTAGGGTTTGTTTTGTTATGCCTACCTTTCTGGGTGCCTAACCCCAGTCGATGGCAGATTAGGAAAACCCCCAACCACAGGGGGTTTCCAAGGGGGTATTGCTCCCCCATCCACTAATGCCCTCTTCTAAAATACATTGCATATTAGCTCGATAGCTCCAGGGAGCCAAAGGGGCTCCCCACAGAAAATAGAGATATCTTACTAAAGACTAAAAAAACTAAATATGTAAAGTAAATTACAAGCAGTTGAGTTATCATTTTAGTACCTGGTATGCACAATGAACACCAAAATATATGGGGCACTTCAAATTGCAAATGCACAGTATTGCTTCAGTACGTTCCCTTCAATAAACAAAAACGATGCAGGCATTTCATACTACAGTATATACAAATATATATAAAAAATTTACAATTTCCTGAAATTTACACAAACATATGGACCAAAATGCGAATGATGGTCTATTCTAAATTATTTTAAAGGCAAAAGGAGTTGAAAAGCAACATACCTCAGTTGGCTTACCATCTGAAGGGTCAAGAAGAGCAACCTGCGTTGTCACCAGCAGCGGTGCCTCGCTCTTTATCATCATGCCTGGATAATTTCTGCAACGTTACAATTGGTTACAAAATTTCCTCTCCAGAACACATGGGTCAAACATGTGCAGGATGTCACGAGATCCCAGGGGCACCATGATAAACTGAACAAGATATCTACATATTGGCTCACAGAAGTGCACGCTAATATAAAAAAAATAATACAGGAGTATTTTTTTTTGTTCAGGGATATTCTTGTGTGGGCCCTAAACCTTTGGCTGGCCCACTGAGTGTTAAAAAGAGTAACCATCTATGGTAATATCCATTAAGTACATGCAAAGAAGAATTATAGAACTGATGTAAAAAAAAAAAAAAAAAAAAAAAAAATCAGTGAATAGCATGAGACACTTACCCTTTCTTGCCCACATTGCGGTAGTGGCAATTAAGTCCTTCTACCATAACCCAGTTCCTCTCCTGGACAACGTAGTTCACTAAACCTTGCTTGCCCTTGTCTGGACCCTCGAGGATTTCTACCCGGTCACCTCTGAAGATTACATATAAAGTTAAGTAATGTACACTGCTTTCATACAGCAATCAATCAATGGAGGAAGGGAAAGAGGGGACAGTTAAGTATTTAATTTGTTGCTCTATCAGTCAGTTAATTGCTTTTGGAGTAGCATGGTGGATGATGTCTAAGTTTGCAAATCAGGTACATACTGAATGACTTGGGTAGAATGGGCCCAACCACTTTGACAACAGTGATGGTCTTGCTTCATGCAGGTTGGCGTTCAATCCCCGATCATCCAAGTACTTTGGCACCATTCCTCTCCTCCATCTTAACTTAAATCCTTTTCCTCGTATCCCTTCTAAGTGCTATATAGTTGTAATGGTTTACTACTTTCTCCTGATAATTACCTTACAGTACAGTATATCAATCCCTAATATCTTATCTATTTACACCTTTAAGTCTATACTGTACTATACAATGTAGAGCAGAGAAAGGTTTTTCATCCATCGTTTAATAAACCCATGGATTCATCTACTCACCAAAGCCTTAAATGCCAAAACAGTTCAAAATTTAAAAGAAAAAAAATTCAGGAATAATGGGATGTACCTTAGACAAGCTCCAACCTTCCTGTCTGTCATTGCCACTAGATATGGTAGCCATAAGGTAAATAATATCTGTATTTTTAAATGTAGATCAATCTACCTCCAGCAGGTTTCCGAGATAAGGCAAGGTAATCAACAGAAAAAAGGAATAAGCTAGCATGACTATACAACTCTTGAAAGGTCCCATATTTTGTATTTTCAAACCCTGGGCTGAGAGAAGTACAACTCTGTAAATATTATTTGAATAATGGATTTGTATCAAATCAAAGACTTGCTATATAATGCAATGATTATAATTTGTTTTGTCAGGGACAGACAGCCTGTGTGTGTGTATACGTATACTGAACACATTAGGCTTATGTCGAGGTGGTCCCCCCCCCAGGTCGAATTACTGACTGTTCCCAGAAGTAACCCCAAAACAGTAGACTAACTCATGGGAACCTATTTACTGCTAGGTGAACAGAAGCTTTTTGTGAAAGGAAACATGCCAAACCATTTCTGTCCTGCCCAAGAGTCAAACCTGGGATTTATGAGTGTCAGTAGAAAATGAGCTCGACTAATTATATGTAAAGACACTAATCCCATTCAGAGACAGTATTCCATAACTCACTAGTACACTAACTCTGTCCATGGACCACAAATTAATATTTACTATACTAACCAGCATACAGCATATAAATTAACTGCCACATCTTTAACTAAAAAAAATTTGAAAGGAGATAGGATTTGATGATGTGATGGAGGAAATTATGTCCAACCACTTGGACCATCAGGGATCAAAAAGTCAATCCTGCTATAAGTGAGATAGTCACACTAAGAAAATTGAAATCCTAACCTTCAAAATATTAAAGACTTTTTATACATTCAAATGAAAAGAATTATTCAAATTACAAGGACATCTGGCCACTAAAAATAATTACATGAAACTAAAGAAAAGTAGATACAATACAAATGGCATTGTTTATGAAGTTGCAGAATATTTGAATATTGCTTTCTATTGCTATAAGTATTGTCATAGCACAGACCTTACAGAAAATGCTGAACAGGAAACTGCAACATACAGTTACACAACTACAAGGTATTGTGGCAGTATAATTTGTTCCATGTATAATAGAAGAAATACCAACAGCGGGAGGAGCAGTGGCAGTGATGGTAGTTGTACAATTATCCCTAAAAGTGGCAAGGGGTTGTGGCAGGGAGGGAAGGAGTCTTTAAGAGGAGTATTAGGATTAGGATACGATAGTTAGGATAAGACGGAGGCAGCCGTGGCAGCAGCAGCAGCAGAAACATCTTAAAGTTATCTTTAAAGCATTTGTTGTTGCTCCAATGATATTTCTTATATTTGTTGTCTTTAATGTCTTGCATTAGAATTTGCACTTACTTGAAGAATGTCCATTCTAATACAGGTTCCAGAAACACCTTTTTACGACGTGTTCCAGGCCGGTTTTGTTGCCAGAACTCTTTTGTCCAAGGTCGATTTGTGGTATAACGAAACTTTTTCCTCTTGATCTCTGTCTGTCTGTATTGTATAGCTTCTGGAGTTTTCCATTCAACCTGTAAGTAGACACTTATTAGATCTTCAAAATATGAATATGTATGGCATATAATTTTGAATATAAAAATACAGACAACATTTTTTAGTTATAGCAGTGCTCAGTATTGTATGGTATAAGAAATTACTGTACAGTATTCTATAAAAGCACACTTCACTGAATTAATGGTGTACCTGAGAAGCAAAGTGTATACATAGCATGCAATGTTTTCATATACTGTTCACTACTACAGTACCGTACATTAAACACCACGAAATGAAGCAGCACTTAATAGTTTAATATTTGGATTAACTCATCAGTTATCATCAGTTGGTCATCTCATAAGTTATATTCAATAACAACAGTACAGTACCTGACTAAATTACAACTCCATACCATCTTAAAACTAAATGAAATTTAAAGAATTGCTATCATAGTTTTTACCAGACTGCCCACTTAGTGACAATAGTATTTGAATTCTTTGTAAATAATTTAACTGTTTTTGTGCATAAAGCAACAATCCATTCTAAATTCAGTACAGTACATTCTGAAAGAAAAATATTGGAAGCAAGAGGAGGAATTGTTGGTTAAACAAAAATTTTTACATCTTGGAGAAAAGCTGATTATTCCTTTTTACCAGAAGCAGCATTGTTAAGCGGCAATAAGGCCAGTGTTTAATATAAACCACTCGGTGAAAATAGATCGAAATCATCGCAAGTTATTATTAGGTCATTCATTTGGGCTTTTATGTCCATCTGTATGACAGCCTTCATTAACAATTAGCACAATGCAGTTCCCCTTTTATTACTGTATAATGCTGTAGACTCATTTCATGAACAGAGGGTAGCCAGAGGAGATTCTTCATTTCACACAAGCTAAGATAGCCAAAAAAAACAAAAAAAAACAGACACGCCCTCCTAAATGGAACACGGCATGAAACAAACGAGAGGATAGTCCTTTCTCTCTTCTATTTTCCAGCCGGAACGTTTTGCCAAGAACTCCTGACCTTATGGGATTGGCTTACAACCACCTATGGGGAACACCCAGCGTGGAAAATCTTCCCAAAATTACCTCAGATGGTTGCATGGATCAAAAGACAGATTGCTGAGGGATAAAGCCAAGTTTCCTTAACACTGTGACTTGTCGAGGGAGTGTTGCAAACAATAAAACCTTCCAAACTTGTGACAGGGTTAAGGAGGACTATGACTAAAAGTACCACTGGCTTGTCAGCTGTAAACAGGTGTGCAGTGCAGGGGTTAAAATAAAGCAAAGTTAAAATAAGGGGAGTTAAGCGAATTGGAAACCGTTTTAAATGGAGTGCCGCAGGGCTGTCATGAGGACCTTTGTTCATTACCACATACTGTATACAGTATATATGATTTAGATCAGATTTAGATTTAGATCATCATATAGGATTTACAAGAAATTTGCAGAATTAAAATAGAAGAAAATAAATTCAGAAGCCAAAACTGCTTAATGACAATCTAGAGAAACTTTAAAAATAGACAAATGATTACCAGATGCTGTTTAGTGACAAATAATGTAGGATTCTAAGCATAGGTAATAATAACAATAGTTAGCAGATATTAGCTTGACTGTTGAGATTGCAAAATCTGAATGTGAAAAAGCTCTGGAGTCATAATTACTGGGGGAATTTCAGTTTAAGGAATAAAGTAAATAGGATACTGGAACATATTTCTAAAAGTACTGTACTAGCAATTAGACAAACAATCTTAAGTATTATCTTACCCTTGTTAAGCCTCGGATTATGTAGCTCGGTTTTAGTCCCTGTACTATAGAACAGACAAATTCACTTGAATGCAAACTGACAAGGATGACATAATACCAGGAATTAGAAACTTTCTAAATCAAGAGTGAAAAAGATAAATTGATGTTCTCTAGAAAGATGAAGAGTACAATAGATGACATGATTAAATTGTAAATGAATAAAAGGATATAACAAAGAGGATATAAATAAGATTTTAAATGTATTAACACAAGATAGAACTCGAACCGAAAGATGTATATTAGACAAGTTCAGCTTCAGGAAATTAAGGCTTTAAATTTACGGAACAAATTACTGGGTACGTGATCTATGTGGGATCATTGGATCTTTTTTTTTAAATGAAGGTTAGACATATATATATGAACGAGCTTGGGTGAATATAGAGAGAAGCCGCCTCGTATTGGCAAAAGCTTCCACTTGTTGCTCTTATTATTATGTTCTCATGTTCCTTGTACACATTCTATTGGACTAATGTCCCCCATGGAATACATCTAAGCAATGATTAAAACAATACAGTGACCTCACCTCACACCTATTGTCAGATGGAAATTAGTTCAATTTAAACGTTACCCTTGTCAGGGAAAATATACCAAGCCTTATGGATACATTGTATATCGACTTATGGAAACAATTGCAAAGTCCAGTTTGGAATAATTCTTCAATGCCAGAAGGAACACAACCCCCTGAGAATGGGTTTCAAGGACAGTCAATACCTCATCCCCCACCACAATAAATATGATAAAGTAAAAATCTATCAAGTTCCTCGTGAACAAGACGTATCAACCCAAGAGGTTAAAAATAAAAAATGATTTATGGCAATATCGAATTAACGAGCAAAGATGTCAACACTCGGTCAAGCCAGCAGCAAAGTTGAGCTAGTGCCTGCTTCCTCACCTGCTCCATAGCTCTCTTTATGTACGATTCTGGAAGATTTGACACTTGTTTTGTCATATCCGCCACATTGCTCAGTAACCTCGTTAACCGCGGCATGATTCTTGCTCCAAAGTTGATGGTCAAGGATAAAGTGACCAGTACCGAAGCCGCCCTCAACCTCCTGGACAACTTTCATCTAAAATTGTACTAACAAACTAATTGCTTTTAATGTTACATTTGATTGTACTATTTGTTAATTTACTTATAATATTATTCAATATTATAGAAAATGTACGTATTATTCAATATTTAACATTGTTTTTGTGAGTATTTAGGTGTGAGTTAAGAGATGTGGGAGTAGTGTCGGTGGGTTGTGGGGGATTGTAGCTCGACGCTTGTAAACACGGCACCAGCTGGCCCAGGTCAACACGGCTCTCAGACCCGCCAGGTCACCAGGTCAGGTAAATCTCCTTTCTCAGATTTGTGGTTTAAAGTTCCTCAGAGTGTAGGTATCTGAGGTGCTCAGCTAGGTCAGGTCGGTGACCAGGCCACACTGGAAGGCCCAGAGCATAGCTTCTCCGATCCCGGTGCTGGATTTTCCCATGCACCACTGACACTTTTACTCTTGCACTTTTTGGCATCATAATTGAATCCCTCCTGCTTGAATACTTGTATTATTGTCTCATTTTGATACCTACATGATTCTGATTCTAAACTTAATGTTAAAGCACTTCAATTTAAGGTAGAGTAACCATAAGAGTTTTTATTTTTTGATGCAGTATGTGACTGGAATGAGGGAATCTCAAATTCAAATTCAAATGTTTATTCAGGTAAAGTACATACATACAAGAGGTTATACAAAAATTGATAGATTTATAGATAGAGCTAGTACATACAATGCCTAAAGCCACTATTATGCAAAGCGTTTCTGGCAGGAAAAACATTAAAGACTAAAACTTAATACTAATTGAGATTAAAGTATAAAATGTGTTGAGAACAAATAAAAATATAAAAGAGGGGAACATGGCAGAAAAAAATCAGCACAAATACAATTAGGTCGACAAACAGCGTTGTTTAAAAAATAACAGACATGGGTTGACAATATAGGGGTAAGGTAGGTTACAGGGAATTTATTAGATAGTGCTTAGTTTTTATCTTAAACTGGTTGAGAGAGGTACAGTCTTTTACATGATTGGGAAGGTCATTCCACATTCTGGGTCCCTTGATTTGTAGAGCATTTCTAGTTTGATTAAGTCGTACTCTTAGAATATCAAAACGGTATTTGTTTCTGGTGTGGTGCTCATGGGTTCTGTTACAACCTTCAATGAAGCTTTTGAGGTCAGGATTGGCATTACAGTTCAGCATTTTATATATATATATATATATATATATATATATATATATATATATATATATATATATATATATATATATATATATATAAATATAAATACACATGAGAGGATGTGCAGTGACTTAATATCTAACATATTCAGAGATTTGAGTAGGGGTACCGAGTGATGTCTGGGGCCAGAGTTGGATATTGTTTTAATAGCAGCTTTATGTTGAGTAATTAGAGGACGTAAATGATTTTGGGTAGTAGAACCCCAAGCACAAATACCATAGTTAAGATATGGATAGGTGAGGGAATAATAGAGCGTCACCAGGGCAGGGCGAGGTACATAATATCTGATCTTAGAAAGAATGCCAACAGTTTTTGAAACTTTTTTTTTTATATATTTAGAATGTGTCCCTGCAAATTCAGCTTGTGGTCAATGAGAACGCCAAGGAATTTGCCATCTATTTTGTTTTATATATATATATATATATATATATATATATATATATATATATATATATATATATATATATATATATATATATATATATATATATATATATACTATAATTTTTTTCTTATATATATATGTATGAGGTCAATTTTTTTTATAGAGTTAAAATATAGATATATAATATAAAATATAATATAAAATAGCCAAAAAAAAATATTATATATAAAATACTGTATATATATATATATATATATATATATATATATATATATATATATATATATATATATATATATATATATATATATATATATATATATATGTTCTGTCTTGTGTTGATGAAATTAATACCCTATTAATGCCACATCTTGTTCTGTCTTGTGTTAATGCCACATCACCCCTTCCACCTCACTATATATATATATATATATATATATATATATATATATATATATATATATATATATATATATATATATATATATATATATATATATATATATATATATATATATATATAATAATAATACAACAACAAAATAGATGGCAAATTCCTTGGCGTTCTCACTGACCACAAGCTGAATATATATATATATATATATATATATATATATTTTGGTAGCAGTCTTTCCTGTAGACATATTTTATTAAATATGACCGAAAAAGTAAGATTAATAATTCTAACACGAATTTTCTCAATCTTTCGTACATTATGCTTCACTGTTGGAGGTAAATCAAAAATCACTTCTCCAAAATTCATTTTTATTTCTAGTCTGACGCGACACGGGCGCGTTTCGTAAAACTTATTACATTTTCAAAGACTTCACAAATACACAACTGATTAGAACTTGCGTTTCCCTGATTTTATATCTACATTTGAGTGAGGTGGGAAGGGTGATGTGGCATTACATTTGAGTAAGGTGGGAAGGATGATGTGGCATTAGAGGATATTAATAGGGTATTAAAAGTATCAACACAAGACAGAACACGAAACAATGGATATTGAATAGAAGTGTTTGTAGAAAGCCTATTGGTCCATATTTCTTGATGCTTCTATATTGGAGCGGAGTCTTGAGGTGGGTAGAATATAGTTGTGCAATAATTGGCTGTTGATTGCTGGTGTTGACTTCTTGATGTGTAGTGCCTCGCAAACGTCGAGCCGCCTGCTATCGCTGTATCTATCGATGATTTCTGTGTTGTTTACTAGGATTTCTCTGGCGATGGTTTGGTTATGGGAAGAGATTATATGTTCCTTAATGGAGCCCTGTTGTTTATGCATCGTTAAACGCCTAGAAAGAGATGTTGTTGTCTTGCCTATATACTGGGTTTTTTGGAGCTTACAGTCCCCAAGTGGGCATTTGAAGGCATAGACGACGTTAGTCTCTTTTAAAGCGTTCTGTTTCGTGTCTGGAGAGTTTCTCATGAGTAGGCTGGCCGTTTTTCTGGTTTTATAGTAAATCGTCAGTTGTATCCTCTGATTTTTGTCTGTAGGGATAACGTTTCTATTAACAATATCTTTCAGGACCTTTTCCTCTGTTTTATGAGCTGTGGAAAAGAAGTTCCTGTAAAATAGTCTAATAGGGGGTATAGGTGTTGTGTTAGTTGTCTTTTCGGAGGTTGCATGGCTTTTCACTTTCCTTCTTATGATGTCTTCGATGAAACCATTGGAGAAGCCGTTATTGACTAGAACCTGCCTTACCCTACAGAGTTCTTCGTCGACTTGCTTCCATTCTGAGCTGTGGCGGAGAGCACGGTCGACGTATGCGTTAACAACACTCCTCTTGTACCTGTCAGGGCAGTCGCTGTTGGCATTTAGGCACATTCCTATGTAACTTTTCTAGATGTAACAGTCATGGAAAAGGGCGGAGGTTTCCACACTGCAGTCTACACAAAGGAAACAAACATAGGAATGTGCCTAAATGCCAACAGCGACTGCCCTGACAGGTACAAGAGGAGTGTTGTTAACGCATACGTCGACCGTGCTCTCCGCCACAGCTCAGAATGGAAGCAAGTCGACGAAGAACTCTGTAGGGTAAGGCAGGTTCTAGTCAATAACGGCTTCTCCAATGGTTTCATCGAAGACATCATAAGAAGGAAAGTGAAAAGCCATGCAACCTCCGAAAAGACAACTAACACAACACCTATACCCCCTATTAGACTATTTTACAGGAACTTCTTTTCCACAGCTCATAAAACAGAGGAAAGGGTCCTGAAAGATATTGTTAATAGAAACGTTATCCCTACAGACAAAAATCAGAGGATACAACTGACGATTTACTATAAAACCAGAGAAACGGCCAGCCTACTCATGAGAAACTCTCCAGACACGAAACAGAACGCTTTAAAAGAGACTAACGTCGTCTATGCCTTCAAATGCCCACTTGGGGACTGTAAGCTCCAAAAAACCCAGTATATAGGCAAGACAACAACATCTCTTTCTAGGCGTTTAACGATGCATAAACAACAGGGCTCCATTAAGGAACATATAATCTCTTCCCATAACCAAACCATCGCCAGAGAAATCCTAGTAAACAACACAGAAATCATCGATAGATACAGCGATAGCAGGCGGCTCGACGTTTGCGAGGCACTACACATCAAGAAGTCAACACCAGCAATCAACAGCCAATTATTGCACAACTATATTCTACCCACCTCAAGACTCCGCTCCAATATAGAAGCATCAAGAAATATGGACCAATAGGCTTTCTACAAACACTTCTATTCAATATCCATTGTTTCGTGTTCTGTCTTGTGTTGATACTTTTAATACCCTATTAATATCCTCTAATGCCACATCATCCTTCCCACCTTACTCAAATGTAATGCCACATCACCCTTCCCACCTCACTCAAATGTAGATATAAAATCAGGGAAACGCAAGTTCTAATCAGTTGTGTATTTGTGAAGTCTTTGAAAATGTAATAAGTTTTACGAAACGCGCCCGTGTCGCGTCAGACTAGAAATAAAAATGAATTTTGGAGAAGTGATTTTTGATTTACCTCCAACAGTGAAGCATAATGTACGAAAGATTGAGAAAATTCGTGTTAGAATTATTAATCTTACTTTTTCGGTCATATTTAATAAAAAATATATATATATATATATATATATATATATATATATATATATATATATATATATATATATATATATATATATATATATATATATGGCAAATTCCTTGGCGTTCTCATTGACCACAAGCTGACCTATATATATATATATATGGTTATATATATATATATATATATAGTATATATATATATATATATATATATATATGTCGTACCTAATAGCCAGAACGCACTTCTCAGCCTACTATGCAAGGCCCGATTTGCCTAATAAGCTAAGTTTTCCTGAATTAATATATTTTTTCTAATTTTTTTCTTATGAAATGATAAAGCTACCCATTTCATTATGTATGAGGTTAATTTTTTTTATTGGAGTTAAAATTAACGTAGATATATGACCGAACCTAACCATCCCTACCTAACCTAACCTAACCTATCTCTATCGGTTAGGTTAGGTTAGGTAGCAGAAAAAGTTAGGTTAGGTTAGGTAGGTTAGGTCGTCGAAAAACAATTAATTCATGAAAACTTAGCTTATTAGGCAAATCAGGCCTCGCATAGTAGGCTGAGAAGTGAGTTCTGGCTACTAGGTACGACATATATATATATATATATATATATATATGTCGTACCTAGTAGCCAGAACTCACTTCTGAGCCTACTATGCAAGGCCCGATTTGCCTAATAAGCCAAGTTTTCATGAATTAATTGCTTTTCGACTACCTAACCTACCTAACCTAACCTAACCTAACTTTTTCGGCTACCTAACCTAACCTAACCTATAAAGATAGGTTAGGTTAGGTTAGGTAGGGATGGTTAGGTTCGGTCATATATCTACGTTAATTTTAACTCCAATAAAAAAAAATGACCTCATACATAATGAAATGGGTAGCTTTATCATTTCATAAGAAAAAAATTAGAGAAAATATATTAATTCAGTAAAACTTGGCTTATTAGGCAAATCGGGCCTTGCATAGTAGGCTGAGAAGTGAGTTCTGGCTACTAGGTATGACATATATATATATATATATATATATATATATATATATATATATATATATATATATATATATATATATATATATATGTCGTACCTAATAGCCAGAACGCACTTCTCAGCCTACTATGCAAGGCCCGATTTGCCTAATAAGCTAAGTTTTCCTGAATTAATATATTTTTTCTAATTTTTTTCTTATGAAATGATAAAGCTACCCATTTCATTATGTATGAGGTTAATTTTGTTTATTGGAGTTAAAATTAACGTAGATATATGACCGAACCTAACCATCCCTACCTAACCTAACCTAACCTATCTCTATCGGTTAGGTTAGGTTAGGTAGCAGAAAAAGTTAGGTTAGGTTAGGTAGGTTAGGTCGTCGAAAAACAATTAATTCATGAAAACTTAGCTTATTAGGCAAATCAGGCCTCGCATAGTAGGCTGAGAAGTGAGTTCTGGCTACTAGGTACGACATATATATATATATATATATATATATATATATATATATATATATATATATATATATATATATATATATATATATATATATATATATATATATATATATATATATATATATATATATATGTCGTACCTAGTAGCCAGAACTCACTTCTGAGCCTACTATGCAAGGCCCGATTTGCCTAATAAGCCAAGTTTTCATGAATTAATTGTTTTTTCGACTACCTAACCTACCTAACCTAACCTAACCTAACTTTTTCGGCTACCTAACCTAACATAACCTATAAAGATAGGTTAGGTTAGGTTAGGTAGGGATGGTTAGGTTCGGTCATATATCTACGTTAATTTTAACTCCAATAAAAAAAAATGACCTCATACATAATGAAATGGGTAGCTTTATCATTTCATAAGAAAAAAATTAGAGAAAATATATTAATTCAGTAAAACTGGGCTTATTAGGCAAATCGGGCCTTGCATAGTAGGCTGAGAAGTGAGTTCTGGCTACTAGGTACGACATATATATATATATATATATATATATATATATATATATATATATATATATATATATATATATATATATATATATATGTCGTACCTAGTAGCCAGAACTCACTTCTCAGCCTACTATTCAAGGCCCGATTTGCCTAATAAGCCAAGTTTTCCTGAATTAATATATTTACTATAATTTTTTTCTTATGAAATGATAAAGCAACCCTTTTCTCTATGTATGAGGTCAATTTTTTTTTATTGGAGTTAAAATTAACGTAGATATATGACCGAACCTAACCAACCCTACCTAACCTAACCTAACCTATATTTATAGGTAAGGTTAGGTTAGGTAGCCAAAAAAAGCTAGGTTAGGTTAGGTTAGGTAGGGTAGGTAGACGAAAAAACATTAATTCATGAAAACTTGGCTTATTAGGCAAATCGGGCCTTGAATAGTAGGCTGAGAAGTGCGTTCTGGCTATTAGGTACGACATATATATATATATATATATATATATATATATATATATATATATATATATATATATATATATATATATATATATATATATATATATATATATATATTCAGCTTGTGGTCAATGAGAACGCCAAGGAATTTGCCATATATATATATATATATATATATATATATATATATATATATATATATATATATATATATATATATATATATATATATATATATATATATATGTCGTACCTAATAGCCAGAATGCACTTCTCAGCCTACTATTCAAGGCCCGATTTGCCTAATAAGCCAAGTTTTCATGAATTAATGTTTTTTCGTCTACCTAACCTACCTAACCTAACCTAACCTAGCTTTTTTTGGCTACCTAACCTAACCTAACCTATAAATATAGGTTAGGTTAGGTTAGGTAGGGTTGGTTAGGTTCGGTCATATATCTACGTTAATTTTAACTCCAATAAAAAAAAATTGACCTCATACATAGAGAAAAGGGTTGCTTTATCATTTCATAAGAAAAAAATTATAGTAAATATATTAATTCAGGAAAACTTGGCTTATTAGGCAAATCGGGCCTTGAATAGTAGGCTGAGAAGTGAGTTCTGGCTACTAGGTACGACATATATATATATATATATATATATATATATATATATATAATATGGATATGGCAGTACTGTATTAGTTATTTTTAAACTTTTTCAGACACACCTAACTGAAACGATGCGGGAAGAGCATGAAGAGGAGCGTGAGGTACTTCAATCTATATATGAAGGAGATGCAAACTTCTGCATGATTAACAACTCCACATTTCAATACAAGGTTATAAAGTGCTTAGCTTTTCACATGGCCACCACTTAAGAATAATTATCATTACAATCTTCAATATAGTTGGTTTGGGGAGGCAACAGCACAGAGGAAAATAATAATGACATGAAAAGGGCTAAAGATTTGAAGGACATCCCTTAATCTATATTTTTCACTAGCTAGTATTACAGTGAATCAGTATCATCATACCAAACAAGAGAATAATCAGTAACCCTCAGCTTTATGCAGATATCTGTAAAGTATTTCTCATGATTTGTCATCTGAATATAGTGTTAAAATTAAGGAAAGCCACCCTTAAACTGATTAGTGAGCTAAGTTGTATCAGTAGCTATGTAGTCATACTCCAGTGGCCATAACTGCCTCTACTAAACACTAAGAGTTACTGTGCTTTTAAAGGTTAACAACTGTCCCTCTTTTTTGTTTGCAAGTCACTCATGCTAAATTGGTCAGCAGCCATGTTATTCTGGCTGGAAAGAGACCAAGGATAGTGATTTGTGATGAGTACATTTATTGAACAAAATGAGAAAGATTATTTTCTGTAGGATAGGACTATGTTAAATAGGACTAGATGAGTTTATATTTCATTATTTTCCTCCATGTTATGAATAAGTGAGTTGGCCCACTACCTTCCACATAGTGTTGACCTTCTAGTGTGTGTGGTCTGGTCAACATTCTTCAGCCACGTTATTGTGACTCATCGCTTCCACATAGTGTATCTCCATATTTAACTCTTCTTGGTTCATATTCCCTGCTCTTGAGTGTTCTTTACTCTCTTCTTTATGAAGATGTAAAACACAACTGGTGTATAAGCTGTTGTAGGCCTTTGAGATAGTTCATCTTTATTGCTTGCTTCTTGGAGATAGAATAACTGACTTCCTTCTTATGAGTTAAAGATAAGACTTTTCTCATCAGACGCAAAATTGTCTCGTCCTTCTTTTCTCATCAGACACGAAATTAGATGGTGATTTTTGTCCACAGTATGGCGAAGAAGGGGACAACAAATCCTTCCTGTTGGAGATCAGTTGGGGTCCAGACTATCCAGATGCAGTACCTACTATCAACTTAGATTTATTTTACAACAAACACATGTAAGTTAAACTGTGTTGAACTTTGCTATCAACTTAAATGACAATAATAACAAGTGAGATCAGGTGTTGGGCTAAAGTCTATTAACTGCAAGGTTATTGTGACCATAGCTTGCCATCTGATCAGCCTTAAACTAATTATTATTTGATTATACATTAGTCTTGTTCAGAGTTCAAGAGTAACATAAATGGCTTATTTATGCTGAGATGCAGCAGCATAAGTAACATGAGTTTATAGTTATGTTGACAATATTATTAAGGTCAAACACAATACTGTAACAAAATAAGTATGTTTTAAGTCAAGATATATTAAAGAAATTCATCTTCTTTCAACAATGTGTATTTTTTTTTTACATTACTGTAATTACTGTAATAATGTAATACATTACTGTAATATAAATCATTCCTCTGATCATTTAGCTGCTCCCTAATATAATTGATCGGCTGTCATCAATAAGCACTTCCCATATTACAAGCACCACAAACACAACTACCACCACATCATGTTCTTCCTTGTATGGTCCAAACGTATTCAGATACTTTTGCTGTTACATGGGAACTTTGAAACATTTGTCATATATGTATGAATAAGTAGAGAGGTTAATTTCACATTCAGCAATTCCAGCTTCATTTTTCAGTTTACCTTCGGCCAAAGAAAAGATCATGACAGAATTACGGGAACAAGCAGAAGCCAACCTTGGCATGAGTATGACCTTTACACTCTTTGAGTGGTTGAAAGAGGCTAAGGATGACATCTTGGATCACCACCAGGTTGAGACGGCAGTGTTGGGCGTTTCTGAAATCACATCTGAAATTGGTCAGATTTCAGTTGTTGATGACCAGGGAGAGGTATATTCCTTCGTTTGTATTATGTGTAGTTGATATTAGTGCAATGAGTCATATTGTAAAAACTATGTTCATTTTTATTATTTCTCTTTTGTAACAAAATTAGAAAAGCTGCTTAAATTGGCAGGAAATGATACATATACCCATGCAGATATGTACATTTTCATATAGTTTCCTGTATAAAATACACACATTACCACTTGACGACAAAACACACAGTATTATGTAAAACAGGTGGTACTTACTATTAACTTACTAGGTAGCAAATGGAACTGAAGAGTAACAGTTTTATCACCTTTGAAGGTGATAAAGGAGGGTCACCTTTGAAGGAACCTTCCTTGTCTCATCACACTTTTGAAGGAACCTTCCTTGTCTCATCACACCTTTGAAGGAACCTTCCTTGTCTCATCATACTTTTGAAGGAACCTTCCTTGTCTCATCACACCTTTGAAGGAACCCTCCTTGCCTCACCACACCTTTGAAGGAACCCTCCTTGTCTCACCACACCTTTGAAGGAACCCTCCTTGTCTCACCACACCTTTGAAGGAACCCTCCTTGTCTCACCACACCTTTGAAGGAACCCTCCTTGTCTCACCACACCTTTGAAGGAACCTTCCTTGTCTCACCACACTTTTGAAGGAACCTTCCTTGTCTCACCACACCTTTGAAGGAACCCTCCTTGTCTCACCACACCTTTGAAGGAACCCTCCTTGTCTCACCACACTTTTGAAGGAACCCTCCTTGTCTCATCACACCTTTGAAGGAATCCTCCTTGTCTCACCACACCTTTGAAGGAACCCTCCTTGTCTCACCACACCTTTGAAGGAACCCTCCTTGTCTCACCACACTTTTGAAGGAACCTTCCTTGTCTCACACCTTTGAAGGAACCCTCTTTGTCTCACCACACCTTTGAAGGAACCCTCCTTGTCTCACCACACTTTTGAAGGAACCCTTCAAGTCAAACTTGAAATCAAGTTTTTCCACTATTTCATTGTCTTCAATCTCTTCTACATTATAATGCATTACATATTTGATTTCCAAAAGGACATGGTTCCTCTTGTCCATTGAAAGAAGGTATTGAATGTTAAATATCTCTTCTTCTTTCCTGGTAAATACCAAATCCAGCAATAATTGATCATCATCCTCTCATTCTTATGGACTGTTTTACATGTGGATACATGAAATATTCCAGGATGAGGTTTACGAATCGGCTGGTCCAAAAGTCCTGTTATTGCTTCATAGACTTCATAGATCTATCGATTTTAAATAAAGTTGCCAAGTATCAACAATTGTGATTGATCTTTATCTGCTTTTACAATAATTTCTCTTACAATGATCATTGTAAGGCCCTTTCTTTTTTCATCGAGCCTGTGTATTGCTTGCTGGTGTATTTTTTGTACAAAGTTGCAGGCACTTAAGAGACTTGGCAGACGACTGGAACTGACCCTCTCCTATCTTTTAAAATAACTATAGTAATTTGTTACATAACTTTTAGTTACTAATACTCATCACACCTTGCAGGAAAATAATAGTTGTTTTTGCTTAACTGCATATGCAATATACAATATGTATTCACAACATGAATTTATTGCTGTGCTGTATTTGTACATATAGCCTGCTCATTTACTAATCTATGAATAATTTGTTGACAGGGAAAGAGAGAGAAAAAAGAACAGCTAACGAAGGCACAGAAACGGCGAATGTGGGACCGGCAAAATGCAGCAGGAGAACGATCTCGCGGATATAACTGGGTTGATATAGTTAAGCACCTTTCTCAAACTGGTAACTCGAAAAATGATGGATAGCATTGAGCAGTGTATTAGATACGTACATGTTTTTTCTGGCATTTAATAATATGAAAATTGTTCATTGTTTTCTCATTGTCCTTTGGTTTTCACAATGTTTGCAATAAAAAAAAGATGATGAATAGTTTTATTTTAAGAATTTTAACCCTAAATCTAAGTTTAGATATACTGTATGTAACATTAATATTTTTTTTCCATAAAGTTAACTTGGTCCTGATGAAAAAATTTTCATAATAAAAGTAACTGAATTGCCGTTTTTTGCCATTTGTTTGTTTATACAGAAATCTCCACGTAACATAATTTTGCCATTCTATTGTATTGTCATTTTATTGAATGTGCTAGTGCGGCTGTGAAGTTGCATGATACTGGCTGTTGAGTGCTAGTTGCTGTAGTAAGGCTAAATAATAGATATAAAACTGATTGGTATATTTTTCATATTGTCTGTAATTCTTTATATGGTGCCTAACCTCTTCAGAGTAATCAGACAGATGGGCATTGAAACACAGTAACAATCAACTGTACTGGGTATATATTCTCAATATAAATTACAGAATGATAGTTTTTTTTTTTAGATGAATCCATGAAGGTTCAGGATACTGCAGAGACGAGGGAGGCTGTAGTCGCAGGAGGTCCTTGGCATTTGGAGTGGCTGGAGTGACGTTATCTGATGCATGTTTGAGGCTAAATAAAGTTTGAGTGGGTTGGTGGCATATATATATATGATTTTGGCAGCTCAGCTTATGGTAATTTGCAACACTCCAGGCCATGATTGGCCAGTGCTACGAGTGTAGCCAATAAAAGCTCACTCCACCTCTTCTATTTGGACACAAGATCAACACAACTGCTTTGCATGCCTGGGAGCAGTATTGTCCAGCAGTAGAATGTATATAAGAGGGAAGAGAAGGAATAACTCTTAGTGTTGTGACCAGAGTAATGACCTTGAATGAATACATTTAGGTACAGTATGTCATTTTCAAAGTACAGTGCCAGAAGAATTATAGTACGAGTGCTTTGTGAATGGGTCGATGAGACAATGTGGGATGCCAGTATTCAAATCCTCTTAAACTTCCACCTTTATGAGAAGCTGACAGCAACTTGAAATACCTGGTGCGCCCAGAAGCTAATGGTTCAAAATAATTTTATATTAAGTTGAGGCACAATATAGAGATCCTCAGCTTATCTGCCTACAAGGTTATAAAGCTGCCAGAGGTGATGTCATACACATGGAAAAAGGAGATTTGTTGCCAGAAACTAGGATAGGGAAGCCAGTTCTGGTCTGGACCTTGAGAGATGTTGACACGCTGTGGGGGCAACTTGCCATACTGACAACCCTCTAATTGGCAGACACTATCTTTCATTGGTGTATGGAGACAAAAGGTGAAACCTTTGAGAAAGTATGAGATGCATGTTTTCATGAAGTAACTAACAAGAGGGTTTAAGGACACTAGTGGGTAGGCTGGTTAAGAGTAATTATGACACCAGGTGAAGCTGGAGGCTAAATGTACACATAATATATAATATATTGATTAAAGTAGTGTTTAACTCATCCTATCATTGTGTACTCCCCACCAATACAGCAGCCTTGAAGAGTGCTGCACGATGTAATCTATAATCTTAACATAGTAAATACAGGTGTAAACATGAATATATACCAGTGTTGGAATTGTATTTTGGAATACCATATGTGTGGAGCAGGAGCAATCATGTCTGGTATACGAGCAAAGAGCAGGAATAACTATAGTGATTGACAGATCACTACAGAACTTTCCTCACCGTGTGGCAAGACCCTATGGTCAAAGGGCCAAGAAGGCATCATGGAAGTCTCCTGGCTAAAATCTGTACCATTTACATAATTACCAGGGTCAAAGGTGGAGCAGCTGGACCAGTGCCAAGTGTAGGCAACATGTAAACTTGTTCATGAAGTCCCCATGGCTTAGTGGTAAAGCGCTCGCCCGGCGCTTCACAAGCGCTTTGGCCTGGGAGGATTGACTGCATGTCAATCCTTAACTGTTCACCCAGCAGTGAATTGGTACCTGGTGGTTAAATAATTTTGAAGGTCGTATTTTTGGGAAAAGGTAGGATTAAAGACCTGCCTGAAATGCTATGCGTGCTAGTGGCTTATCTGGAAGAAACAGCATCCAAGCATCGCATTAGCCTGGCGAGGACTAGAAACATCCAAAAAGATATGGACCCAATGCTATTAGACCACCCGAAAACCCTCAATTCCGAATATTAGTCACCGACTTACAGTACTATATGAGCAAAATAAGCAGCAATGCTTGTAAACACACACCAGCCTGGCTGGCTACCCCACCTGAGAAAACCTAACCTTGAAACAGGATTGACAAAAAGAGCAACAGCTATACACCGAGGTCTGAATAAGACCTTTAGTGCCATCTCTAATCCATTTGCGCACATCGTAGCCCATGCTACGATGAGCATGGGGTACACAAACTAGCTGCTGCTGGTACCAACCACTAACAAAATCAAGCATCACTAACACATGGCAACAGGACAAAGCGTGATGCACCAGACAACACAAAGAAAGGACGAGAAGACATCAAATCAATGATGAAGTAAAAAGAGCTCTGCAAAAGCTTTGTTGGTCATGTTACTAAAATTAATGCTCTAATTGGTATCAAAATGCTTATAGTAGCTCATCCTAACCCTTGCACAAAATCCCTCCCAGACCTTTATTGGTTAACGTTGCTCAAAATGGATTGCTAAAATTGCAACCATACAGAGTATGAAATCTGATTTACGAATTTTAATGCAACTACAATGGCACCTTCTTACACTTCAAGAGATCACCCACTTTCAAATTTGAACCTCTTTCCCACCTAAAAAGTACATTAAAGATCAGTCCAAGCTTCATCTTGAGGCATTGACACTGCTCAGAGCTCTCCCTTACAAACATACTGTACACCGATGGTTCCCTACACCACTCCATAGGGTGCAGCTGGAAGTAGTTATAATAAAGCAAGATAATTATCAGTAGAAAGCACTAACCCTTAATGACTGTATGGCACTTGGAAAGGATAAAAATTGGATACTTAAGATAGAAATGGTGCACAACCACTAACAGTTGGGGATTAAATGCTGACCTGCAAGGAGTCATTACTGTGCAGACAATGCAATGGCTTATTTCGAGTGGCAAGCCCATATATAAACATGGCCTTTGGTACTCTATCCACTTGATGGGAAGTAGAACAACTCTTAGAACCCCAAGCCTAGCTTGATCCAACAAGCTGTTGCTCAGAGCAGCCTTTAGGCCCTTTAGACCAAACAATTTGCCATACTACTTTTACTCAACATGTACACGTCTCCAAACTAGAAATTAATGGGAGAGCATCCTTAATTGCAACTCTTAGACAATTGTAGCATGCTTGTGTTTGAAGCCAATCACAAATACAGGTACGACAAGATTATTAATGATGGCAAGTCTATCATTAGACTTGCCATCAACAGAGGCAAGTGTTGGCACACAGTAACAGCACTGTTGCAACCTAAAAACAAAAGTAGGGCTAAGAGATCTAAACCAGACTCAAAGTCAAACATTTGAAAGAACTTTTTCAGTATTAGAACTGTCAAGTTCTTAAGTTTATGTTAAGTTAAATGTACAAGTCATTAAAAGTAATTTGATTCAAAGTTTTAAATGTCACCAAGAAAAAAAATAGTAGTGATCATCAAAAGGCATTTAGCTGGGGAGTCTATGTAGCACCATCAAAGTCCCAGGATATTTAAAAGCCACTTACTAAAGATGCAATACAAGAGCAAAAGCGCGCTCTCGCATAAGGGCGAGCAATATCAAAGCTACCCAATTCACCAAGGATTATCAAGGGACAAACTACCGTAAGAAAATCATTTAGAGATAAACATCCTGAAAAAAAAATCAGGAGATAAAGTCATCAAGCCTTGAGCACAAGAAAAGTTAGAATATGCAATTGTTGGTACAGGAAAAGCACATCCATCTCCAAGCATAAAATTATAGAACCTTCAAGACTTTACTTGGAAAAGGCGGCACATGGTTAACAGGTTAATAAAACTGTATTGGATGCTGCAACAATTATTAAAGAGCTTTACAATAACATCAGAAAAAAATAAAAATTATATATATTGTATATATAATTGCGACGAAGAATTCAGTGGCAGCCGTCTTAATGTTCATCCTACGCGCATGTGGTAAACTGGTGTAATACTCTCTTGATCCAGTCTTTGGAGATGGTTGGATATGGGTTAATAGCTACATCTTGGCAAGATTATATTCCACCAATATTAACCTAATTCTTGCCATTTTAGGTGAACATTAAACACAGTAATGCATCCTGAAGCTTTTCCTATATATCTTTTTTTAATTATGATAATTCTGAAGTTAGTAAAAAATAGAATTTGTTTATTCATATTTTGACATTAATAAAATGCGGGCAAGGCCTTACAGATCAATGTGCCACCTAATCACTGCCTCTAAAAATAATAGAAAAAAGGGGGTTGGGGACCAATTTCCATCAGCATACTTTTTGTATATATTAAAAAAAAAATTAAGCACATTTTCTATTCGTAATAAGACTTAAATCTGCTTCAATGCAATCCCCTACATCAAGATCAGGGTTATGCATTATAATTACGGGGAGTGTCAAACCCACTGATTATCACATTAAAATAAGTAAGGGGATATAACCAGAGGAATTAAGGGAAAAAATGACATCCAACAATATGGAAATTTTACAAATTTAATCACTCTTATCCATCGTTATCTCCCCCTACCACCCTCTAAAGATCACAGTTTCGTAATGTTGTCCATTGGGGAAAAAAAAATTTCAGCCGCCACACCACAAACAAATGTACAAGATTGAAGGATTTTAGCATCTCAAAAATGACAAGGTCCTAAACATCTCTTAACATTTTTGCCTAAAAAGCTTCAATCTTGCCACAATATCATCCACTGCCACAGTAACTAGTTGTTTTAAGAGTAATAATACTTTACAATTTTTAATCCAACAACATTATAATTCATGTACAAGAACCCACAAGCTGTATTTTTAATGAATAAGCTGAATTTTTCTTTTTGACGTTTACTACTCGCAAAAGGCCCAAACACCAAATAATACAAGTTGTACACAGTAAAGGCAAGTAATAAAACGTGCATTCCTAGCATTGAATGCAGAGAAATATGAAGTATTTCTCAGAACAAATTAAAGGTCATACTTATGATGCAGGCTTATTAATACTGGCTAAAAAGCTTTGTGTGATAAATACCAGAGACCAGACAAATACAGTATCTAGGCCTCTTGTGGCTCTCAGTTTTAACATGGCTTATTAATACAAAATTTAGAGCATACCTTTATATTAGGTCAATGTCAAATTTCATCTAACATTCACTATACATGACTACTATCTGCTACCCAAGAAGATTGAATGGTTAGTCCTAAATTGTGAACATCTCAAAAAGGTTCAAGTATTGAAGCCATTTTAAATATGAACCTGCACTTCCCAGCACTGAACTTGGGACCTAGTTTATCAGGCTTGTTGTGCAAAATTTTTGAACTTGACCCAATTCTTACAATAACTTCAATAAAAGCTTCTTTCCTCCAACTTAACTAAATGAAGCATTTAATACGTTATAGCCAACCGTAATAAAAGGATAATACAATTTGAGATCTACTTTCGCTTTCAACCGAAGACAACAACATTTAAAAAAATTGAATTCCATAATCGTGCAAATTTTAGAAATACAAAACAATTTCACCACGATTACTAATAATTAACTATGGTAATCCCATATAAAAAGATTTCAAAATATAACTGGTCTAATTTACGACCTTTATACATGAAAGAAAACAAAACCAGTCCACATTTACAAGTTATCAATGTCCAAGTCGCTGTCGTCATCATCCTCGTCGTCTTCTTCCCCTGGAGCAACAATCTTTGGAGCTTCGGCTATAATTGGCTTGACATCTCCCGCAATCTTGGCCTCTTGTTCTTTGAGAGATTGGTTCAATGCACGAGGATCAAACTGAAACGGAAAAATGACATACAAAAAATCAAGGCAATATATGGTAATGCTCGTCAATATAGTAGTAGTTCCATGAAGATTTGAGGAATGGCTAATGCAGAGGACTACACAGGCACAACAATTATAGAGGACAAGAGCATAGTATGGTCATAATTCTTCTGCTAATGGCAGAAAATCAAGGGAAATTTATGAGAGCAATGGAAAAGATTTATCAAGAGCACCAGAGCAGCAATAGTAACATGTGGGCAGAGACTAAGTTTCCAGTATTATAATTACAAACTGACTGACACACAAAGGAGCCACATTAAGGGAAGGATATGTGGCAGCCAAAAAAGTTCACTATAGATAGATCCTTCCTGAAGTAGCATATGCAGACTAGCTGAAATTAGTAATTGGAAAGAATTAGAAACATTAAAAACCCAACATATGCCAAGAGGGAGAGAGATATAGAGGCGATACAAAAATGAACCATTAGGCACTAGTGACCACTGTGTAACTTTTGACTAAAGAGTCAAGTTGATCTAGTTACAGTGGGGGATGGTAACAGGCCGATATATTTTCAGAGTACAGTGGAAGAACAAGGTGCATGGGTAGTGACAATACTGGTGTATATGGCACCCAAGTGCACAGAAGCCACAATAGTATGTGCAAGCCCAGAAGGAAGAGCAAGATTAACTCAGGGTTCAACAGGATTCAACTTTGCCAAGAAAAACTATATTGCTTGAAAAGAGCAAGTTCCGAAGCACTGGAAATAAAATTGGCCATTAACTATTAACATCACGAGTCCCTAAACTGCATACTCTGAAACACTGCCAAAAGTGTTTGACTGCATATGCCAGATGCTCAAGCTCTTTCCAAGCCCTAACCAACACAAGACGACACAGGGAAGATTACTGGGGAAATTTGTCAAGTCAACTCTCGCCTACCTTAGCCAGTCATCAAAGGATATATAGAATCCAAAGGCAACAAGATTGGCCGAAGTATCACTCCTTCACCTTCTACAGAGCAAACACGCTAGTCAATGCCTCGGCAACCCCCTACAGGTTCAATAATCTTAACCCACATATACAATCAAGATTAAATGGTAGGCAAAGAGAGTGTCATGGACAAATTCAACAATACAAAAAAGTATCTTTCCTGTGTTCAACACTTCATTTTTGTATGTTTGGGCAAAAAGATGGTACAAGTTTTATCATTTGAGAGGACGGGCAGGGAAGCGAGTAATTAAAATAAATGAGCTTTAAATAGAGCCTGAAGCAATTGTCATTCAGTTCCAAGAGCAAGGATGGGAAAGTACAGTGAAGGAGAGAGATACAAGCATCCAATGCAATTTATAAGTCTTCTGCCTTACCGCAACATCACCATCATCCTCCTCCTCGTCAGAAGATTCCTCTTCCTCTGCTTCCTGAAGCCACTTCAAGAAAGGCTGGGCTTTTGCATGAATCTCTGCTGCGGTCTCCTTGGTTACATACTTCTTTGAAACTTTCTTACCCCAATCCAGCAATACTTCTTCCTCAACAATATCATGATCATACATAGCCTGGAATGAAAAATTATTACAAATTAAAACTTGACAAAGCTCACTTTAAAACGGTCTATAAATTACATGATTTAGATGACAAGTCACAATAACGTGGCTGAACAAGTTTCCAAACGACACTTCAGAAAATTATGAAATGATAATGGTTCAGAATGGGCCGAAATGTTAAGTCTTGTGATAAGAGAAGGGAGAGACATGAGAGAGGGAACAAAAGATGAAGAATGGTAAACAAAAAATATAGCGGGGAACTACCCTGGAAATAATCAACCACATGTCAAGAGTGAGATTCTGTGACATTTTCGCTCATTCAACAGACAAGTTGGATCACGCTTGTATGTGAAAGTATGTACTGTGTAAGAATGTAAGAGTCTACCCCAAAAAAGCCAGGACTAAGGTTCATATTTGGCATGTTGTGTATCAGAGCCAATTCGACAAGAATGGATCTGTGTACAGGCAGCAAAGATTATTTAAGAAAACCAATCTATAGGATAATTAGTCTAACAGGACAAGATAGCACCGTTTGTCTGCAGACTTGACACCTTTTTGATTCAAGTTATTCAGTGTACGGCCAGTTTCACCAAAGTATTTGAGAACAACATGACCAGAAAATTGAGTAGACACTGACAGCATTGGAAGCATGATTCAACAGCATCCCTCAAAATCAAGATGCACCATTAAATTTAATTTCAAATACTATGTAAAAATGGATATCCATGGCCCACAACTACTAACGGTGCTCTCACACGAAAATTAAAAACAGCATGATAGTGTTGTCTTAAAGACTAGCACTGGAAGGTTATTCAGCGCACAAGCAAGTGTCAAGAGGGGGCTTTATAACAGAGGCAGAATATCTAGATATATATATATGACAATGTCAGACCACGGAGGAAAAATGAAACAGGAAAAGGAAATTTCCTGTTTCATTTTTCCTCCGTGGTCTGACATTGTCACATTCTTAATCACGTGTTTATTTTCGTGATATACACACATATATATATATATATATATATAAAAAATAAAAAAGCAGTCACTTTCAATATGGAAAGGTATTTACTAGATGCCTCATAGCAGGGATCACTCATTTTAAAAGGTTAGCTTACCTTGAAGATAATGGGAACCTTGGCAATTAATAGATCTTTGTTGAGTTCAATCAGTTTCTCAACAGCACCTATAAAATACTTTTGGCTCTTGGGATTTCCGTGAGTAAACAGCAGGAGGAGGATTCGGTACTGAGGAATCTGAAATGTGAAGGTCAAGGTAAAAATTGATACAAAATATATCTAAGTTTTAGGTGTTCAATATTCAGGCCCCTTTGCCTAAGGGGACATTTAAAGTTACTGCAAATGTAAAGGACAAAGATGGCATCATTAAGTTTGAAACCCAATATCTACTCTACTATATCTAGTAGTGGAGTCAATCTTATCCAGTAGCAATTTCAAATTAATGTACAATGGCTTAAGTCAACCCTTGAAAATAGAAAAAATGTCAAGTAGTGAATTATACAGAGTACGTACTCTATATTCAAGTTTTGTAGCCGTAGCTATCTATTTTTTTACAACTAGACTAGTTTTACGAGAGCCCAAGATGCTCCAAAGTTTGGGTTGCCTCTACACGACTGGTGGTGTGGTGTGTGTGGGGGGGGGGGGGGGGGGGGGAAGAAGTCCTTACCCTTCATACTACATGTAGCATTTTATTGTGAATGACATTGTTTAACAACTCAAATGATACAGATTTCATTCTAGAATAAATGATAAAAGCAAATTCAGAGTACCGAACAAAAAAATTCCTGCACCTGTTTAATAATGTTATCATCGAGCAGCACCTCTACCAGTACCATAACAGCCTTGTTTTCCTTTATTTCTAGCCTCTCTGCTTCACCAGCAATGTCCTTGAAGACAGTCACATCAGCTCCAGGTTTTAAAGAACCATCATCAACCTTGGCCTGAAAGGTGAAGACACCATGACACTGCGATCTTTGCAACTTAGTAGTTAAGATTCAAATTTTTACACAAAATGCCTCGTCATAATTCTCGCCCTCTCATGTCACAAACTAATGATCCTATGGAAACTTTTTAACTTTTACTTGCCCTAAATGATCAGTTTAGATAACTTGCTTTGAGCTAATAGAAAGGGCAAGTTGAAAACTAAACTGCAATATTACTCGAAATATAAAGTGCAATCCAAATTAAACAAATTTATGCAACACAGTTATCAAGTACAGTATATTAATTTGTTTAAATGTAGGGGGAACTACCTTGCAGAGCTCGAAGAAAACTTCGAGACGTTCACTCTGGGTTTTCTCGATATCATTGGAGACCGTTAGATTTTTCACTCCTGCTGTTAGATTCTTCTGTCGTTCCTTCATGGCTTCCTCACTAACATCCAGACTCCAGTCATCATCCTAAAAATAGTTTTCCTAAGTTTAACAAACTCATGCTATAAACTGTATCTCAAACTTAATCTTAGAACTAGATATTTTTACTTTTACTTTGCAAGTTGTAGGCATGTGGCACCATTCTTATCCATGTCTTGAAAATTGCACTTTTCCTATGCATTTACAAAATTTTTTAGAGTACAGAGGTACATAATATATTTCATTCCCAGCAACAAAGCTACTTACATCTTCAGCATCACCATTCATATCATTGTCAGAAGCGTCAGACTTGTCTGCACGTGGGGAATTGGGTCGTAGGGAATCCCTCTGACCATTCTCGGACTTCTTTGTGCGCTCCTTCCTCTTTGTCAGGGCAGTGCCAGGTTGATTAGGTTTGGTATCTAAAAAAAATTATATCCAAAATTATATTAATTTTGAAGAGGGAATTAGCATGCAAATTTAAAGCCTACAATGAGCAACAATATGGCTTTGTCTTACCCCGAGACAAAAACTTCACTAAACGGTTGTCCAAATTCCCAAATAGAACCTTACTCTTGAGAACACCATTGAACTAGACAGCCGCTAGCCATGTGCACTTTTAAAATATGGGTTAAATATTTAAGAAATCTCATACAGTACTTTGATACACACTGATTTTCATGTTTATTAAAATTATTTATTGGTCATGAAATTTGGATAGAATCATTTTATATGTACAATGTACATGACAAGGATATTTGTTTAAATATTTTGTGCACACATGGGTACACATTATGACATTTAGGTTGAACCACTACAGGTCTTATTTAAGAGCTGACCTTAATGCTGCTGCCGCTTTTTTAAGCCACTGCCTCAATTGATTGTATACCACATGCAGGTTAACCCTTAAAGGGTGCAATACATTTATAGCTGGGATGAGTAACTATTGTGGGACGGTGCACCACAGCTATGAATGTTTGCAAGTACTGCATAAAATTTAAAAAGTACCGTGGCTACACAGGGTTCACATCTTGTAAACGGACTCCATTAAAAGAACCATGGGCAACATTCCTGGGTGTGAATGTCTCGGTACTGAGTGAGCCGCCCAGGCTGGTGCTTGCAGCACGAGCTCAGACCACTGCTTTTCAGCTTGTGACCAAAGCATCACCTAAAAATGTCAAAATATATATGTAACTGGTATTATTTAGCCACGATAGTATTACAGAAGAGCCTGACCATGATAAAGACTGTGTACAATGTTCAGATATCAGTGAACACAATGCCATTCAAGATGTTCACAGCACTAGAATCTTTAAACAACTTCATGTTCCTTTATTCGTGTTTAATTCGAAAATTATTCGTGTGCAGGATTTAGTGACCAGGATTGTCGTAATTAGCGATGTGCGAAGTACGGTGGGATGAGAAATCTTTGCGAGGAAAGGTGAAGGTGGCCTGAACTGGCTGGTGTGTGGCAGCCACTCTGTTTGGACTCACCATACCAGGTTAGTAGTTTGCTATGGTGAACACAAATGCAGATACTTGTATAACTTTTTTCTAAGTACAGTATTAATACTTAACATGATTCTTGTTCTTTAATTGTTCCAAACAATTTCAACTGCTGGATAATTTTATATATAAACGGATGACCACTTTAGAGTGACCAAAATCTGACTAAATAGTTAAAACAAAATTATTAGTTCTGAATCAGGGATGGCTTAAGTGCATTCAAATGTTGAAAATTAGCCATTTTGTAAATATCAAGATACAAGCAGCCCTAGAGTGGCATGATACTAGAGAACAGGTACAGTAAAGCAATAACGTGTGAATAACAAAACTACCAGGGATGTGTAATTACTACACATTTATACAAGTAAATTAATAGTCCTTACCAGGATGGTTTTTTAATATGAAGGTGGTGAGCTTGTGGCGCATGTCTAGCATCCCTTGGTAACCACACGCCTTGCAAGATTGTTTGATAATCCCTTTCTTCTCCTGAAAATGTTATTTTATTAGCCAAGTTTATATGCAGCTTAAGACCTTACACAACCACCATAACTACTGGCCTCTTCAAAACTAGACTTTTTAAACAAAACTAATATTCAAACTGATGTACAACAAGAACATCCAGGAGAAAATCCTTTTAACTTACATTGGGAAAAAGTACAGTCTCTGGATTTTCACATTCAGGACAAAGAACAAATTTCTTAATAAAGCCATCCAACAAATCCTGAAGCTTTGTCGCATCATGCGAGCCATTCACGATGTACCTATCATTCTTGGTGTCAAACTGTGTTTGAGCTCCTAATTCACAACCAAAGTACTTGCAAGGATCTGAAAAATATTAGTAAGACATACAGAGCTAATGGTGAATAATTTATTAATTATTTATATTTAAGAAAAAGGGTCAATGTATGAGCAATTTACTAATGTTCCCCCTTTTAAACAAAGTCTCAATTCTTTAAATATCTAACCAATTTTTGTACATTTTACGGTTGATGGATTTAAACTGCCAAGCCTTACATGTTGGAGGTCTTCCAAGTGCTTTGGCGACATCAACCATGTTGACAACGACAGTCTTTATGCCGTTGCCCTTTCCTTCAACCTTCGCCATAATTTTTGGCATTTTGTAACGATAAAAAGCGTCCATGACGCTGCGATTCACGTTGTAACTCATCTGGAAAAAAAGAAATCCATGCAAGTGTGAAATTAACCACATTCTGCATTTTGCACAGACAAATAATCCCATGTAAACCCATCAATTCCATTATTTGAAAGCTGTTCCACGTGTTCGTGAAAAGTAATCTTTCTAAATTTTGACAGACCATGTTCCTCAATCATCCAACAAAATTCCATATATTGTAAAGAATGCTTCTAAACACATGTTACAATCTTGAAAACTCTTAAATAACTTACCTTGAGGGATTGCTGTTAGGGTTTCCTTCGGCAAAAACAGATTATTTAAAGTAGAATGACCAGGATGTGAAGTGTTGCGTCAAGTTCAAAGTCAAAAGTAGTAGTCTCCTAAATAGTGCATAAGTCAGCAACTTGGGTTTTAGTGAATTGGTCTTTCATGCAGCTTCTTCACTCCACTGCAATTGCTGAAAAATATAAATAACTATGTACACAACTATCATGCATTCATTTAATGTTGCCAAGTCACAAATTTATTTTTTTATTTTACTTTATTAGATACAGTACATCAAAATTTTTTTGCCTTAATATCTAGTACTTCTACCCACCCTCCCAATCCAAGATGGTAATTGTTATTGCCACCTACCCACATTCATTCCTAATTTAAACCTTTATAGGGCTTTCCTGAAGCATTCACACAGGACACCCTGCACATCTAAATGCCAGCTTACCTATGGGAAGCAGTGCCAGTGGGTACACATAAAGAGAGCCACATTCAGAGTATGGGTAGCAGGTGTTGGCTCCAGGGCTCACAAACCTCTTTCCTTTTTTCTCGCCTTTCTGTTGGTGACTTGTTGTCTATGTACAGCATAAGTGGGTTCTTGGCGTCCGTTGGTGGACAACAGCTACTACAACCAAATAAAGCACACACAAGATACGGCTGAAAACAAAACATTTATCCAATATTAAACTACTGTACTGCCAATACAACAGAACATTCCAAAATGAAAGCTGGCTCCTCAAATTTAGGTACAGTAAATTCTGCCATATTCTACACCTTGGTATCCACAACATAATACCACTTCTAAGATTGCAAGGAATTTGAGGACTGGGGGTGCAGGTAGTTTTAGTTTCATTCTTATTCTTTTCACTGACCATGAGATACATTTAAAGAATTTGTTAGTTAGAGGCTACAGTATATGTTGGCATTAACCAACCAACAGGACGGCATTAGGTATGTAGAGACTTAATAGAAGTAGCAGTATCAGAGGTAACACCATTCCCTCACTATCCTCATAAGTCAGTGTTCTTATACTTTCCAAGTGCTTTAGTCATACTGGATTGGCACTTTTCCCAATATTTACTTTACTAAATGCCACTTATTGTAAAATGTTAAAAAAAAAAAAAAAAAAAAAAAAAAAAAGGGTGGGGCCAAATCCAGCCTACCAATCTTTTCTAAATATGTGAATCCTAGTGCATTTAATTATCAGGACATTATCAAGCAACCTATAGTCATACAAGAGGAGGGATGTTATTGTACTGGGAAATTTTACACTTAAAGAGCTTAATATTTACAAACATTAACATGAAAAACCAACTTTAAAAATCATTCCTCTTGTTAACTTACCTAGTGCCAGTAAGCAATGGGATGATGTCTGTTTGGGGTGGGTGGCTTTTTCAAGTCACGAAGTCCTGAATGGCTGCAGTTTACGATGCCGGTTGCTAGAAAACTCTCTATTTCTGAAATATTGAAATGTTTATTAACCCAAGTGGCTCTCTGCACATGAGCAACATGCAACCACATTTCCTGCAACACCAAAATATCCTTTTGCCAACATAATTAACTTATGCTGTGAGCATTTGAATTTTGCAATAGGAATGCTCTTTCTATGATGAGCAGTCTCATCTAGGAAAATATAAACATATAATCACATTCTTCAAGGTTTGCTCAGATTCCCTGGATGTATGAACACTTAGTGTGTAGTTGCCACCTTTCACTGGTAAAAATAAAATGTTACCAGCTGTTGCATGATAACTGGTTTGCCTCCCTTAAACCCCCACCTCACCACTTTAATGTATGATTTGAACAAAACAAGCCAAATAAATGAGTTAATATGTACAAGCATATTTATTACTATATGTACAATGGAACATATTATGGGCTGCTAAAAACCATCCAGAAAAAAAAGTTTCAATTACATAGGCTGAGATAATCTACACCAACTGGTACCTTCAAGCAGCTGAAAATCTAGATAATGCAATGAATAGCAATATGCAATTTTTTTTACTTTAGTTTCCCAAATCGCATACTAAAAATACCCGTGATATTTTAATAGTTCATTGATTAATGTATGCAAGAAAGCCACAAAATTTATTAATTTGAGAATTTGGAAAATGTGTCTGCATAATGGAGGTTCCTCAGTACAGTATTACATTCAAGTGATAAGAATTATTATATGTGCAATGCCTAAGAACCGTTCTATCACTTTTCATACTGCTTTTAATCTATCTTGCCAAGCTTCATCACGAACATTCATAATCGCCATGGGGCTCCATCAAATAATGACAGGTCCATGTCCAAATAATGACAGGACTAGTGACCCTAGTCCATGAACAAGTATTTTGTCACGACAAAACATTCAAGGCATTTTAAACCTCCTAGAAAAAAAATAAAACTTCATGCAGGTAATTCCAATAGTTACCCAATTAGAAATTCCATGTACTAATTATATCCTTAACTGCTACAATCCTACAAAGGCAAGTACTAATACTGGGTCAAGATTAATAGTCATGCACGGTGCCACTTACCTAATATCAAGGGGAAAGTCTGAGGCGCACGCACACATACAAGATTGAGTCAGCAAGCCTCCCAACGGCTCCACTGATAATATACAATTTCTGGGGGATATGTGTCCCTCTGAAAGAGAATTTAATCCATGGATGATGAAGCCTTAAGTAACATTATCACATCAGGAAAAGATACCAGCTCAAGTCTTAAGAATTTAAAAAATTTAATTCTAGAATACCAAGATAGTTTTGCATCTTTCATTTGTAAATACAGGCCAAAATAGAAAAGTTTAGTGGGTATACAACTCTACAATCAGTCTACATAGTCAATTGGGACAAACCAAACCAGCTGACTAGATGGCCCCCCCCCACCCAGCATTACAGCAAGTTACTATCGTGTACTTCTGAAAAAACTGTCAAATTTAAACCAAAAGGTGTCAATATCATCAGGGAAAGAAGCATCTGTCAAATTAAGTTGTGTACACGGCAACTAATGTTGTAAGTTTAAATTTTAATCTGGAAAACCGGATTCAATTTAAAAATTAAATGCAATTTTTAGCCCTTCTGAATGCAATTATCTCATATGGGTCACCACTTATGCACAATCCATAAAAATTAAATGTACATTTTCCGTGCAAACCAGTAAAGACTACAATAATTCTATATCCCGTACTTTGATATACTGAATAGCATTTGAAATTTTGATAATGATACAAGAACAATTAGGATACAGCATCAGGTCTGTTGGTCCATACTAGCAGGTCTCTAGAGCAACTCCCTCCCCTACCTTGTCCATAAACCCGCCCAATCTATTTTTGAAGCTTTATACTAGCTGGCAGTCCATTCCACTCAATAACAAACCCCATTTCCAAACCAGTACAGTCAACCCCCCCCCCCTTTTCCAATTTTTTAAATGTGTTGCAGGTTCCGACCTGTTCAGCTTCGTAACTGTCTATATCCCTTGTTTATGCCAAAAGCCCCCCCCCTTTTAAAACCAACATATAACCCCCCCACCATCTTGTGGCAATGGAGTCCAATGGAGACCCATATGTATTCTTGAAGATGTAGCACTAGGTGCAGTGTCACCCTTTATATCCTCTTCTATCTTTTCTGTCTCAATTGCCAATGCTTATTCTAAATCCCAGCACAAATTTGGTTCATTTTCATATGTTGAAGTCTACCTTAGGATGCCAATGACCATGACTCCACAATTAGAGCTACCACTACTATAACTAACTACTGGCAATTTTATACACGAGTGCTGTCTTGGTCAAGTTATAAGCAACCTAAATCTAGAAGACTTCATGGCAGTGCTCAGGGTCCTGTGCTTAGGCCCACTACTTAACTGGGGCCTCCTGCATTTCCTACTACTGTATACAGTGTACATCATTCATAGCAACATTGCAATGTGAAGATTGGAGATTTTACAAAGTATCTTCTCTGCAAAGATCATTAAAATTTCTCTTGCTTTAGAGCAGTTAAGTGTTTTGAACATGCGTGCAGTATAAGATTTCTTTAGCCTTCCATTTTAGATATTTCACCTGCCTTTAAAGGAAAGACACTAAAAGAGTATTCCAAGAGATTGAAAGCATTTTGTAAAGTAGATCAATGGGAGTAGCATCACTTTAAAGTTCCGGGTTCACATAATTCACCCTGTACTTTTAGTAACCGAGACTAAATTTGCATTATATAAACTAAACATTAGGATCATAATCACTAACCTTTTATCTCGTGCATGCTTCAGATCACTTTTAATCTTACTTCAGTTAGCCGTTCACAAAGCACATCACCGCCAAATTAAGTTCCCCATTGCCTTCAGATTTCACTTTATACTTTTCAACATCCCTACTGAAACCCGGAACTAGGTTTTATGTCTAAAATGAGAACAGTGAAAACCTTGCAGGATAGTGCTTTTGTGTGGGAGGGCTGGAGTTTAGTTTTCTGTTCAACCATTGTGTGAACACTATCTAGGAATACTAATGTTTTATAATAAAATTATATTGGCAAATATTTTCTTAAACACACTACAATTTATATTAAATCTTAATTTATTTGTTTCATGTTTGCAGCAAAGGATGTGCATTTTCCCAGCAGCTAATTAAGCTTCAAAACCAACTTCATGCTGCCATAAGGTAACAATGGCATTTTCTTTTAAATAAGGCACTGCAGACACTATTTCTGGTGTCAACACAAGGTCCTGCAATCCTTGTGTTAAATATGGAGAGGGGGAAGAAAAAATCCAAGCAAAAAGCATATGGAGAATCATTGAAAAATCAAACACTAATATTTAATGAAGCAGAAAGGATCTTCCAAGACTATCCTCAGCCCTATTAACATTCCCTCACACTCAAACTATTGCCACATCCCAATTACCTACTACCGGCACAGTACTTGTGCTATTCGCACAAGTCAAGGTTAAAGGCTTACATGGGTAACACTTTAAACCATGGTTAAGTCATAAAAATGTGTTCACATTTTTGTATAAACTTAAAAAAATACCTTTTATGATTAAATAATCTTACCTTTACTATCAACTAATCACCAAACCAAGAAAGTTTAGCAACAGAAAATCACTTGCATGCAAGACTTGCAGAATTACATCAGCACACAAAAAGACGAGGCAAGAAAGACACCAGAAATACCTCCAAGACAATCCATTCCAACTTTTAAATTATGGTAAGAAACCCATGGTGGGGGGGGGGGGGAGGGAACAAATCTGCAGTGCAGTAATGTTCCATTGGCACTGCAATGGAACATTATGTGGAATCAATAACATCACATGGCAGCACAGTATATGTATTTTTTTTTACAGTAAATTCAGTTTTCCAACTTTGATACGTATATAATTTTAGCCATCACTGTAGTTACCCCCAAAACTGAAGAGAAGCTGAACTATTGTCAACAATATGCCATCTTTAGACTACCAGAACATTCCATCCAGCTGGAAATTTTAACGATGCTTCAAGATGTGGAAATTCACAATGCTTTAACAACTTCTCTTTAAAAAAAGTGTCAAGTTATGCACACTGCATTGCCTGTTAGTAACATTGCTCTGCAGAGAACTTGCAGTGAACCAATTACGCAAAATTTTAAATCCAACATTATAACCCATCAGCAGTCTACTTATCAGCACACACATCAAGACAGGAACTTGTGACCGACACTAGAGATGAAAACGGCTTCTCTGGACAAATAAATCTTTTGAGAGCAAATGATATACCTGGTCTCATGAAGGCACCAAGCTCCTGGGCTTCCAATGGCTCTACTGACAACAGCCCAGTCCGCCACCCTCCTGCTCTCTTTGCCATACTCTCATGTCCCGCGCTCTCTTTACCCAAGCATCTTTAAATGGATGCTTCAATGTGCCAATTCATTTACTTTACTCAAAATAATCCATTGTTAAAAATAGAAGGTAGTGTGCCAGTGTGCCAAGTAATTTGTCCAACTACTGTACAACAATAATTATAATTATACTGATTAGATACAGCATTCCCATTCATTAGATTGCCACCGACCAAAAAGACTAATATGTATAAGCTAACTTTATCAAGAAGCATTTAAAAAAAAAATAATAAAAATTTAAGTGGAAGCAAGTATTGATCCTCTTGCAAGCCAATGCTAGCGTGTAAGTCTGCAGGCAGTGGGAGGAGAAGAGAGGGGAGGAGAGGAGGCAAGCAGACAGCCACTCCTGAGCTAGAGAGGTGGTTGCCATGGAAACTGTATACGCAACAGGCACCTTTTGCTGTGTTGCCAAAGTTTTACATTACTTAGCATTAAAATTACAGCATATGCAACTGTTTTCAACATAAAATTGCATACTGTACACATTACTGAATGATAATATAAGAGACAGTAAATTTAAGTAACAGTTGCCAAGTGTCATTGGCATCACTGACTCCAGACGTCAATACTGACCGTCCCCCCCCCCCCACTCCACCCCTTACACACCAGCCCACATACACCCACGCATTTCACTACTCCCTGCTGACAGTTGCAAACAAGCAGGAATAACAATGAACTAGAAAATGGTTATGAATTACTGCATATGAAAAATTTAAATGAACAAAACTATAGTACTGTAATGTACTGGTAATATAAAATTTAAGGTAAAATTATGGAACTGCACATTTCCTAAACCCTAAACACCAATTAAATGTGAATAAAATAACCTTCCACAGGTAAAATTATTAATGTCATTGATTGACTTCTCTGGCGTTCTCTCCCTGACCAGAGGCCATCCCAGAAACCACCATATGGCAGCCCATCTTCCCATTTAGGCAGTACTGTACTAGCAGTAATTATGTGGATCATTACACAGACTGTATATTAACATAATGGACAATTTGATACTATTGACTTTACAAACAGAAAAGTTTGTATTTGTTGATAATAAAACCTAACCATCCTAGCCCCAATAAGTGTAGGTTAGACATGCATATGAAAGATTGGGCGGATATAAATAGGAGCCGCCTCGTATGGGCCAATTTGCCAGCTGCAGTTACCTTCATTCTTACCTTGATGTTATTAAGATGCCCTAGTCTACACCTATGCAATAATGAGCAAATAGTTCTAGCTTTTAATTTGCTAGAACATTATCACTCACAGGGGATGAGATAAAGAGTAATATAAGGGTATATTATGCTTATGCAAGACCAGTGCAACATTTAAACAATTTAAAATACAAGCAGTGAATTATTAGTCATACATATATTACATGCAGTCAGTCTACAGACCTGCAACCACATTACTAGTGGACAACCTTTTAGAACTTTACTGCGCTACTGTTAAAAAGTGTAACCAAGACACTTTTCATTCCTTTATTTAAGACCTTAAATCTATGGCAATATTCATTTTATTCTAGTGATCTCCCCCCCCCCCAATAACTCCAAATAAATATTAAAACCTTTAAAAATACTGTATTCTACTCAAAGCTCACAAATGACCTTCCCAACTGATGTACTCAGGGTATGGAAATCTGATTGTTTCCTCCAACCCCCACATAGTAGGCACCCTGCAGTCTTTGGAGACTACGAACGTTGAGCTCTGGTTATTACGGCTAAAGTGTCCTCTCTACAGAGCAAAGCCTGGATAGGACACCACGAGCATAGCTCTCATCCTGTAATTACACTTGGGTAATTACACACACACACAACCAGTCAATTGACAGTCGAGAAGTGAGACCAAAGAGCCAGAGCTCGACCCCCGCAAGCACAACTAGGCGAGTATACACACACACACACACACACACACACACAGGTCCATGTTAGGCAACCCATTTTTACTTAACCAGTCATGTACATACCATGTCTAACCACCAGTAAACAACTCGGCAATTTCACATTATGTGCCACCCAGTTGGGCGAGTGTGGAGCAAAACTAGTAACTTACTCACCATAGATGCAAAGTGCCTTGTATAGTGACTTGCGAGCCTCTTTTTGAATCACTCGTGACATAAAAGATTATCGACATGTAAATGTATATATAAATGATTGTACAGGTATATACATGTACACACACATATATACAACATTAATAATTGTGTAACTACCTTCAAAAAGTGTCACTTGCTTAGCTAAATGAACCATGGGGTTCAGTTCCTGAACCAATGTGTCTCAGTAACCCTTTCACCACTGCCCATGAGATGGGTATGGGGTGCATAAAGAAAAAATCTAAATCACATATCAAGTAATTTGTTCTAGGAATCAACAATATTTCCAAAACACCTTACCCAGATCTTTTCATAGCTTCTTATCGTGTCTTAATATAATGCCATATTAATTTCCCTTTCATGCATCTGTATACAGTACAATACTTCAATTTACACATCACCTTTCCAGAATGCAAATCCAACTTATTCATATAAAAGATTCCAATTCCAGAGATTTACCACTTGCCTATACAAATTTAAGACAGTATATCCATTCTATAAAACAGCAACCATAACTAGTAATAATATGGGGCCCAACAAGACCAAGATAAAGCTGAAGAATATTGCAAGTCTTGCAAACATGTCTAGATATGAATCCCAGTATATTATTTATCATTTTTCCCGTATTGACATTTTGATTGGTTTGGACAAACATTCACGACCTTGTTAAACTTTACTTGGCAAATCCAACATTATATCGAGCTAGTAACCATTTTCCTAGACTGAACCCTACAGTTATCTCTGAATTTAATTTTAGAACCCTTTCTATATCCTAGCAATTTTAAGTAAATTTATCTCCACCCCTCCCCCCTATATTTTTTAATCTTCAAATTTGTAAATGCTGCCATTTTATCAAACATATGGTAAGCAAAGTCAAAATACAAGAACACTGGGGCACACCAGTTTCTCCACTGCCTTAACTCATTTATGATAACCCATTTTCCTTTCAAATAACCATGCCTTAATCAAACTTATTACCTTCCCTCCACTATACTATGTGCACTTACCTTTCCAAGTTATTCACATTATCAAAAGCTCTATGCAAGTCAAGATAAAGATTGACAATCATCCCCCTTATCAACTGCTTGAAATATGCTGAAAAGCAAGTACTGTATTGCAGTAAATTGGCTAAACACAAGTTGCCTTCCGTTAAATTGTTGAATCATTTTATTAATGATTTAAGATCTTTGCAATTTTATATTTTTTTATAGGCATCATAAGATAATTGGCTGGCAATTCAATGCAAGTGATGTTATTTCCAACTAAACCTCCCATTTGCATATATACCTGTAATTATGTTTTTGTGGGGATGATCATACATATTTAACGTAATTGACAATTTGATACTTTAATGTTGCTACTGTATACATCAAGTCTAGAAAAACTAAAATCCAAACATTCTTAGGTCTGATATAGCACACATGTACTATATTAGGCATAGGACTAAGGTTTGGTTTTATTAGTAACAAACTTTCCCAATTTGTCCAATTTCAACAACCAATTTTTACCTTCTAATTGTTCATTACATTAATGTGCAATGGCCCACATCATTACTGCAAGTACAGTAATATCTAAAAAGGAGGATGGACTGGTTATTTCATACAAATTAGCACTACATCTGCAGCTATGATTTTAATAGACCTACTCTGAACAACTGAATAGTGAAGATAAGCAATTGTGCTATGCAATCTTTTGCATATTTTTATCAAATGGACAAAGGCTCAAATCAACAAGTTTCACACATTTAAGAGAACATGATTTTGCCAAGAAGTCTTACAAGATTTTAAAGTACTTTGGCAATTACATAAAAATTGTTAATTAGAAACTTCCTACCATGTAGCACATCAACATTTTAAATATTTTAAGCCATTAAGACAACTTGTACATTCCTTCAGTCACCCATATCAATGGATTTATGTAAAGTTCTAGTGGTGAACTTAAAAAGGGGCCAAATCTAAATTCAAGGAACGTTTATAGCACCAAATTGTTATAGCTCTTACAAGCTTAATTGTAATTTATTGGCAGAGCCAACACTTCACACCACCATTCGTTGGTAATGAATTTTCCAATCCATAAAATGTTTAAGTATATGGAGAACCGATTTAAGAATTTAGAAATGGGATGCAGATTAAAGTGCTATACTGACAATCTTCTACCTATTCATGGGCTCAAATGCCATAACACCCAACAAGCCATTTTCCAATATGGTGTGTCTAGTTATGTTTGTTTCTTTAAGATTGCCATCTGCACTTTGACTGCCCCCATTCATTTTATGTCTGTCCCCATTCATGTACTTGCCAGACAATATGTCTTGCACATACTAAATGTACACCGTGGAAAAGTTACAATCTGAAAATTTATAAATTTACCAGATTTAAATTCCATTGGGTTCCCAATTATTTGATTCCCTGAAGGTTTTATGTAGTTGCTAAAGTGTGAATCTCTCTAGGAATGTTCAGACCAATAACTAATTAACACTTAAGTTACCCAACTTAATGGTCATCATTACACATACAATTTGTAAATGCCTACATCAGGCTGGACAAGGCCTGCAAATGTATACTTAAGGTATAAGTCATCCAAACCATTCCTGGAAATTTTTAAGGCAGTTACATCAGAATGAAGCATGTATTGATTTTTTTGCCAACACCCACAACACGCACCTCAACACACCATCTCTCAGGAAACTGCACCCCTGGTACACATGAAGGCTCACTACGCCACACACACACTATCACGTGCAGGAATACAAGCCATTACTGTACCCAGTACAGCACTAGGGTGGTGTAGGGGGCCACGCCACCCCCGCCCACAAACATATGTTCCATCAGAAATTAAACATTACAGAAGCAGACTGTTGATGTAGTCTTAAAATATTAAACCAAATGCTAAATACACGTCAAAGCCGAGTAGCCAGACTGCCTTCTACCACTCACTTGGGTAATATAATCCTCCGGACGTGTTCACCCCCCACAGGTCCCGTCACCCCGGGTCTTAACACACACACCCTCCAGGCACACCCACACACACGCCACACACACAATACTCACTGTGCCAGCTGAATAAAATCATGAAAGTGCCGTCCAGGGCTGTGTTTTGTGGTAATAATTGGCTAGGGAGCCCGAGTCCTCGCGCACCACCAGTAGAATGGCGCCCGTCGCTTCACCTCCTCTCACCAGCAAGTCCTGCAACACAAACACCCATCCCGGGCTGGTTCTTACGCTCACACACAACCTCCACCACCTACGCCCCAAAGCAACACTTCCGGTGAACAACTGTCGTGTCTGGAGGAAAAATCTTGGGGAAAATATTGTCATGGAGGGCAGAGTCTAAGAGGCTAAGTGAGCATGCGCCATCTTTATTACGCATTATTCGAATTTTTGCTTTCATCTGGCATGCAAAAACCTGCATACACCAGAACCACTTACTTTAAAATTGTTGGATCAAGTTAAGAAACGGCCTCACCTGCCACAGGTATGTGTAAATAGCGATGAATTGTGGGGAAGAAGTCAAGACAACGCCACTACTCCTCGCTAAAGTAAAGATTGGTCGCTACACCTTCTCAAACACATCATCAACTTAATCACCAATACTAAATATCTTTATTTTTAGTCTTGGTTTGCAATATTTTTATAATGAAATTACTTACCTCAGTTTTTCTTATGTTTCGAAAGAAATTAATGAATAAATACTTATGTGTATATTTGAACAATCACATGTAAATTAACTTTCAAATTCTTATATTTCTCTCCAAATTAGACAATATACAATAAACAATTATTTTCTCAAGAATATATTAATTCTAGCATATATAAGTTCCTAAATATGTAAATACGGTATATTATAAAATATTGATAGATGGATGACCACTAATAATTCATGTATCATGATGATCTAATTATTAATTTAATCATAATCCAGTTATTTAACAAGATATTTTCTATATGTAATTTCATAAAATTGTAAATCTATTGCAATAAATATTGGATTATATAATATGTATTTATTAAAACAAGAGAATACCTTCCACTAATGCAGATTTTATTCAATTATGTTCGTAATAAATAATCGTGCATTTGTCAAAAGTATTTATATAGCAATTATAATAATAATATCCAGTAATTTCCTTGTATGTATGAAGAAACAATATATTTAAATAAATCTTTTTGACAGAAATTGAGCTTGGAAGGGATTCAAAGATGACAAATCCGAAGAATCTAATTGAGTCAAATTTACTAAAAGAGCATTAAAAATAGCCAAAATAAGCATTTAAATAAGATTTAAAGAGGATTTATAATAGGTTTGAATAAACTTTAAATCCCCTGATAAAATACTTCTATCTCTGATAGCAGCATGGAGTAGCAGTTGGAGAAGACTGTAAACACAGGCTTGGACGCAAACTGCACTAAAGAGAAGACAGACTCTTTAACACGCCAGGACACTGCAGGAAGAAGGGAAAAATAACAACTCGACATTACAAACAACAGTCAACTCAATCCAAGATAACTGAGGGGATAATCCTCCAATCCCCCCCTAAAGCAGAGGAGGACGGAGTCTTGTGTCTACGAGATTAAACACTATTTTGCAATTATAAAACATGGCTACATTTACGTGCCTGAGCTGTCACGTGGCTTTCAGTGATGGTGATGGGCAGCGCGATCACTTCCGATCTGATTGGCATCGTTACAACTTGAAGAGGAAGGTGGCAGAGCTTCCTCCTGTGTCGAGAGAGACTTACAATGAACGTGTTGCCCAGAGTCAACCCCAGCAGGTTAGCAGGTGTTGTTGCACATGTTGCCCAGAATTAGCCCTAGCAGGTGTTGCACATGTTGCCCAGAATTAGCCCTAGCAGGTGTTGCACATGTTGCCCAGAATTAGCCCTAGCAGGTGTTGCACATGTTGCCCAGAATTTGCCCTAGCAGGTGTTGCACATGTTGCCCAGAATTAGCCCTAGCAGGTGTTGCACATGTTGCCCAGAATTAGCCTTAGCAGGTGTTGTTGCACAGGTTGCCCAGAATTAGCCTTAGCAGGTGTTGCACAGGTTGCCCAGAATTAGCCCTAGCAGGTGTTGTTGCACATGTTGCCCAAAATTAGCCCTAGCAGGTGTTGCACATGTTGCCCAGAATTAGCCCTAGCAGGTGTTGCGCATGTTGCTCAAAATTAGGCCTAGCAGGTGTTTGCACATGTTGCCCAAAATTAGGCCTAGTAGATGTTGCACATGTTGCCCAAAATTAGGCCTAGCAGGTGTTGCACATGTTGCCCAAAATTAGGCCTAGCAGGTGTTGCACATGTTGCCCAAAATTTGGCCTAGCAGGTGTTGCACATGTTGCCCAAAATTAGGCCTAGCAGGTGTTGCACATGTTGCCCAAAATTAGCCCTAGCAGGTGTTGCACATGTTGCCCAGAATTAGGTCTAGCAGGTGTTGTGTATGTTGCCCAAAATTAGGCCTAGCAGGTGTTGCACATGTTGCCCAAAATTAGGCCTAACAGATGTTGACGTGTTGCCCAAAATTAGGCCTAGCAGATGTTGCACATGTTGCCCAAAATTAGGCCTAGCAGATGTTGCACATGTTGCCCAAAATTAGGCCTAGCAGATGTTGCACATGTTGCCCAAAATTAGGCCTGGCAGTTGTTGCACATGTTGCCCAAAATTAGCCCTAGCAGGTGTTGTGTATGTTGCCCAAAATTAGCCCTAGCAGGTGTTGTTGCACATGTTGCCCAGAATTAGGCCTAGCAGGTGTTGCAAATGTTGCCCAAAATTAGGCCTAGCAGGTGTTGCACATGTTGCCCAAAATTAGGCCTAACAGGTGTTGCACATGTTGCCTAGAATTAGACCTAGCAGGTGTCACATATATTGCCCAGAATTAGGCCTAGCAGATGTTGCATATGTTGCCTAGAATTAGACCTAGCAGGTGTTGTGTATGTTTCCCAGAATTAGGCCTATCAGGTGTTGCACATGTTGCCTAGAAGCTTTATTTTAGTTAGGTTAGAGTAGAATAGGTTTGTGTAAAGAATACTAGTGACAAAGTGACGTAGTTTTTGCCTATTTTGAACCCTACCCATGGCAGGTGTTCAAAATGTTAACCCTGTTAACATGTTAAATGTTAACCCTTTAACCCATGATAAATGTTAACTCAGGCCCATCATATACTCACCTAGTTGTGCATGCGGGGGTTGAGTTGTGGCTCTTTGGTCTCGCCTCTCAACTGTCGGTCAACTGGTGTACAGATTCCTGAGCCTACTGGGCTCTATCATATCTACATTTGAAACTGTGTATGGAGTCAGCCTCCACCACATCACTTCTTAATGCATTCCATCTGTTAACTACTCTGACACTAAAAATGTTCTTTCCGTTGTCCCTGTGGCTCATGTGGGTACTAAGTTTCCATCTGTGTCCGCTTGTTTGCGTACCACCCTGTGTATACCACACCCGCATATGTGTGGGTATTGCATGTACTGTATTGCCAAGTTGCAACCACCACATCTACTACTTTGATAACCATCACCATTACAGCCAGCCTCTGAGCTCACACAACACCACCCTGGTGGCTCTCATAACAGTTCAGCAGATAAAAATGTGTGAAGAATCTATTGGGAAAACAGGTTGGTGGGGTGGAGCACATGCAATCAAATTGCATGAAATTAAAGATTTTATTTTTGCTTTCAGACCACATCTATCGCTCTCAAGAAAATACCTTGCAGACCATGCAAGAAAACCTTTACCAATCAGAATGCCTATGACAATCACATGAAATCAAAGAAACACATGGAGGTCGTCATTTCACATGCTGAAGGTAACTGATCATATGCGGGAATATTGTCGTTAAAACTGTATATCATTTCTTCATATTTCTTTGGTAATTATGAATTGGTAAAATATATCTGAGTTGTGTAGCATCACTCATATTATTGGTGGCTTGGAATTTTGAAATTGGTGGCATTTCTCAGACATCATTACTTTTGATAAAAAAAAAAGTTTTTCAAAGATTTTTTTTATAAGTTAACCTTATTCAAATCCTAACTTACAGCCATATTCAAGTTACAATTTTGCCACAAAAACTTAATACAGCATACATGAGTTTCAGCAATAAATAGACATGGACAGCAGGACTTCATCTAAATCCATTGTTTTATTAAACGTATGGCTTGATAATATGCCCAACCACTTGAGCTGGACGGTACAGCATCAGTCTACCTTCATGCAGGTCGGCGTTCAATCCCTTCAGTTCCCTTCCTTTCGATAATATGGCAAGAGCAAATAACACTTACACCCACATATTTGAATTGGTAAAATTTGAATGTTTATTATCTGTCCTAGAGCAGAGCACACATTCGTCTGCTATATTGTATTGCTAACTACATCATTTCCTACTCAACAGGCCTTTCATTGGCAACCAAATTCAAAAGCACTACCTGGAATAAGGTTTACTCAAAAGGAACCTTCCTAAAGGTCTAACCTAGGAATCCAAGAAAGTAACTGGTTGACAATCAGCACTAGCATTACCAGAGAAGAACCCCCAAAAAGATAGCCGAGGCTGTTGAAAGAATCGAGATACATAAAGAATCTGGCAAGCCCACAAAACAAATGCACTAGGAAAATGACTTCCATAACAGGAACCAACTAATGCAAGCAAAACCAGTCACCTAAAACTTGGAAGCATAAGCACTCATGATACACTGGAAACAGGGATAGGTGCCCATACAATGCAACAGCTTGAACCACCAGACATGAGAACCATTGTATTGTATACAACAGATGTGACTCCTACACTAGCATGCATACATGTTGTGGGGTTTTTCTATTTTGCTTTCCCGACTGCAATGCGTACATCGCCAATGTACATGTGGCAGACGCTTCACGAAGCTGGGTGGAATCAGCAGAGAAAATATAAGAGCAGCCATACAAGGCCTGGAAGCAAGGTCGAGTTAGTCCTTGAGGGTCTCTTCTCAGACTAGCCTCGCCTGGTCCTGGTCCACGTTGATCGTTGGAATCTCCTCAATGCTTGAAACACTTTAAGGGACTCCTAGGGTCCTCATCACATTTATAGTTTAGTGAATTCGGCAACTCTCTGTTGGAGACACCTGGAGCTGAAGGTTTGGGTAAATAGTTGGCAGTATTCAGAAGTGGTTCAACGGATTGAACGATAATGCTATTGGCCTAGTACAGTACAGTATTATATATTTAATGTGTGGTACACTTGGAATGAATTTTGAGAGTTATTCTATTCCCCAAGCCCAGCCTAGGTCCTTAAATAGTTTTATATCTACTGTGGTATGTTCTTCAGGGAAATTCATTGTTTTCTTCTTTCAGAAACAAATAACAAAAAGAATATGCATCACCATGCCAACCACAAGCAAGAGGAAGCTGATGAGGAAGATGATGAAGATATGGAGGTAAGACAACTGATAATGACGATGTATTGTATTTATATTTTGTCAACCTATCTGTTGACTATACAGGGTCCCTAAGATTCACTACATTATACCCTGGCAAGATGTATGGTCATCAAACTTTGCAACTTATACACTATATTCTTGCAGAATGCAGGTTCACCAATCTTTGTTATATCCTGATAGAATATATGTTCGAATATATAAGGGGGCCTTGTAGCCTGGTGGATAGCGCGCAGGACTCGTAATTCTGTGGTGCGGGTTCGATTCCTGCACGAGGCAGAAACAAATGGGCAAAGTTTCTTTCACCCTGAATGCCCCTGTTACCTAGCAGTAAATAGGTACCTGGGAGTTAGTCAGCTGTTACGGGCTGCTTCCTGGGGGTGGAGGCCTGGTCGAGGACCGGGCCGCGGGGACACTAAAGCCCCGAAATCATCTCAAGATAACCTCAAGATGTTCACCAAGCTTTGTAACATTATACACTATCTACGCAGAATACAGGTTCACCAAGCTTCACAACATTCTACACTATCCAGGCAGAATACAAGTTCACCAAGCTATGCAATATTATACACTATATTAAGGCAGAATACAGGTTCAAGCTTTGCAACATTCTACACTATCCACGCATAATACAGGTTCACCAAGCTTCACAACATTACTGAAAATGGTGTTTTCCATGGTGGAAAACACCACCATGGAAGCCGCTAACACTGTTCATTTATTTATCATCTATATAAATCGGAGATGGCATAGGTGGGCAAGGGTGGTGCTCAGAGCTACAACTGGATATGCTCGCTGTATCACTTGCATCCGACCTTTGTGTTAGGTCCTTATTGCCCCTAGCTTCACCAGTATCATGACCCTTATGTTCTTCAAACAATAAGGTTTGAATTTCACCAACAGCGCGCGATCTTTCAACAAGGAGTCGGACAGGTGTTTGGGAGCCAGAGATGCGTGCGCCACCCAGTACTAACTCAGGCAGTAGCCCTAGGGCATTCTGGAAATTTTTTCCAAGATGGCTGCCTCTCACTGGAGGTTCTAAGAGTCCATTTCGTACACAACCTACCACGCACACATTTTGAATGGGTACAAAAAAATCAAACCGTTTTCTCGGTTGGCACAGTCCAGTGGTTAATGTAATGAAACACCATTTTCTTGGTGAGAGCCGGAGGCTCCCTGGCAACCCTCCCTCCCTCCCTCTGGTCGGTGTTTTTTCGCGCATTTTCACATCCAACCTCAGAACTGGGGTGTAGATAACTGGTGCAGGGGTCTGGGGTTTCCCCTTCCCCTCCAGGAGAAGGGGGTGGGGGGCTGCGCAGACAGCAACATGGTGACGTCATGCTCGTTTGCTCATTTTCAATTTGGTAGTTCTGTCCACTAGTTCAGCTTTCAGTAGCAATATTTTAATGAGAATGGGGGGGGGTTTGTTTTGGGGGCGCTTACCTTTCTGAACCCGGAGGCTTCCCGGAGCCTCTGGGTCTCACCCAGAAAATGGCGTTTCATTACATTTAACGCTGGTTTTTTTTTCCAGATTGAGGAGGTAGATAGCGATGAATGGGAAGGGGAGGCGATAGAGTTACTCGATTGTCTGTTTTGTTCCCATCACTCCAACACGCTGGAGGAAGAGTTGCATCATATGACGGAGAAGCATTCTTTCTTTGTTCCTGACCTGGAGTTTTGTGTTGATGTGGCAGGCCTCATCACTTACCTAGGTGAAAAGGTGAGTTTTTGATTGACGTGAAATTATAAATAATTTAGCAAGCATGTAGTATCCATTAATTTTAATATTTTTGCGCAATGTTAATGATTCACATTCAAATGCAAAATACATTATATTGAAGGGCTTTAAAATGTTAAATGGACAAGAACTTTGTATACAGGTATTATTTTATAATTGGAATAAATAATGTATATTATTTTATAGCTGAAATAAATGTCATATTTTATTTCATACAGCAGTACTTGCATAGAGTACAGTATATCTGAGGTATTTGTTCATGGCACAGATTGGGTGTGGGTTTGAGTGCCTCTCTTGCAAGTGGTCTGCTCGGCGCTGTCCGACACTCGACTCCATACGCAAACACATTATAGACAAAAGTCATTGTAAACTGGTGCTGGAAGGTGACAGTTTGGTAGAGTTTGCAGAATTTTACGACTATTCTTCATCTTACCCAGATGCGGGTTAGTACATGTGCTCTAATGCCTTTTGTCTCAAATTTTAATTTTAATTTCTTAACAAGTATTTGTTTTTGATTAGGCTGATTAGGGAGGTTTGCTGTTGCTAAATGTGCAGGATTTTCAGCTTAGTGCAAAATGCTGGAAATGTAAATGCACAACTTGTCACAAAAAAAAATAATAGAAAGCAACTATTGGTCAAACGTACAAAAATGTCTTATGCACCTATAAAAAATTAGTGCTTTGAGCTATTAATTTTGTAGAGGACACTAGAATGAAGGTAACTACCAAACCTATACTTTTCTAGGCCTAGTATAACATTTGTGTACTAAATTAGGCCTAGGGGGAGCCGGTCAGCCGAGCGGACAGCACGCTGGACTTGTGATCCTGTGGTCCTGGGTTCGATCCCAGGCGCCAGCGAGAAACAATGGGCAGAGTTTCTTTCACCCTATGCCTCTGTTACCTAGCAGTAAAATAAGTACCTGGGTGTTAGTCAGCTGTCACGGGCTGCTTCCTGGGGGGTGGATGCCTGGTTGAGGACCAGGCCGTGGGGACACTAAAAAAAAAAAGCCCCAAAATCATCTCGAGATAACCCAAGACAGGCATGTCATTTGGAGTATTCCAGCAGTGCAAAATGTGAACTTTTGGATGTCCAACAATCATATTTTTGTACAATGAACCAATAGTTGCCATAAGTACTGTTCTGTCATTTATAGAGGATGGGCTGTAAATACATTGCTCAACCCTCAAAGTTAGTACTGGATAGTATTGAAATTAAACTATCTTTGTAACTTTTCAAATTTGAGATTAATTATGTTTTATTCATATTAGGTAAATAATTTTTGTGTTGAGTAAACTAAAGTATAAACAATGTTTGCTATATAATGTAGAAGCACTTCAACGTACAGTAAATAAATTTATAATTAAAATGTAATTAATGGTTTTTACTTGAAAAGGCTTTTCAATTACCAGCAGCCTTATATAAACACATTAGATATGTCATTTTTGAAATTCAGAAGTATTTTGCTAGAGCTGCAGTGTTGTGCCTACTACTGTATTAGACTAGCCTTAGTCTCTCCATATTCATTCCTTGTGACCAACCACTTGGGCTGGACGGTGGAACAACGGTCTTCCTTCATGCAGGTCAGCATCTAGTCCCCGACCATCCAAGTGGCTGGGCACCATTCCTTACCCCCATCCCATCCCAAATCCTTATTCTGATCCCTTCCAAGTGCTATATAGTTGTAATGGCTTGGTACTTTCTCCTGATAGTTCCCTTCACTTCATGCCTTGAGGTTGGCTTATCTATGTTCTGAGCACCAGTGTTCCTGTGGTTACCTAAGTGTAGTTACAGGATGAGAGCTACGCTCGTGGTGTCCCGTCTTCCCAGCACTCTTTGTCATATAACGCTTTGAAACTACTGACGATCTTGGCCTCCACCACCTTCTCCCCTAACTTGTTCCAACCATCTACCACTCTGTTTGCGAAAGTGAATTTTCTTATATTTCTTCGGCATCTGTGTTTAGCTAGTTTATATCTATGACCTCTTGTTCTTAAAGTTTCAGGTGGTCCAGTCTCTAAGCTGGCCAGACTGTTTTAAAGATGAGCTGTATGAACAGTCACCAATGTTTGCATTCCACAGGAGAGGGAGCCGGACCTGATGATGAAGTACAGCAAGCTGTGATCCCAGGAGATGGGTTTGAACTGGTGCTGCCCTCTGGAGCTACTGTGGGCCATAGGTCTCTCTGTAGATATTATCGGTGAGATACTCTTTACTGTGATGGGCAGCACATTCATTGATACCCTAAGTACAGTAATGTATGGAAATAGATGTAGAAACTAGGACATAACTTCCATACTTACTGTAATCACAACTAATTCATGCTCATATTTTGTTAATTTATTGCCTAGTACCACTAGAAAGCACTTTATTGTTGTTGACATAAGTAAGGACAAGAAACTTGTTACTAAATTAGCCAATTATTTTTCAATTTGTCACACCCCCCTTCACTGCCCCAATCTTGGACAGGTGTTTTGGATATTAAGAGATAACTCAGTATCCAGAATAGTTGTCTCTTCCATTTTGGTATTTTGTGTTTGGCATTCTGTTGCCAGCCTTGTTACCCTTGAATCCTTTTCTTGAACAGGTTTTTCCTACTTCCACCAGACTCTCGGCCACTTGTACACAGGATTCAAGATGGCTGCCTGCAAGAAGAAAAATAAAACAGAGCTAGATTTTGGTGGATTTAATGAGGAAAGCAGTGATATAAGCAGTCTCCACATCAAGTTGTCAAAATTGGACATTATTGTGAACCATCATGTAGAAATAATCAGTAAATTGAGAGAGCAAATTGACATAGTAAACGAGAGGGTCGTATAACAATAATGAGAGAGAGATTATAGCGAGAATGGATAAAGATAGACCATGACTGTTGATAGTCAGGGACTTCAACTTGAAATCCGTAGACTGGGAATCATATGAAGCTAGAACAGAAGATTTTTAGACCTGTAGATATGTAGACTTCACCCTGGAAACATTCTTGAATCAACATGTTAAACAAGCTACGAAGATGAGGGAAGGGGACGTTCCCTCCATGCTAGATTTGATATTTACCAGGAAGGAGGAAGATATTGGAACATATTGGAGGGGTGACAGGTAAGCTTTTAACATGGATGAAAAATTTCCTGACAGAAAAATGAGGGCTGTAATCAGAGGCAATGAATCGGATTGGAGGAATGTCATGAGTGGTTCAGGGTTCTGAACCACTCGTGACATGAACTGAACCACAGAGTTCAGTTCTTGCACCGGTAATGTTCATTGTCTACATAAACTATCTACCAGATGGAATACAGAATTATGTGAACATGTTTGCTGATGATGCTAAGATAATAGGGAAGATAAGAAACTTAGATGATTGTCATGCCCCTTCAAGAAGACCTGGACAAAATAAGTATATGGAGCACCACTTGGCAAATGTAATTTAATGTGAATAAATGCCATGTTATGGAATGTGGAATTGGAGAACATAGTCTCCACACAACCTATAAATTATGTGAGAAATCTTGAAAGAATTCTGATAAAGCAAGAGATCTATGGGTGGTTCTTGATATAAAACTATCACCTGAGGACCACATAAAGAAAATCGTGCAAGGAGCTATGCTACTCTTTCTAACTTCAGAATTGCTTTTATATACATGGATGGCAAAATACTAAAGAAAAGGTTCACGACTTTTGTTAGGCCAAAGCTAGAATATGCAAGGGTTGTGTGGTGCAAATATCTTAGGAAGCATATCAACAAACTGGAAAATGCAATAACATGCAACTAGATGGCTCCCAGAACTGAAGGCCAAGAGCTACAGGGAGAGGTTACAGGCATTAAATATGCCAAAACTAGAAGAAGAAGAAAAGAGGCAATATGATCACTACATACAAAATAGTAACAGGAATCGATAAAATTGTTAGGGAAGCATTCCCAATACCTGTAGCTTCAAGAACAAGAGGTCATAGATTTAAACTAGTTAAATAAAGCTGCCGAAGAAATATATGAAAATTCACCTTCGCAAACGTAGTGGTAAATGGTTGGAACAAGTTAAGTGAGAAGGTGGTGGAGGCTGAAACTGTAATTTCAAAGCGTTATACAGTGTATCAGAGTACTGTACTGGGAAAATGGGGCAACACAAGCTTAACAAGAATCTTTAGTCCTGTAACTAAACTTAGCTAATTACATACAGAGATCACTCATTCTAACAGTGGCTTCAAATCTTGCTTTGTGTATATTGGATTTATTCAAAGTAAATATCAGCACAAGTGTGGCTAGTTGATTGTTATTCCTCATTTTTATAGGTTTCTCTAAGTTTGACTTCTGCTAACGGAAGTCAGATGTCATTGACTTCCCAGTACAAAAAAAAAAGTACCAAGGTATTGGTTTAAATTTGACCGGCAAAAAATGGAGGGAATCTACTGATACTTGAGTATACTACATCACACAGCCTGGCATCCTCATAAATATTAAACTACTACACCATTAACTATCATTAGTGCACTACTTTTATTGCACTTACTAACATTTCACCAATTATATTCATGCTCAACATTTCCTAGAGACCTTTGTTCACTGTATTCAATGTTTTCTCCTAGTCCATAAATTCAGAATACCCCATAATCTTTTTCATGTGCTTTCTCCTCTAGCTGTTTCAATTCATACACAGTGCAATGCACACTTTCCAGAACAGATTTGCTGATCCACTTCTCTGGACAAATGTTCAAAGGTTTAGCGAAGTGGGGGATGTGCGAATTTGCTTTGGAAGCAGGGCGAGAGTGCACGTACCTGTGGGGAAGATGTCCATCGTCTGATAAATCAAAATTACAATTTTACTAAGTGAAATTAGCTCATAGAGCATGGGAAATATTAAGGTATTAATGGTGGTGCTCTCAATATGGCTGATCAGTTTTTAATGTTTTCCATAAATGAACAGATTAAAAGAAAGAGTTGGGTCTTGGGAAACCATTGAGCATATACAGTATATATCAAATTCTGTGGTTTGTTTCTATTTTGAGTTGCCACTGTTATTGGTCACTTAGGTATGGGCTCATCTTCCTTTGAAAATGAGGTTGGTTACACGTTTCACTTAATTATTTCTATATGTGCATCATTAATGCCTGCAGCTCCCCAAAATTTCAACTTCTGCGCTGACATGCTCATCTCTTCCGTGTACAGTTTTACAAATATTTAATACTATTAATAACATTACCTTTTCTACCAATTTCTTTCTTGCACTTCCTATATAGTGTACTAGTATGTATATATATACTGTATATTGGATAACCAGCTCTTAAAAAACTCTGGTTATATTATCTTGAATGGATTTTTTGCCATATCCACAACCACAGGCAAATTTTAGAGAATAATTTGTTCATAAGTGCTTAATATTTCTTCAGGCAAAAGATAGATCCAAATCGGCAGGCGGTTGTTGTCAAGAAGAAGTCTGGTGCAGCTTTCCACAGTGTCATGTCCAAATATCGGGCGCTGGGCTGGAATGGTGCTACAAGAGCAGATATTGTGAGGTAAGTTTAATGTGTGTGTGTGAGTAGTGTCAGTAAATATCTTTCCATATCTAGATAAGGCGGTATTGTCATAATTCATGTGTTAAGGTAATTATCAGGAGAAAGTGCTAAGCCAGAATAACTATAAAGTACTGTACTTGGAAGGAATATGAGGACTAGAATCTGGGTTACAAACTATATGAAGAATTTTATGCTCATGTTAAAAATGGAGCTAAATCTGCCTTATAAATAAACTTTTGGAGTGTGGCTATCATAAAAGATGCCATTCTTCCTGTATGGCAAAAAAAAATGAACTCATGGTGTCACAATTTTGCTGACTTCATATAGGGGAAAGGGCTGTCATGTACGTGTTAGCTAGTCGATATGCTCGCTATTTTACTTAGTTTACACAATTGAATGACTCGCTTTATTTGCACATGATTGACAAAAACGTATTGAGTACTGAATACAGCCTACATTGTAATATATGTACACCTAATTGGTGTATATAAATCTGTTCCTGGCACAGCTCAAAGGAAGTGTCTTGCAACCCACTCCTTCGCTTACCTATCAGTGAGTGACTACTGGGGAGTAAGATCTAGCTCTTTATGCCTTGCCTCCTGGCTGTTTATACGTGATGCGCTAATTGCCTCTCAACATCAACTTTTTCAGCATATTTATTTTTTAAGGTTGTGCATAGAATTGTCTTCAACTGCCTCTCTTTTTTTTCTCTCTCCATGCTTTTCACTTGCTGACTACACACAGTGTGTGTGTGTGTGTGTGTGTGTGTACGTGTACTCTTATTTATACATGGTATATTTTATACAAAGTTTTCTGTATGCTATACATACCGAATATATTTGTACTGACTCGTCGGTGCTTTATTTGTAATTGTGGGATTTGAGCCATGTAATATTGTAATTATTTTCTTACTCTCCTGTACTAAACTTTTGACTTGCAGGAAATCACGAGACCTGCAGTTCATGGTGAAGATGCAGAACAAGCACAACATGAAGCTTGCAGTCAAGGGCAACAAGCTGTTTAAGCCAAGACCCCAGAATCCAATTTAAGTCACAGCCAATTTTTTTTTATGTATTATATATTGTGGACTCTTTTGTTTCTTTGTGTAATTCATAAGGATCATGAAGGAATTAAATTTTTTGTCTGTGATATCATGGTTTCTAACAAACATAATGCGCTGAATATTGTATAATTTTCCTACAGGCCCATTTACATAGTCTTTACAGAATACGTAGATGATGTATACAACACATTGTTTATATACTATATTCATTGTCAGTTAACTTTCTATTGTCTTTTCCAAAGTTATGGTTAGAGCCCCTGTTAGAAAAGAACTTGAAATCCAAGGATGTAAATTGTTATGCTCAACTATTTGTCAACCTTGGTTAATCGTGGAACTAGATTTGCATACTGTAACTTAGTTGCCACCAATTTTAAGATGCAGTTTTTGTTTAAGAACATACGTGTACCCCTTTTGTGCTATATATAGCTGGAACATGCATTAAAGTGTCCCAAAATAATAGATTTATTGGTAAATATTTATAAACTTTTTGATGGTAGTAGATGTGTTGATTACTAATTGTTCTGGGGAGCCATCCACCCTAAACCCTAAAGGAAGTTAATTGCCACAGCAATGTTTCTGTAAACTAATATTTTCATGGCAAACCCCAAGAGGAGTAAGTATATACAGTACCGGTATTAGAGAATAAATAGAGGCTGCTGTTGACATAGTACAGAATAAGGAAAAGTAGGCATGGAAATATCAAATTTTAGAGACTATAACTGTGTGAATTGTCAAGGGAAAAAAGTTTATTATATTGTATCATTTTCTCCACAGAGGACATGGGAAAATAAGTGATGTGTACTTGGAAGAGTTTTATTTCCCTGTAGGAAAACTATAATTATTTGTTATAAAATGCTGAATAAATACTGTATTTTTCTTTAATATTTTTATTTAATTTCAGCCTCAAAGTGTGTATTTATTGCTCAAGATCAATGCTATTATTGAAATACTTGATCTGGACCAGAGTTTAGTAGCAGTGTGCACATTCTATTATGTGGAAAAATATTGTAGTAAAATAATTAGATGATTCTAAGTACTATGTATATATTTATAACTATCAAAATACAAATGGAAAAAATTCTGCAAGTATAATTGAGGGACCTTTGATAAGCCAACAACTTCCTGTCTCCTCCATGGCTACTATAGATGGCAGATCTCTGGAAAATTCAGCTGTAGCAATGGGAAGAAGGGGTTGCTAACATTTTTCATATATTGAAGTACAAGAAAATTGTAATTCATTGTCTTGAAAAACTTTCAAGTTAATGAGTTTTGATCTTATGCATATTCAGTATTTTCAACAATGCTCTAAGAGTTAATGTGGAACTTAAACTGGGATCAAGATACAGTATACAATACCCTGAAAAGTTATTTTAAGTGATAGTAGATTTTAGTTTTATAGGCAACTTACACATCATATCTTTGGTCACATTATCATACAATACTATAATTACAAAATTTATATAGGAATAGTTTCCATTATAAAAATTTTGTTGCTTTAATGAAAGTAAAACCAAGAGCAAGTTTATCTGGCTTTATTAAACAATTTATAGAGGCCTATTTAAAGCTATATACAGTCACACCATTGTTGGTATTGAACTCGTATAAGAACACTGGGATATCACAGGAGACGTACATAATTGTAACACTTAATCATTCATTCTGTACACTATATATATTAAAAATTATGTTCTATAAAATACATTACAAATAACACCTGAAAAATATGTATGCAATGCAAATAGACTATTTTGTTTCACTGGCTATTTATTACCTACAATGCAGAAGCTTTATGCAACTTAGAAATCTATAATGATCACATCCTGAAAAATCATTACAGTGATTATTTTATAACTATAGATTTTATGATCTAAGTTTGCTTAAAAAAAGGTACTGTATACAGTATTATGTAAAAGCATGACATTTGTACAATGACCCAAAATTGCGAGGTTCTCCGCAGTGGTCCAGAGGTGCAAGATGTCTTCCCAATTTGCACAAACTGACCTGGGACTTCCCTGGTACCTGCCAAGGATCGGTGGCATCAAATGCTCATTACAATAAATACAGAAGACAAATGTACTGATACTGTGCAAGGTTCACACAGTGGACCGTGTTGGAGACTGAGGTGGAGATGTGCTAGAACATCTGGGAGGAGATGCTCTTTTGGCAATGTACTGGTGATACAGTTTGTCATTAAACATCATCATCTGTTTATTGGGTTCAGATTTGGAGTTTGTGCGGGAACGGCAATGGGGGGTGGAAGGGGAGTGTGGTGGGGACCGGTTCCCTGTGCTGGATACACTTGCTGTTCTTGACCTTTGACCATTGGGAATTGGCACTCGAGACCCTAATCTTCTTTCGACCCATTTGAGCATGGCAAGTACAGCATCTGTTGAGGGTAGGCGATGCATGGCTGCTGTTCTAAGATTTTGAGATCTTGTTACTCTGAAGGTGACAGCCATACCCTGTAGTGATCTCATGGCATCTTCATCAGTTTTGTCGTCGCCAGCAAAGATTGTTGACACACGATCACACCAGTCTAGTCCAAACAGAGTGCGAAGAATGTATATTGCAGCACGACCCTTGTCCCAGGTCACAGGGGGCCGGGCCTCATAGGCACACTGGGACTGGTGGATGGGAATACCCACCTCCTTAAACACTTTTTCAGCTTTAGCTGTAAGATCTGTCACCTTATCTCCTGGAACCTCACGATAATGATAGGCAATGCCTGTCCCCTTATTTTCAACCCATGCACCCTCTACACTTACTTCCTCCAAACGCTTCTTGAGCTCATCAAGGTGGACCTCGTAATCATGAGGAACAGGGTGCGAGAACATGGTCCCATCTGGGTGTAGAATTTCAAACCCATGATTACCAGCATAAGTTATGCCTTCAATGCCTACCATTGCCTTCACATTTTCCATGGATCGGCCCGAGATGATGGCAATGTTTACATCAGGCATATGTGCCAAACGTTCTAAGACACGGCGCGTTTCTACTGGCATCTGAGCCAAGTCAGGATGAGGTGCAATAGGTGCCAGAGTACCATCGTAGTCCATTAGCAGCGCCAGGCGTGATGATTCAGTAACATATGAACCCAAATATTCTGTAAAGTCTTCCTCACACATTGGTAGTAAGCGACTAGGTGTCATTGTCTTGTCAGCATCACTGAGACAGTCAACTGATTTCAAGAAGGACCTGAGCCAGAAATTCACGTCGTATTCTCGTTCACGGCGACGCAGTTGTTTCATACGCAACTCCCGCTCATCTTTAGGCATTGTAAGTGCACGGTATATTGTGTCAGCGAATTCATTTGTCTCGTAAGGATTAACATGAAGAGCTTCATGCATTGAGGCTCCAGCACCAGCAAATGGAGAGAGAATGAGGACCCCAGGCTCACCTGTCTGACAAGCAACAAATTCTTTAGCCACAAGGTTCATTCCATCTCTCAGTGGTGTAACGATTGCCACAGAAGAGTCACGATAGAAGGCTGCTAGCTGGTCTTGCGATACACAACCATAGATGTAGCGGATAGGTGACCAATTGGGTGTAGAAAATCTGCCATTGATACGGCCAATCATTTGATCCAGCTCTTCTTTCAGGTCTTGATACTCCTTCACATCTGTGCGTGATGGGACTGCTACCTGGAGGAAGGTCACGCGCTCTATCAACTCTGGGTGTTTCTGGAGAAGGGTTTCAAAGGCTTTGATGCGATGAACAAGTCCCTTAGTATAGTCAAGACGGTCCACTCCCAATAACAGTTGTTCCTGTGGGTTGTTCTTCACTACCTGCGGCGCCTTCTCTGCCAACTCCACAAAGCGGGAATAGGGAATACTAATGGGTAGAGGGTGGATGGATACTGTCCGAGAGTTATGTTCAACCAACATCTGTTGTCTGTCAACACGGCAACCGAGACGTCTTTGACAGCAGTCTATGAAATTTAAACAATAATCATCAATGTGAAAGCCAATGGAATCACACCCCAAAATACCCTGAAGTAGTTCATCATCCCAGGGAAATAGACGCACAATATCCCACGATGGGAAGGGAATATGAAGGAAAAATGCCATCTTGATGGGAAGGTCCAATTCGTCACATTTCTCGCGAATAGTATTTGCAGCCAACATCATATGGTAGTCGTGGAGCCACACCAGAGGAACAGACCCAGGATGGGTCTCAGACAGTTGTTTCACCGCCTCTATTGTCAGTCTGGCAAATTCTGCATTCACTTTCCGATAAGCCTGAAATGAAATAACGATAATGATTAAATTAATATCCCATAACAGCCACCGTTTGGGATGCAAAATAATTTATGAATTTGTATTATCTTCCGGATATTTCTTATAGGCTACTGTACTTTCCATACTAAACATTTAAAAGAGGCAAGTGGGTCGAAGAGGCAAGTTTTACCTCCCACATGTCCGCCTGGAAGGTTGCGCGGTCAGGCATGGAGTGGAAGAGTGGCCAGAAGGTGGCGTTGCAGCACCCGTTGTAGTAGTCGTCAAACAGTTTCTTGGGTAGGTTCACCGGGATCACCTGTATTCAATTTACAGATTAACTTGGATGGCAGCAATCATGGTAGTCTCGATACCATTGCAACAATCTTATAAACACAAATTGATAGTGAACAAATCCACAAGGGTCGTGACGAGGATTCGAACCTACGTCTGAGAGCATCCCAGAGAGCATGCCCGAAAGCATGCCCGAGAGCATGCATCACGCTATTGTGATTTCTGTGTGCAAATTGATGCTATACAGTGGGATAGAACCCGTAGGACTCTACAGACAATATTTGCTAATTACTTTTTTGTTATTTCATTGGCCCATAATATTTCATTATTCAAAAAATAGGTTAAGCTCAGCACTCACCTGATTGCTTTTGAGACCTGCCGTAGGCGTCTGGTCATTTGGGTCAGATTCAGGAATTTCCACATTATCATCCTCGAGATGGAGTCCGGACCAGCCCACCCAGAGCCCATTGGTCTCCACCACCACCGGCGCCACGGCCGTCACCAGGCCCCCAGCACTGCAACAACAACTTATTTAAGTAATGGTTCAAATCTCATTTTAAGTGTACTTAAATATGATTTTTTTTTATATTTGTCTAAGATCAATGATAAGCGTCTTGTCACCTCTTGAAATTAAAAATGAGAACGGGGAGTTAAACATTTAGCCAAAAATAAACGTGAAAAGTGATATTAGGCTAGTAGAAATATTTAAACGATAATATTGTCTATACAAATTAGAGGATTAGGAAACAATATAGGAGTTACCCCACAGCCATGTAAACAAAATATGAAAATGAATATGGTTTATGGTAATGAGCGACCAATGTAAAGAGCTGCAGGTGTCAGTTGCTATACGTTCCTGGGTTCGAATCCAGGGCGAAACAGAAGGGGTTGGGTACGTTTCCTATCTCCTATGTCCACCTAGCAGTAAATAGGTACCCGGGAGTTAGTTAGCTTGATGTGGGGGGGGGGGGTTATGAGTCACACCACTTCCCACTACTTCTGTACAACTGGTGGCTGAGTGGTTACAGTTCTGGGCTACTAAGGAGCATGGAGGCCCTGGCTGACTGGGGTTGAATCCTTCAGTAATCAAGAGTTTTCTAATGCATGTTGGCTTGGGGGGGGACCATTCAAGCTTGACATATACATATATAAATTATATTATATATATATATATATATATATATATATATATATATATATATATATATATATATATATATATATATATATATATAGTGATATCAATACACCATGTCAATAAAATGGTGTACAAAATCTTAAGCCTATTGGACTATCATATCTACATTTAAGGCTGTGTACATGGCGTCTGCCTCCACCACATCGCTGCCTAGTGCTTTCAGTTTGCTACCGATGAAAAAATTATTTCTGTCTCTGTGGCTCATTTGGGTACTAAGTTTCCAGCTGTGTCCCCTTGTTCGTGTTCCGCCCATACTAAATAGTTTGTCTTTGTCCACCCTGACAATTCCTCTGACAATTTTGTAGGTGGTGATCATGTCTCCCCCTTACTCTTCTGTCTTCCAGGGAAGTGATGTTTAGCTCCTGTAGCCTTTCCTCGTAGCTCATACCTCTCAGTTCTGGGACTAGTCTGGTGGCATACATCTGAATCTTCTCTAACTTTGTCTTGTGTTTAACTAGCTATGGATTCCAGGCTGGAGATGCATACTCCAGGATTGGTCTGACATAAGTGGTATACAAAGTCCTGAATGATTCCTTACACCAGTTTCTAAAGGCAGTTCTTATGTTGGCCAATCTAGCATATGCCGCTGATGAGAACCTTTTGATGTGGGCTTCTGGGGACAGGTTCGGTGTGCTATCAACCCCCAGATCTTTCTTTCTATTTATTTGACTCAAGATTTCACCTCCCAGATGGTACCTTGTGTTCAGCCTTCTGCTCCCGCCACCTAATTTCATTACTTTATACTTTCCTGAGTTAAACTTTAGTGTACTCACGTAGCTGTGCCTGCGGAGGTTGAGCTTTGGCTCTTTGGTACCGCCTCTCAACTGTTAATCAACTGTTGTACAGATTCTGGGGCCTACTGGGCTCTATCAAATCTACATTTTAAATTGTGTATGGCGTCTACCTCCACCACATCACTGCCTAATGCATTCCATTTGTTAGCTACTCTGATAAGATGTGTGTGTATGTGTGTACTCACCTATTTGTGCTTGCAGGATCGAGCATTGACTCTTGGATCCCCGCCCTGTGTCCCCTTGTTCGTGTGTGTGTGTGTGTCAATTCCCCTGAGTGTGTGGTGTGTCCAGGGTGTGTGTGTGTGTGTGTGTGTGTGTGTGTGTGTGTGTGTGTGTGTGTGGACAGAGAGATGCGGACAGCAGTTGTATTCCAGCTGAATTACGTTTCCAAATGGGTGTATCTCAACACAAGGGCAGTCATCCCTGGGGACAACCATGATGACTTACTAAGTCGGTCCGCACACTCCACGGCTGTGTAAGTGGTATTTTACTGACATTACCGCGCTAAACTCATGCGCTGTCATCACTTTAGGTAGACACTTTGGCAGCCTCATTCCGGGCAAGTTGATTGTACTCACCTAGTTGTGCTTCCGGGGGTTGAGCTTCGGCTCTTTAGTCCCAGTGAGGGACTATACATCCTTATAGTCGGCACAATAAAGTAGTTTATTCTAGTGAAAGATATGAAGGAGGGCAGAAGTAGCCTATCCTACTCTATCCTTTTGGGATGTATTTTATTATCTCAAATTTACTTTAACTTAAAAAATATGAAAGGAATTGTAAAACAGACCCAGTGGTATAGGGCCTAAATCCCCTACTCCCTCTATTTCTTTTGCCCAGTGAAGAGTAGAGTTAGTAGAAACATAATTGGTGCCTAATGTACATTGTTTAGTTTTGAACTTGTCGTGGTCCAGTTCTTTTTTTAGTTTAGTTCATTTATTATGCACCCCATACCCATCTTGTGGGCGGTAGTGGAAAGGGTTACAGAGGCACATAATGGGCTCAGGGACTGAACCCCACAATTCTTCAACAAATTATGCTATAAGAGCATTTTTATATAAATGAAACCATGCGTGTAGCTTATCAAGACTAATTTTCTTAGTTAAATGAATTTTGGGATTGCTACGTGCCTCTGTAGCGTTTTCCCATTACCACCCACAAGACTGCGACTACACCAGTGTAGTGCCTATGAACGGTGTCCCTCCATATGCTACAAAAAATATAATTTTCAAGACGACATTAAAGAGGTTGCTGCAAGTAAGGATGGATCAACTGTAGGTTGGGGTGAATACCCGAGTAGCTGTCAGCCTCACCGATGAAAGCTATCATATAATAATAAGCCTGGCTAATGGCCAGGCTGCAGGAGTAAAACTTTCTAAACACAGACGGCTCGCTGTTGATCAAACGACTGTGTTCGAATTATGTCCCCGGCGACAGATATGAATAATGACATAGCGGTGGTTCTGTTGCGAATAACAATGCTATGCAGAGCTCGGTGGTTGTTGTTATATGATATAATTGTCTTTTCAATTCTTCAAGCACCCCTCCACCCCCCTTAATACCTCTCATCGTTAACACGTGACATTGTAAACAACGCGAACAGTGTCAGTTGACCTCCAGAGGCGGTGACATGTGGACACGTGCGTGGCTCGGCTCTGTTTATCTTGTGACGAAGTAACTTGAACCAACATCAAAGACCACGTTATCTACCATTACAGCATCTTCAGAAGTGTGAGTAATGTTGGACACCTTTAATTTTTGGTGCTGAATGAAGGAGAATACATTTAGCGTCGTGTTTTATCAACGGAAATTGACTGAAGCCATCCGTCTGATGGCGGCTGTGTTCCGTGGATTTAAAACGTCAACAACCTACAGTAATCTTTTTCTACTTTCAATGCAATTGAATACAAAGTAATATGGTGTTGAATTCTATAAATTGGTGAAATATGTTACTAAGCAGCATCAGAGGTAAGTGTTATGGCTAACTTTAAACCTAGGATTGATTGATCTATGGGGAAGTAGCAAGGGCAACAATACGGAGCTACTTTCTACACGCTCTACCTATGAACTGATAAGCTATGACAGCACAATGAACTAATTACAGTAGTCAATGGGTGGATCAAACATAGGCTTGCAACACTGCCATTACGTGGCAACCAGTGTATGTGTTGCACCAAGTGTGTTCGTCTGTGTGTGCAAGCAACCTTTCACTCCCTCCTCCCTCTTTTCACCGAAGGAAAACCCTAGTTGTTATTATTATGGATTGACTGTAAAAAATACGGAGCATTGCACAAAAACTCTGCAATTTGTTATGAAAGTTAGGTCTATGATAACTTAGGCTGCTTCACTTTTTGTAATGCTCTATAGAATTGTAATAGTACAAAACGTGGATTATTTCTGGGTTCAACAGACCATATTTTTGTACAGTTTATCCATATTTGGTATAGGCAGTATCATTTCTGGATGATGGGTAATGTATGGGTACTCACCATTGTTTCCTGATGAGTTTTCCTGTGTCAGGATGGTAGCCAAGGCAGAAGGGCAGCCTGTTGGCCACCACCACCATGGGCGACGTCGAGTGCACCTTCATCTTTTACACTTAAATGGCTTCTTTAAAATATATAGACTTCCTCTGTTCACTTAGTCTCGTCCTCAATTCACGACCACTTGCGAATTCTTCTTGTAGTGCCGTGATTACTGTCTTCGGCCCGCCCTGTGGTTGTTCACTGGCAACCTGCAATCAGAGCGGCCTTATATATACAGCTCAACACCCCCCCCCTCTCTCCCTGCCAATGGGATCCCTGTTTGGGGGTGGGGGGTGTGGGGGGGTGACGCGCTTTGCAGACCGGTTTTAACCAAAACATTTTTATGCAGGTGGCAGCGAGTTGGAGGGGGCGGGGAAGAGGGTATGGAGCTTGAAGAAGGGTAAGAACTTCCTTGAACTTGATGAGGAAGGGAGATGGAGAGCTAACACTAACATGATGAACACAGGGCTGCATAGTGGTTATTATTGGCCCAACTTGGCTACTGTAGTAGCCACATTAAACACTCACACGCCACGTGGGGTCATACCACCAACTATTTTTCACTGGCGCGAAATGTGTGTGAAAAACTAACACATGTGAAACACGTGTTTGTTTTCGCCACTGCATATACAGACATATGCACACACACACCCACTCATACATACTCATTATCATATTTATTAATATTTGACTTCATTATGTCTAACCCACATTAGGCTATACAATTATATTTTGCTCGTGATTCATATATGAATCTTAATCTGCCTTAACTCAAGACAAAAACCACACTACAAACACAATTTATCTCAAAATGTGTTACACAGACGATATCAAGACTAGCATCACTTGTAGAGTAGTTGGTGGCCTTGACAATTAACTTGAGGCTAAGAGCAAGGCTAGCCTAGGAAAGATTCTGCACGATGGTCACTGGACAGTCCCACGATAGCCGTAATAGCTTAGCAACACCAGAGAAACATCCTAGCAAGGGTTCCGTTCTAATTTGCAGTAGCATTAGGCGCCTGGCAACTTCTTGACACACCTCGGGACTTAAACACTGCTTGCCATTACAATGCTGGACAAGCACAGTGATGCTCGTTCATTATTATTAACGTTATTATCTACGCTATTAACATATATATAATATATTTTAGTTACTTTACATACATATTAGATGGAGTATCCGGCTGTGCCCGGATCTCTCTCTCTTCCCTATCCCTTTCCCCATTCAAATCCCTTCTCTCTTTCCCTGTACCCTCCCTCACTTTCCCTTTTTCCCAGCTCTCGTTCCCTCTCCATCTTTCTCCCACACTGTCTCCCTCCTGCACCAGGACAGGTAGTGGGGGGGGGGCCACACCAGGACAGGTAGTGGGGGGGGGCACACCAGGACAGGTAGTGGGGAGGGCCACACCAGGACAGGTAGTGGGGGGGCCACACTAGGACAGGTAGTGGGGAGGGCCACACTAGGACAGGTAGTGGGGAGGGCCACACGAGGACAGGTAGTGGGGAGGGCCACACCAGGACAGGTAGTGGGGGGGGCCACACGAGGACAGGTAGTGGGGAGGGCCACACTAGGACAGGTAGTGGGGAGGGCCACACGAGGACAGGTAGTGGGGAGGGCCGCACCAGGACAGGTAGTGGGGAGGGCCACACCAGGACAGGTAGTGGGGGGGGCCACACTAGGACAGGTAGTGGGGAGGGCCACACGAGGACAGGTAGTGGGGAGGGCCGCACCAGGACAGGTAGTGGGGAGGGCCGCACCAGGACAGGTAGTGGGGGGGGCTACACCAGGACAGGTAGTGGGGGGGGGCCACACCAGGACAGGTAGTGGGGAGGGCCACACCAGGACAGGTAGTGGGGAGGGCCACACCAGGACAGGAAGGGGATGGTGGGGTGGGAATAGGTGCACGAGGGATGCGCGTGAACAGGAGCGTGCATGGTGTGGGGTTGCTTACTTGCCGTGGCCTTGTCTCTACCCACCACCGTCCAGCCCCGCCCCCTCGCCCCTTCCCCCCTTTCCTAACCACGCCCCCCTTCACCTCAACCCCCGCCACGCCCCCCTCGGCCCCCCTCGCTGCCCCCCCACACACACAACACAGTTTTTCTGCGATGCAGTCGCCCGCTTCTGGCACTGTAGTCATCCTCCTGCTAAGAAACGTTTAGTTAGAGAAAACATGTACAGTCAGAGAGCTATATCTTGCCCCCCCCCCACAGGTGCTCAGTGACTTGTAAGTGCCTCTGGGGACTACCCTGGGTGTAGGTGACAGCTGGGGACTACCCTGGGTGTAGGTGACAGCTGGGGACTACCCTGGGTGTAGGTGACAGCTGGGGACTCCCAGTCTTTAGGTGACAGCTGCATGGGTACTCGCTGTATTTACTTATGTAATAATCCAAATGAAGGAACTATACAATTTCACAAATTAATCAAAATGATTTAAATACCGTATATCTAAAATACTAATAATGGAGCAGAAAGGTTTGTTTATACTGAAGGAGTCAAAGTGGCCGTCAACCCGCCCTCAGGCAAGGCTCCTCCGTCAACCCGCCCTCAGGCAAGGCTCCTCCGTCAACCCGCCCTCAGGCAAGGCTCCTCCGTCAACCCGCCCTCAGGCAAGGCTCCTCCATCAACCCGCCCTCAGGCAAGGCTCCTCCGTCAACCCGCCCTCAGGCAAGGCTCCTCCGTCAACCCGCCCTCAGGCAAGGCTCCTCCGTCAACCCGCCCTCAGGCAAGGCTCCTCCGTCAACCCGCCCTCAGGCAAGGCTCCTCCGTCAACCCGTCCTCTTAAGGTTCCCAACGTCAAGAATCTGTCGTACTAAATTAAGTGCCCTTATCCTCGCCTAACAGAGGACCCAAAACAGAAAACGGGATAGTATGTCAATTTCGCGAGCCGCCACCATTTTATAGTGCGACAATGTTTGGTCTTAGGTAAAGTATACGTCAAAATGCGATGTTTTATTAGGAGGACGGGTTGCTTCCCAGCCACGCTCGACCCCTGAAGACGCTGAGTGTAAATGGGTAAACACACACACACACACACACACACACACACACACACACACACACACACACACACACACACACACACACACACACACACACACACACACACACACGAGGAAAAATATATTAGAAAGGCGGGGTCCGAGAGCTCATAGCTCGATTCTGCAGGCACAAATAGTAAATACACATATTAGGCTCGTAGCTTCGAAGATCCGACCGAGACTTCAATTATTTACGTAGCAGCCTCAGATGACCTTCAAATGTCGACTACTGACGACCTTGCCAGCGTGTAGCGGCCCTTCCAGTGCTGCCCCACAGTCTCCGTGTTCCCTGATGTTTACACACACACCTTGGGGGCCCCCAACAAGCGTGTAGCGGCCCTTCCAGTGCTGCCCCACAGTCTCCGTGTTCCCTGATGTTTACACACACACCTTGGGGGCCCCCAACAAGCGTGTAGCGGCCCTTCCAGTGCTGCCCCACAGTCTCCGTGTTCCCTGATGTTTACACACACACCTTGGGGGCCCCCAACAAGCGTGTAGCGGCCCTTCCAGTGCTGCCCCACAGTCTCCGTGTTCCCTGATGTTTACACACACACCTTGGGGGCCCCCAACAAGCGTGTAGCGGCCCTTCCAGTGCTGCCCCACAGTCTCCGTGTTCCCTGATGTTTACACACACACCTTGGGGGCCCCCAACAAGCGTGTAGCGGCCCTTCCAGTGCTGCCCCACAGTCTCCGTGTTCCCTGATGTTTACACACACACACCTTGGGGGCCCCCAACACTGCGCTCCTTCCTCACTACAAATTATATTTTGAGACGTCCCACAGTCTCCTGCAGGTCCCACTGCCAAACTGTTATAACCTTCTTCATGATGCTAATTTTAGTAGAAATATGTTCTATGCCCTATTTTATCTGAATTCATACTGGTCACACACACACACACACACACACACACACACACACAGATTTTTAGTAGTTTCAAAGCGTTATATGACAAAGAGTGCTGGGAAGACGGGACACCACGAGCGTAGCTCTCATCCTGTAACTACACTTAGGTAATTACAGATGGAGTTTCACCATGGGTTCTGAGAGAATGTGCACCTGAGTTCAGCATTCCACTTCAACTGATTTTTTAGGCATCCCTGTTTATAGGAGTTGTAGCTGATGTGTGGAAAAAGGCTAACATAGTTCCAATCTACAAAAGTGGAAGTAGGGAAGACCCCCTTAATTATAGACCTGTATCATTGACAAGTGTAATAGTCAAAATATTGGAAAAAATAATTAAAACTAAATGGGTAGAACACCTGGAGAGAAATGATATAATATTAGACAGACAGTATGGTTTTCGATCTGGAAGATCCTGTGTATCGAATTTACTCAGTTTCTATGATCGAGCCACAGAGATATTACAGGAAAGAGATGGTTGGGTTGACTGCATTTATCTGGACCTAAAAAAGGCTTTCGACAGAGTTCCACATAAGAAGTTGTTCTGGAAACTGGTAAATAATGGAGGGGTGACAGGTAAGCTTCTAACATGGATGAAAAATTTTCTGACTGATAGAAAAATGAGGGCAGTGATCAGAGGCACTGTATCGGACTGGAGAAATGTCACAAGTGGAGTACCACAGGGTTCAGTTCTTGCACCAGTGATGTTTATTGTGTACATAAATGATCTACCAGTTGGTATACAGAATTATATGAACATGTTTGCTGATGATGCTAAGATAATAGGAAGGATAAGAAACTTAGATGATTGTCATGCCCTTCAAGATGACCTGGACAAAATAAGTATATGGAGCAACACTTGGCAAATGGAATTTAATGTTAATAAATGCCATGTTATGGAATGTGGAATAGGAGAACATAGACCCCACACAACCTATATATTATGTGAGAAATCTTTAAAGAATTCTGATAAAGAAAGAGATCTAGGGGTGGTTCTAGATAGAAAACTATCACCTGATGCCCACATAAAGAATATTGTGCGAGGAGCCTATGCCACGCTTTCTAACTTCAGAATTGCATTTAAATACATGGATGGCGATATACTAAAGAAATTGTTCACGACTTTTGTTAGGCCAAAGCTAGAATATGCAGCGGTTGTATGGTGCCCATATCTTAAGAAGCACATCAACAAACTGGAAAAGGCGCAAAGACATGCCACTAAATGGCTCCCAGAACTGAAGGGCAAGAGCTACGAGGAGAGGTTAGAGG